GGAGTCCGGTGACCGGAATAGACTCTTCGCTATCGGTTTTCACACTTCGTCTTGATTTCGCAGAGAAAGAGAGAAAAAAGACACGCAAAAGGGTACTCTCTCGTCCTAAAAAATCCCCATTTCTTCCCCGACAAAACTTTTTTTTCGCGTCTTTTTTTGGCAAATTGCCAATCCATTCTCCGGACTGTTTTAGATTATCTCAGTTTGACGTGCGACGCTACGATTTTGATGAAAATTGGCATAAATTTAAAACCGTCGTGTGTCACTTTTTTTAGAGACACACAACGTATGCAAGGCTCCCAGTTTACACTTTGCAAAGACGACCAACATATTTAGGTCTAAATTTGGTAGAGATGCAACATTTTTTTGCAGAAAACTTAGGAGATAAATGTTTCCGCAAAAAACAATTTTTCTGCATGAGTGTGGCCACGATATGTCCAAATTTTCTCTGTGATTCCTGTCAGCAAAGCTCGAGCTAAAATTTTCACTAATCGATTTGTGGCCCGCGCTCGACATGTGTGCAAAATTGAAATAAAATCTAAGCTTGGCACGTTGGGTCATTTCCCCATAGTAAAAAAAAAGTAATTTGTTACACTATTTGTTTAAAAAGGTGTAATTTCAAATGTTTACAGCTAAAATTCTAGTCTCAAAATTTCGTATAGATTTCGTAGCTGCCGATCCAAAGAACCCTTTGCATGTTTAACGATTTCGTCACATTTTTTTTACATTTGTATATCTCACGTGTACAATTTTTTACACAAATTTAACATACATTTTTGTAAACACAGACATGCTTAACCTTTCCGTCCAGTTACTTTTCTATTATCTTGGAAACCTTTCTATAAGTCTGAAGCCCTGACTTCACAAGGTTTCTTTTTTTACGACCTTCACTCCTTTCAATCCTTGCCCACTCCTACTGTACTCTGTTAAGCATAACGTCAAAGTGACATGTCTCAAAAGCCCGTTCCATGCGGGTTTTAGTCAGAAATGGGGCTTAATTCTGCTCTGGGAACGTTTCAGAAAATATACTTTATAGAGTTTATTGCTGGGTATTGTATTATAATAATAGACAATAGAGAATGGAAAAATGATTTTATCGCTATTTCGGTGAATTATTTATAGGAAATATGGGGCTTTTTGTTTAGTTTGAGACGGTAACTCACGATTTTTTCGGATATGGCTACATAATCAAACACGAAAAAGCGGTATTTTTTTACGGATTTTTTCCAAGACATATAAAAGACTGCAATACTTAGAAGTGACCGAAGTCTTTAGGACGAAGGTTGGAAAAATGTGACCACTTTTTGCAAATTTTATCATCAAAAGTCTTGTTCTTACTTCAGCTGTAGAGGGCTATGCCTACAAAAAAAGAAAATTTTCCCGGCAAAGACACGATCTAAAACAGTTTTCCTCTCTGACCACTCTCCGCGTTTTGCGCACTCTCTCGGTGGCAAGAAATTGGTCGATATCTCGGCTGCGTCTGCAAGACTTTCAGGAATTGATATGTGGCCCATGCCTGACGTATATGCAAAGTAAAAAAGATTCCGTATCCGACAAAAAACCACCGTAGCCATATGTATTCAAAACCTGAAGCTTGGTGCAAAATTTAATCCCAGTTTGCAAACAAAAAGCTGCTCAAAATTTTCACAAAAGAAATTCTTTATAATTTCAACAAGTATCCTTTGGTTTTTGCATGCAAATTTTCAAGAGGCAAGCTCCCGAAGCTCGAGTGTTTTTATCTCATTCTTGCATGACCGGGTCTAGACGTCTTGGGAAAGTTTTAGTCCTAATTTGTACTTTGAGGCATCCCATCAAATAAAAAAGCCCTTCATTCCTTGGAAGATGTTGGGTATTTCCAAAAAAATACATTTTAAAGTAAAATAGAGCAATTTCCGCATAGAAAAATCTCAACACGATGGTGTCTCCTTGAAAATGCACATTTAACTGTGCAAAAATAAATGCTTCATTAAGTTGGCGGTTCTGCTTGAAGAAATCCCAATGGATCACAGTAGAGGATGTTTTGGTCCGCCCTTCCTTCAGACGTATAATTTATTTATAATATATTTTTTTTGATAAATTTGTTTTGGCTCCAAACCTTTTGTCCCTCGCGGCCCTCCTGGGACCGTTAGATTTTTTATCCCATGATATAAAGAGTCCACGGAAAAAAGTAGAATATTTTAACATTTTGCGAGTACAATAAATGGTAATATTAATATACAGTCTGAGACTTTGACTGTTTCGTTTTTTTCCTTTCCCCATCGTTTAATTTTCTTGCTGAAGCTTGCCGAAAAGCTAAGATGATTTAGGCCGGAGATCAGGCAACACTGTGACACTTTTTTTTACGAATTTTAGCCTTAAATTTACAAATATTTTTTCCGGAGAAGAATGTTTCCATCAAAACCCAATTTTAACCGCTTTTTGCGTGCTCTCTCCGCCGCAAAGACCTCTGTATAGCTCGACTGCGCCTGCAAAGTGCGAGCTAAAATTTTCGGTAATCAATATGTGGTCTATGTTCAAACTGTGTGCAGAATTTACAGACAATCGGAGGTTTGCTCTCGATACCTTGCAAACCACAGATAATAATGCGGAAGTGTTACCTGATGTTACGCGTGCTATTCTAGAAGTAAAAATCTTACAGTACAGTACGGGCCAAAGACTGTTTGTTCTTTGCATTCTAGGGAAAGTTGCACCTGGAGATGAAATTCAAAGTTTAATGGATTAATTGGGGGCGTGAGTTGTTTGTTTACTCCTTGGACCTAATTTCGGGCGACTTTTTTCTACTAAAGAAAACGGTTTATAAGGAAAGTTGGAGCTTTATAATACATACAGCGGATCAGAAATTAAAACTGGAACTGTCAGAGTGCGTTTGGCTAACAAGGGGAGTGTCTCGCATGCGGTGTTCAGATTTCATTTAAATTTTTGGACGAACGTTGGATATAGCTCACGCTTAGCGTGGCAGCTGAGGTATTCAACAAAGTCTGCTCTCGAAATAGTACGTAGAACATGGAGAGCGAAGAAAAAAACTTCTGTGGCTCTATATTTGCAAATCACTGTGAAACTTTTCATGCCAAAATTCGCAAACAAAAAAGAAATTGTCACATTTTTTCTAATTTTCGGCTATGGTCTTTTCTCTATTGTTGTGGAGCCTCAAACGTCTCCACAATTCCCACAGAAATTAGCATAAACCAAGTCATATAAAAGCTATGTGTCGTCACCAATTATCATTATTAATCTCATTTGTCTTTCTTCGTGTGCAGTGGTCTAAATAAACCTTACTCTAAACTTGTGTCTATTCCATCTACCTATCCACGTTTTCATCATACACCACATCTGTTGCGCGATCTAGTGATCTCACATATGCCTCAGAAAACATAAAGGAATCTCTGCCAATTTCAATTAGAGAGTCCCATCTCAAAGTCCCTTGCAAATAGCACTCTTATATGCATTATAATGTACAACTGTTTACTTTGTATCCTCGGCATCTGAAACTTCTCCCGTCGCATAATCCCAGACTACCTATTGAGCGAAAATCTCTGCAAATTTTGCACCCGTTATGGTGTTTGCAAACTCGTTTATTGACGCAATAACCGAGTCAATGCTTTAATTCTTTTGGAGATTAATTCGTCGCTCCGCCCCAACAATTCTAATGGATTCAGGGCCAATTTGGAGAGCAAACAATGGAGAAATGTAAATCTGATTTGGGGAGTAATTTGTGGGGAATTAGTCTAGATGGTTACTTGGAGGCCTACGGTAGCAATTTTTTGAGATTTTTCGATTTTATGTTAAAAATTATTCATGTTAAAAAACGGAATATTTTGATTTTACGGTAGAAAATTCAGAGGGATTTTTTACTAATTTTATTTTGCTTTTTTTGTTAAAAAATAACTAAAAAATAGTACTTTTTGATTTTAAATTTTTTTAATAAAAAAAATTTCCATATTTTTGCGAAAAATCGGTAACAAATAATCGTTTTTGCCATTCAATTTGCTTGTTAATTGACAAACTGAAATGAATAATGTGGTTTATTGGCTCAAGTTTTGCCAGTTGTTTCGACGAGACACACTTCCTCATTTTTACGAGATGGGATCTATCCATTTCACGGTCATTTGACAAGGTGACCTAATACCTTTCAAATTTATTGATTTCGAGCCGAGGTCTTGATATTTTGAAATTTATTATTACATAAATTTATTTCTTCATTTACCTATTTTACTTCCAAAAAACCTCTTTTCGAGGCAGACACGTAAAAAAATGCCTTGGTCCCCCCTTACCATTTTTTCTTTCGCCTAAACATAGGGCTACCCTCCCGCCCTCCGCCTTAGCTACGCCCCTGCTTTTTCTCATGTTTCGTGTGTTGGATTGGGCCGTTCCAAGTAACAATAACCTTCAGGTTTCACAGAGGAGAAATTGAGTTTTCGGCGAAACTATTTTTTATAGCCGTAGAACATCCCCTTATTAGCGTTGTTTTGCACATATTTAACTAGATTTGGGAAAATGGGGTTCACGTTTCAAATTGAATTTTTGTGAACGTAACAAAACTTTTTGAACAATATTTTACACATACGGAAGTACTAGCTGGGTTTGCGTTTTGAAGAAAGGAGCGAGATATTTTCAACGGCAAGTTTTATATTAAATTTTTCTATCAAATAAAGATGGATATTCTTTGGTCGAAAGTTGGCAAAAGCCCTGTTTTGCAATCCTTGGTACATATAAAGTTGCATTCCAGTTTCGTATGTCAATGTTTCCACAAAAAAATCTATTTTTTCCTGCTTAAACTACATATACCCACAACTTTGTTTTTACTTTGACTCCTCGCATTTCGCTCGCTGATTCGTTTGCAAAGAGCAATATCTCAACTTCAATGCAAGAAAAATTGCGTCTATAAGTAAAAGTAATATCTGTATTATCAATTTTTCCTCATGTTTTTTTCACCGTGATTTCAACTTACCTTTTTGAATTATTTCGGTTTTTTTTGCGTTTAAACAGCCTCTTCTTTCAGAATGACATTATTCACAGCCTCCGTCCTGGAAGAGCCATTCCAGCTGCCAAATTGCACATGCCGCATAGCGCACGACGATATGAACCTCTTCAACGCCATCACAATCATCGGTGTTCTGCCGGTCTTGGCGTTTATCGGGCTCCTCTCCAACCTCGTCAACATTTGGGTCTATCAGCGCGGCCACACCTCGGCCGAACGCTACCTAATGGCCCTGTCGCTGAGTGATTTTGGCGTTTGTATGAGCGGGATCCTGGTGATTGCAGCCGATTCGCTAAGAGCGCACAACTTTTATGTCGACCAAATATTTGTGATTTTACTGCCGAAACTGATTCCGTTCGGACTGTTCTTCCAAATGACCAGCATTTATGTCACGGTGGCGGCGGCGGTCGATTGTTACATTGCGGTTTGTCGGTAAGTAATTTTTTGGGGTTTCTGGGAAATTCAGAAGGCTAGTAGCAAGGTTATTTTTGTAATCCTTAAAGGGCTAAACGATGTTTGAGCTCTTCAGCAAGATTGTTTTGATTATTTTTGAAGATTTTGGCGTAAAAAGATACTTGACGTGGTTACCAAGGATTTACTGAGTTCTTTTGTTACTCAAAGAGGTTTTTTGAGGGTATTAGTGTGTCTTCAACAATTGACGTTTTACTATAGTATTCAAGTGTTTTTGCAGCGTGCAGAGTTCTTTGAAGAGTCCCTTATGGTTTCTCTAAATTTGAAAGGTTTCGGAAAACCGCATACCTTTACAACACTTTCATAACATGTTTTTATGAAATTTATGATCTATTTCAAAGAAGATTACAGTTGTTTGAGTGGGATAAAAGGGTATTTTCATGATGCATTTCACGGCTTTTGCTCTCTTGACCTTCCCTCATGAGTCATAAAAATTTTGAGTTCGGAGAGCCCCGTCAAGAAATTCTTTGGTCATAAAAATGGCATTTTTTGAGTCACCATGACACATATTTTAAAATACAATAAAAACACAAAGTGACGAAAATATTTTTGACGAAAAATCAAATTTTCCCAATAAAATCGGTCCAAAAATTTTAATCAAAGCTTTTCAGGCCCTGGGTTTGTTTCCCCAACAAATTTCGCCGATATTGTTGCATCGAGAATGCGAACAAAATCCTCACGTTTGTCGTGATCTGCACCGCTCTCTACAATGTCATCCAATTCGGCGAGCTCGAAGCGGTTCGCTGCTTTTCCCAAGCAATGGCACAGCCGCTCTACGAGCTTTGCCCGACCGCAATGAGGCTGAACATGCAGTACATTACGATCTACCGCGGCTACATGTACACGATCACAATGGCGTTCTTCCCATTCGCGGCGTTGTCGGCGCTGACGGTGCTGATTATTTGCGAAATGCATCGGCGAAAGGATACGGTGTCGCAGGAGGTACAAGTCGAGACTTACAAGGAGTTCACGGCGGTTTCTGGTGAGTGGGACGAAGATAAGAAAAAGGTTAAAATCAAGATACTCCGTCGTATTTTAGGATCAAAAAATTGAGTAAAAATCTATGTTGTTCTTTATTTTGTAACACTCGGGTTAAAATAGCCAAGAAGGACAAAGAAATTTGAGTCATTGCCTGTCTTACCGTCTGAAACTTGATGATGACAAGTCCCAAGAAAGGGATCATTCTAACGTAGGCGAGAAGGGAAGATTTCTCTTCTAAACTTCCGTCCATTAATCCTAATTGTGTTATAGTCATCATGAGCAATATGTAATATGAATATAAAACGTCCTAAATTTACTAATTCTGTAAAAATGCAAGATTTGGTTCCAAAGGCCGAAACTTCTCAATTTAGTGACTAAAATTTGATGGAACTTTCTTTAATTTTGGGTAAAAAAGTTTATTGTTCGATTACAGAAACTTCAGTGCACGATGCCGGCTCACCGATTGTTCTTGTCCTCGTTGTGGTCCTCAATCTTGGCTGCAGCTTCATCTCCTTGTTGGTGAATGTGTGCGACATGTTTGAAGAGTAAGTTAATCAAAAAAAAAAGCTAAGCAAACGTAATGCTGGGCCTTACCGGAAAACTCATAGCCCCGGAACGGCCATAAGAAAGATTACTCCCCTTGGATACCCCAAGTGTAACAGATATTCATACCAAATTTAATCTTTTTTCGTTTTCAGCGCCCTATCACACGACGTCCAAATGGCTCTTATTGACATCGGGAATCTATTGGTTGTTTTTAACGCAACAGCAAACTTTGTAATCTACAGCTCCACGTCGCCCACCTACAGAGACCGAGTCCGCGAATTGTTCAAAGTGCCGGCCAAGACTCCGTCCAAAACTCCGGTTTAAAAGATTTAAGGTCTGCAAACAAGGGAAGTGCGCAAAGTGCGATGCGCAGATTTTGATGAAACGTGGCTCAATCTTAGATTTCTTAGGCCAAACATAGACAAAATGTGGAGCATTTTTGGTAGTTTCCATAAAAAAATTCAAGATCGATCAACATGCAAAGAAACTATTAAAATGTTGGTTTTTTCTTCTCTGACCGCTCTACACGTTTCGCGTTTTCTCTCGGCAGCAAAGGTCGTTAACCTTCTCGACATACCGCGAGCTAAAAATTGTCCAGAATTGGTATGCCGCGCTCGACGTGTGTGCGCAAAATTTAAAGCAAGTCTAGACGTCGCAAGTTGAACACTTCCTTGTCAACATTTTTGAAATCTTCTTTACTGTTTGACTACAATTGTCATCTTTTATTTGATGTGGGTCTGTCGTGTGTTTAAACATCAAAAGAAAACCCAAAAACCCCCTAAAGATTCTAATGTTTTGCGTTATTTAGAATTTCATTTATACAATACAATATTGTCAATACTCCTACCGGTAATCTTCACTGTTCTCTCAATTTAAACCTAGTCCAAAAAACTCAGAAGTGCCATTACTCGAATTATTCAAATATCACGTTGAATACAGGTGCGTATTATATGTCTATACAAAGCTTTATGGTCCTCTAAATATATTACACTATGTTATGAGAATAAATATTTTCATTTCGAATGTCATCCAATTTGCCGACCGAACGTTTTTTTAATTATTATAGCCATTAAAATCGGCGTTCAAAGACGGCCTTGAAATGACTTGGTGACGTCGTAACTCCGACATTCTTCCGGTTTGACGGGGGATTTTTCGGATCCACACATGAAATCTGAAAAGCAAATTAAATAATGAACGATTGCCAGGTGGTACTGTAAAAGCGAAGCATAATAAATCTCGGATTTGACGTTCAACAAACCTTGAATTGATTGAAAAGATTGGCAAAAACGAGGAAGAGCTCGGTCTTGGCCAAGCCCTCTCCCAAGCACTGCCGACGACCGGCCGAGAAGGCGATCAAATGCGGATTATTGATCAATGAACCGTCCTCGGCGATGAAACGCTCCGGCTTGAAGGTCTTGGGGTCGGGGAAGAGCTGAAAAGACGGCGAAATGTATCAAGCATCACTAATAAAGGGCAATACGGGAAAATCTCCAACCAAAATTTCACCTTCTCATCATAAAGCACCGCACAGATCAACGGCTGAATGCAAGTGCCCTGCGGGATCGTATGCCCTCGGACTGTCACCTCCCTTGTGTTTTTGTGCGTCAAATTCAACGCCAGCACATTGGCATAGCGAAGGCCTTCAGCTAGAACGGCGTTGATGTAGGTGAGGTCATTCTTGTCCGACAGGTCGATAATCCGATCAGACCCAATCACCCTGTCCAACTCGGCGTGGATTTTCTCTTGGATGGTCGGGTTCCTCATAATTTCGATCGTAATGAAGCCAAGGGTATTGGAAGTTGTCTCCAAACCGGCGATGAACACATCGAAAATGAGGTTTTCCAGTTGTTGAGTGCTAAAAAATCTTCGTCGGGGAAATAATAAGCACAATATCGTATCGAAAATTGCTTACTGAAAAAAAAGGACTTACTGAAAATTCTCTCCGGCATTTTCTTTGTAGACCTCGCATAAGAATGCGTCGATCAAGTCAGTCGGAGGACTCGGGATGATTCCCCGCTTAAACTTCTCTTCGTGCTGTCTGATCTCTTTTCTCGCAAACCCCATCATGAATTTTCCATTCCTCGCCGCCTCATCTCTAGCCCACGACATTGGATACATGTTGGCAATCGTATCGCTGGGACAATAGGCAAAGATGAACGCCAGCGGATGTAAAAACAGCTGCAGATGTCTCCCCAAAATGTCTTTGTACTCCAGGTCGTCGGGATCTTCGCCGTAACGGCGGCCAAACAGGATTCCGCAAATAATGGAGCCAACCATATAATCGTAACGGTCCATAACGTCAACAGAGCCGTCTTTATGCTGCTCTTCTTCAATGTCTTTTTGAAGATGGCGGTATTCGTTGAGAATCTTCTCTTGCATGATGTTCTTGCCCACTCCGAACTCGCGAAAGGTTCGGAGGATAAATTTTCGCTGGTCGAGGTAAACATCTCGACTGTCAGCATCAACAATGCCAACATTCCGAGCTAAAAAGTTTGGATTGACAAGGCAGTTGTATGAAGTGAAACAACCGGGTCTCTTTCAACCTTTCATTTTTTTACTAGTCGGCCACAGATCATTTATAGACCAATGAACGTTTAGCTCGCATTTTGCATGTTCAACAAGCGGGGGGCGAGCCGAGCAAGACCCACTTTTTTGCCAGATCTCCCCGCATTTAACGCGATAAAAGGCAGTTTTTTTGGAAACACTGTCCCTCATAGTTGCCCTGGCTCTTGCACCGGATCAAAAAAAAATTTAAACGGGCCGGCGATACTAGAAAACGAATACTTTAACGTATTCGTTTTGATTTTACAGCAAATGTCCTACCTTCCTCTCTAACCACAATGCTCAACCTTCCGAAGGTAAATCTCCCTCCAAACGTATCCGCCTCCTTGACCAACGTCTCTTGAATCGTATCGTAGTCGGCAAAGCACACCACGGGCACTTCTCCCATCCAAAACGTGAACATCGGTCCGAATTCTCTTTTCCATTTCAGCAACGCATCATAATAGTTCAGGCTTTTGAGTTCAATCAAATTTCCGATCAACGGAAGAGGCGCTGGTCCCGGTGGATAGGACCGCCGTTTCCAGTAATAGTTATAAAACAGCAGCGAAGAAAAACAAGCCAGCAGGAGAAAGAGGATCATTTTTCTGAAAACTGACAATAAATAAAGGAAATCTAATTGTAAAACTGGAAGTTCAAAAAATCTCTTCTTCAAAAACCTTAAAATATTTTTTCATTTCAAATCCCCCAAAAACCTTTTCGAAGGTGTTTTTGCTTATCAATAATCCCCGTGTCGGAAAATAAAACCCACAAAATAGATAAGATTGGTGTAAAAAAAGTGAAGAAAAAAGAAAACAAACAATCAATGGTTTGGATGACTTACTGGTTCTATAATCAGCGTGGGTGTTCAATAAAAACTAGATAGGTAAAAGTGACAGAAATATTTTATTGAGGATCCACTTTGGCCATGAGTAAACATGTTTGCACAATAAGGGGATGGAAACTTTATTTTTAATGTTGAACAAAATAGAATCTCTGTAAAACAAAAGGAACCAGCAATTCTTTTCGTTGTAGATGGGGTTCGTTATAGAAAGGTAAATTTTGATCTAAAATTGACGAGCAACATAGTTTGTTACGGAGACATTTTGTTGTACGATACGTTGTCGTACAACTTTTTCTAGAACCTCTGTTCAGCCGACAGGGGTAGAACCCCATGTGCGATGCGCAGGTTTTGATGAAACTTGGCACAAATTTAGAATTATAATTTGATATTTAGTGTGTGTCCGATGTGTGTGCAAAATTTAAAGAAAATCTGAGCGTCGCACTTGGGGTAGAATGAAAAAAAAGAAAGTGTTTCGTAGAAAGCGAACGCGACATTCCTAATGTTTTTATCAAGATCAAAACGTTATCCTCTGAACCCGAGAAAAACGATCTTCCCGAACTTGTTGTAACGAATGGTGAAACTTATTTTTACCCCTTATCACGTGTTTGTAACGTTTCTCAAGCTGAAAATGATATTACAATCAAAAAACGTTACGTTTCGCAATCAATAAATATGCAATATCGACCCTAAACACCGAAGTATGTACAGTAAAAGGTTAAAGTGGTGTTGCATAGACATTACATTAGGTAATGAACTGGAAGCACCAATTGAGAAAGGCGGAAAATTGAAACAATCCCCGGGCTTGTCCGTGTCAATTAGTTGATCAGCGAAACAGTGATGATGCATGAAAGGGTTGGAAAGTCAGGTTGCATATTACTGAGGAACTGTCAGCTGCAAATAAGCCCACTTGCAGCGTTACCAGCGCTCTCTTCAAAGAAGATTGTAAAATCAAGCGAAAAATCTCATTTTTGCCCTTTAAGATTCCGGAACTCTAAAAACCCGGGCCTAAACGTCAAATCCCGGAACCGAAGAAAATTTGATTCGAAACGCAACGAATTGATTGATAAGACAGAACTGTACGATCTGTGCGGGTTAAACCTTCTAATCTAATGTGAAAGTAAGGCAAAGATTCTTAACCCTATGAGGGTCCAGTCGGTTCAACGTGATTAAATTGACCCGGAACGGGCGTGTGCGTTCATCTTTATAAGAGTCGCATCACATCATCAAGGTGAGGGAAAAAATAGATTTACGTGAAAGAATATGCAACATGCGCCATGTCAGATCTGTGAAAACAACTGCGGTCGATGAAAGAGTGTTCTGCGCGACTTTCCTTTGTCTTCTCTGCCAATCAAGACGAAGTGGCAAAAACCGATAGCAAAGTGTCTACACCGGTCACCGAACTTCTCAGATTGAAGTGCAACACTATTCTGATTTAGGGGATGCAAAAGGGATGCAGCTTACTGCATAGTATTCTATTGCCTGCAGATTAGGACTGTTCATTTTTTGTATATATTCTTAGTTTATCAGTTTAACATCGGTTTCAGCTCGGTTATTTTTACTGTAAAACATTCATTTTTGCTTTCTCTCGGGATGGTTTGTGATATTCCCAAACCGCTGACTTTACAACCTCCACATTGCTCGCGGGTAAAACGACGCTACCATAACTGTAATGCAGCAACACCTGCCTTTTTCCTAGCGGTTTTTTTAAACTCGAAGTGTTCGATGGACACCATTTTTGGTTGACTAAAGATATGAGATTTTTGTTTTTAATTGACAAATAAAAAGATGTTTGGTTTTGATCGACAGAACAGATGTTACAGTGGTCAAAATCTGAAAATACACGTCACTTATTTGCCGTGAGTATACAGATTTCATCGTACACGCTTCTTATGCAAAAGTTACGCTGTATTTTTCTTCTTTTCAACTGTCGAATTCCCTGTTAAATCGGCCATTAAATTCGACTCTCTTCACTGGCAGACGCTACTTCGTTACTGTTACACTGTTTCTTTATAAATTACCGGTGGTATATTTTTAATGGAATCTTCTACTCTTTTGTCGTTTGCACAGAGTTTGTGCTTAAAGCGGGGAGGCCGTTAAGCACTGCAATAAAACCCTTGGTTACAACGAATTGACCGGTCAGCGCCCTTCTATTGAGCCAAGATAGGCGATGATCAATGCACCCATCACTTGTCATTTTCAACTTTAGCATTTTTGAACAAATTGTATTTTGAGGAAACAGGTATACATTCGGAACGGCTAGGTCGTTTGTAGGAAGCGATGAGTTTCCGAGGCCATTAATTGGGTTTTTTAAGCTTGTACTTTTAAAGGTCAGAGATTAAATGTTTTTTTTGAAAAAGATTTTTGCGGTCGTAATATGGGTAGCAAAATTTTAAAAAACCGAGACCAAGATTGAAGTGATTGGGTAAGAGGAATCAGGAGAATTTTTGCGCCTTTTTTCACAGATAACCAGCTAATCTAAGCCTTTCGAGATTCAAAACGATCGCTGGGACAAACACAGTATTACGTATAGAACAAGGCTACTTAAACAGAGGAGGTACTCTCAGTAACGATCAGACGTTCAGATTTTCTTAAAATTTTACACACGCTTCGGGCATAGGCCACGTATCACAACACCCGAAAGCTTTAGCTCACGCTTTCCAGCGGCAGTTATTCAAACTTACGGACAAAAAAAGTACGTGAAACTCAGAAAGCGGTCAGACCTTTTTCGGAAACATTAAGCTATACGAATGGATTCGAGAGAAACTTTTGGGCAGTTCATTACTTTCGCGACCAAACCAGCTAGATGTTTTAAAATATACCCCTGCTAATATTTCATCCCCGGCGTTTCCAAAAAATTCCCACAGCCATTTCATCTTCATTGAAGTCTCCAACGGCCTCTGCGCATTTGCACGTTTGCCCCCGAATTCTGCTAGACGAAAATTCCAAACTGATGCCTTTGGAAATCACGAAATGCTCGAGGCGGGTTTGCTAGTCAATTAATTCCCCCATATCTTAATAGGCTGAGAAATAAAAAGTAAGAGTTGGGTTGAGCGGTCGCCCAGCCACAACAGGTTTAAAACCTGGCGGCGCGAAAGTCAGGAGGGCTGACGCTTGGGGTTCGTATCAACCGTCGCAAAATATACGAGTTAAAGACGAATTACGCAGTCTTTACGGTCAATATAATTGAGGGTTCAACGGGGTGTCGAACGGTCTTGCTGCGGGTATTTTCACAAGACGGGCTTGTTTTTTACTTGTGTTTTTGCTGCGATTCTTTATTCTTGATGTTTTCGAAAGTCGTGCTTTTTTTGTTTGCTGTGCCCACAGCTAATGTCTTGACTACTGTGTTTTTCTTCCATACGTTGAAAACGTTGAAATTTTTAACCATATTTTTCTACATAAAATTTCGGGCGCATTTTTTTCTTCAACGAAGCAATGATTAATTCCTTGGAAGTGCGACGTTCGGATTTTTACTTTTATTCACAAACTCTTCATTTACTATATTTTTCCAGATATTATCAAAGCAACAGAATCCCTTATTGCTTTCAACATAAATATGAGCAAAAAAAGATTTTTAAAATCCTTGCGTTGTGGATGCAAAATGGCTACGTCGTTCTCTATTTATTGTCTACTTTTCCAACATCTCACTACTCTCCACATTTTTACCACTGTAGGGACCAAAAAAACCACGTGAGAATCTTCCGTTCAACTCACTGTCTTGATCGACAGCAAATTGCCCAAAAAATTACCTCAACTTTCAGACGAATATTGACCACTTACTGTTTGTTTTTTGTGTGCGTACTTTTGTGACTCTCCTAAATTTCTGAAGCCGCGAACAAAGAAAGACCCATCCCTTTGGCTTTAGTGTAAATGTACGTTTTTAGAATCATCAAACGAGAAGACTGGGTTCGAGCAGCGTCTGAGCACGTTTTCCTTTGGCTGCAGTAAATGATGGGTAAGTCAGCAATGGCAAGTTTATGAACAGCGAGGTCAGAAAAACCCCTGTTCTGGTCTTATGAAACTCATCGTTAGCGCATATAGTTTCCCCAGGTTTTTACACATATTTTTGGTGAGGTTTGCGGCAAGACGTTACGTTTTCAAGACACATGGTGATTCGTAGCTTGTGCTGACAATAAAAAATCCAGTTTCCAGGCGAAACTCGCAAGGAATGGGTTAAAAGTTTTCCTCTTTGGAAAACTTATATGGCAAAGCGCTGGCTCAAGTTTTAAGAATTGACTTGTCGGTTCGAGGGATCATGCAAAACTAAGATCAAGTCCTTGCACCTTGAGCATTCCTGGCTTTCAAAATTTTAGAAATCAATTGATTTTTCCAACAGAAAATAATATATAGGCTTTTAGTACCACTGCTCCTCGCCCTGCCGGCATTAATAGCAACAGTTCGGGCCGGTGATGTAGCACTATTCGCGTCGAGTGGCTGCTATTCCCACGACGTAATGATGAGGGAAGTTGGAGAGCAGTTCAACCATTTGAATGTCACCTGGCTTCAGGCGTATCTCTTCGAATTCGGCTTTGGCGAAATGAAGATTCCGAAACATTGGGGCCGAGTTCAAGTCTCAAGGACGTTGAACAATGGTAAGTCACATTGTGGTTTAGTCTTCCATTTTTTACGTCAGCAGACAGCTTGCTACTAGGTCCTTTTTTATTCTCCAAATTAGGGAAAATTTTGGCGGTGTTCGGGTTTGTGACCTTTGCGGGAAAACACGTTAGCGCAAAAGGAGACCACCTTGCGGTGCGCTGAAGTGATTGAAAAGGATTAGAAAACAAAAGTGCAGAAGTACGGTAAGAGCGTAATAGGACAAGATGTTGAGTAGTAAACACTACTTTGGAAGATCACCTTGAAAGATCACAGATGCTGACAAATGACAGCTCTCTCTTTTTCCGTGCTCTTTCGCAAAACAGACCGTTGAAACATCGACGCCGCGCGTAAGGCGCGAGCCATCCCTTTCCGGAATCAAAACATGACGAAGATAGCCCATCTTTAAAATCTCTGTTTACAGTGGCCGAAATGAACGAGCTTGGAGGCTTCTTAGTATGGCTGGGAAATGTTCCATTGCATTGGGAACGGTGGTGGGATCTCCGTGGAGCTGCCTTCTTTCTCGAAATCCTCAAATACCATCAACGCTTTTGCGAGGACTTCGTCAAATCCAAAGAGTTTCTGGATTACAAACAGAAAAACAACAACAATGTCGATCTGCTCGTCATCGATCACTTCCTACAGGTACGATGAATCAAAGCGCGTATTTTAAAGCCAATTTATGACATCTACAGTGATGGACCTGATCCAGTGGCAAAAACGTATCATTTTGCATCCGGGAAGTATCGAAAATGCAGCAAAATACCTCCCTCTCCAACAAAAAAACATCATTTTGAATAGTGCGCCTTTTATCTCACAAAAAGAGCGGGCGAGCTATTGAAATCGGGATCTTTTTAGTTGGAGAGGGAGGCATTTTGCTGCATTTTTGATACTTTCCGGATGCAAAATGGTACGTTTTTGCCACTGCAACAGATCCGCCACTGTAGAAGTGTTACCGTGTGTTACAACAGCAAGTACGCCCGTTTTAGGAATGCATGGTTGGCGCCGCGTCGCTTCTCAACGCTTCAACCGTTCAGTTCAGTAATTGGCCAATTGCTGATGGCTACATTACGTCACTAAATGTTCCCGCAAATCCCTCAAGCACCCCGAAAACTGGAAACGCGTTTTCGTCGACAAAGACCATGGAATTTGGAATCAGAGTGAAGAATACCATCTTCCACTCATTGATTGTTTTGGCCAGAGTGATCCAATCTTATGTTGTGCAGTCAATTTACAAAACATGGGGATATGACGTAAGTCTTTTCAATTCGTTTTCCTCCAAATTCTCACCGTCACATTTGCAGCGCAATCGCCCGCAAACTCTCAGTTCTGAGCCATTAAAAAACTAACTACTCAATCTGCAGTAAATACAAATTTCAGGTGGACATAATCGATGTGGAAGCCAAGCACATAATGTACGCAAGTCGCGGAGAATTCATGGCGGAGCCCGTGCGTCCGCTCAACAATCGTATCAAATACTTTGGGTGCTCACGTTGCGGGTAAGAATTCTTTGCTAAAATCACGCCGCTTGCAGCGAACGAGGGGTTCCTCTACGCCTCAAGGTTAACTAAAGATTAATCGTTTTTTGTTGAAACATTACCCCGAGAAAAATGGGGTTTACTGACTTCTTTCAAACTACAACAAACGTTCAACTGGCTTCTGAATGACCTTCAAAATTGTTCGTAATGTGCGTAATACAACTCGCTCAAAATGTGATATAGTGGGAATGTGCTTCAAATCGCCAAAAAAGTTCGAAATTAACTTTCGGAAAGACTAAAATCGTGCGAAATGAACTCCTTTTCAATCATAAAGGATTCGTTGAGAAATTCTCCAAACGACTATAAAGACTCCACAGATACATTTTAATCCCTGATTTCAGTGACCCAGAGCAATACAAAATCCGTCGTCCAGCTGAATTTATCCCAACAACCACTTCAACAGCACCTCGTCAAGCAACTATTGACCTCACTCTCCACCACAGGAATTTCACCGTCCCCTCTCCGGCGCTCCTGAAGTCCTACAACATTTCGCTTTGTACGGAATGCGCGGAAGTTTTGAATCTCCCACAGAACCGGACGGAGACGGCCGAAGATTCGACTGGCCGCGTTTTATCGGTTCAGGAGACCCGATGGATCCAAAATAAATTGGATTTCCCACTGATCGACTGGGATTTATTGGAGGAAAAACCTTTTGTCTTGGTCAGCTTTGGCAGTGTAGCGCATGTAAGCACAAACTTTCTGATGTGTTAATCTTTTTGCTTACTAAATTAATGGCTGATAACTTTAGGCAAAATACATGCCCGACGCTTTGTTCGACCGGTTTTTGGCGGACTTTGGCAAAAGTCCGCACACCATTCTCTGGCAAACAAACGACGTCACCGAGAGATTGAAAAACCGTACGATACCTTCAAACCTCCACATCATTAGATGGGTCCCAATGAAGGTTATGTTGGGTAAGCTCCAGAAAGCACTCAGAGCTCTGTTTTTGATCATTTCGGCCCTACATTACATGATATCGTCTGACCACATTATAATGCATTCGTTTCAGCGCATCATAACCTCCACTACGCCATGTTGCATTGCGGTGTGAATACGGTCAACGAGCTTTTATCCTTTGGAATTCCGATCCTTTCAGTGCCAATGCAAGGCGATCAGCCCTCAAATTCGCGGCGTCTGAAAGACCTTGGTCTGGCCGACCTTGCGTCCATCGCCGACTTTTGGCAACCCGACGGCTTGGCCAAAGTCATGAGCGACTTTGAAGACGGCCTACCGGAACGTCGAATCCGTGCAAAAAAAGTCAAACAAATGTTTAGCGACTATCGCGACTTGCACGGTGGGGATCAACACTTCTGGCTCGATTGGGCCAAACGGCACGGTCAGATGTTCAGGGATCGTGGCGAGACCCAAAAGTATTTCGAAATGAAATACCGCCCGAGTTTTGAATACTACGCTGTTAGAGAATTAGCCGTTTATGGGTCGTTGTTAGTAGGACTAGTGCTATTCTTGTCTCAGTAATTTTTGTGTGGTATAATTGCTGTTATTGTCATAATAGTTTGGTAATAGTAATATCACTGTTTTCTCGCTCATTTTTTTATTTTTTGAACAAAACGGGTTCTCTCCGGTACATAGGTCAGCATAGCTATTGATTGTGATAACCATCGTCAATGTGAAAGCTTTAAATCTTCCGTACCACCCTCAAAAACGAGTCATTGTTACTTGGCAGAATTTTATTTTTTATTTTTTAAAAATAAATGAAATTTTTTGAGAATTTTTAATTTTCATTTTTTTTGAATATGCAAATTTGAAAATCCCTAAAAACTTTTTCGCCAAAACTTCACCTCTCATTTCTTTCGGCCCCACTTCGAATAACTTGCGGATTGCGAAGCGGTCTCCGAATTCCGTCAGTCTTCGAAGAAATGCCCAATCCGTATGCGGCGCTGGAAAGCAATCAGAAGAAGGTCGCGCGTCGTGCCGACTCCGTAGCGGACATCAAGAATCTGCCGGATCTGTTCTGTGACACGCTTCAGTCCACGCCGGTTCCCAAAAACGACTTGCTCGTGGCGGCCCGAAACGACACGGACAATCTTCAGAGTACGAAAAGGGTGGTACTCACCGAAGAGAACCCGTACAGCGGTCTTGCGTCGCTGTCGCAGGTAAGTATTAATAATAATCTTGTAAAACTCGGGATTTTTTACACATTTGACTTTTGGACATTTTATACGATGAACCCTGTTTGAAAAGAAAAAATCCTATTTTTTGCATGAAACTTCAAAATTTCACCAAACGTCAATTTCACAAATACCATAAGGAATCTCTGCGTATCACAGAATCACATTTCCTCACCACCTTTAACCGCCTTAGTCAACAAAATTTTCCAGCGTCCAATGAACACCCACAGAGACGATTCCGCCTACGAATACAACAAGTTGCCAGTCGAGTTCCCTCCCTCTACCCCGAATCCCTACCGTTCCATCACGCAGGATCCCAGTCAAAGGGTCGTGAATGCAAAGCAACGCTACGGAGATTCGATCTACGAGATCTACAAGTTGCCTCGCCAATTTTATTCGGCCAACCCATACAGTTCGGACACGGATAACTCGGAGAGTACGGACCAGAGTGTGGGCGATGAGACGATTTACGAGAACCAGAAGCTTCCAAACCCATTCAAAAATCATAAAGGGGAAAAGAAGCAAAGAGATGGGGCCGAGGACACCGATGAAGATATCCGGAGGGTCCCGAGTTTGCCAAGACTCTCGTCGAAAGGGCGGATTAAAAAAGACAAGTCGGTGAGTATACCATAGGCCTTATACTGTCATTATTGACCGATAAGAAGAGTAGCTATAACATATTTTGTGACAACACTGCTACCTTTTTGGTCAACGAGAGCTCTAAATTACATCCACATCTAACAATAATAACTTCTGTTTGCTTTCAGAACACCTATCTGCCGGCTTCTGCCTATGCCCCCGAAAATCGCCGGAACTACCAAGCCTTTGATCCCAGAAACAATGGATATTCCTCCAGCGATTCTGTGTGTTTTGGCTCTCAGGTAACATTGAGCCTACAATCTCATGTGCCTACTCTTTCAGAGTATCTCCTCAAGAGGAAATCCGTATCGTCGTCTTCGCAAGAGACGTCCCTTGTATGATGACTACAGACCAGTTAGTCGCGACTCGGACGGCGAGACTTTGGTGGACGTTCAAAACGTGCCGGATTACTTCGATACTAGCAATGCTTATGCAATCGCCGAAAGGGACGAAACTCAACGGGTGATCAATCCAAAACTCCGCTCGAGCAATTCCCAATACGAAATCGACGCATTGCCGGATGTATTCCCACCGAGAAGACGTCGAGGAGCGAGTGTTGTAGGTCAAATGTTTCATCTCACGTCTGAAGATTTCGTCTTATATTATTGGCGCTTGATTTTTCAGAGTTCCAAGTACAGCGATGCGGAGCTCACGTACAACGAGCTGAACAACTTGCCGGACCTTTTTGAGGACAAGCCGCGCTACGTGTGCTCCAACAGCTCTTATTTTGCTCCGCCGTTGTCTGGAGTCGGGTATTTGCAGGGAGTTTGTCCTCAAGCTCCTGTTGCTCCGCCGGAGAAGGTAAAAAGCATTGTTATTCCTGTAGCCCACTTTTTTCAGGTCTACTACCCGAACTCCCGCCTGGGTTACCAGCCCAAGTATAATTACCAATATCGTCCGGCTTTCAGCGATTCCTCGGTGGCCGAGATCAATGCTTTGCCGGACGTCTTCGACATGTGCAGAATTCAGGCTGATGCTGCAATGGCGGCCGCCAGAGCTGCTCAACATGCTGCGAATGTGGCCAGAGGGGTCTACCAAGCATCTCAAGTAAGGAGGGATAAAAAAGGTCAACAAATTTTAAAAAACCCCTGTATAGACTTGGCTTTTGGTCATCTTCCGACCATTGCATGATCATTGTGACAACCCATTTTCTACAATTTCAACCATTTTTTGACAGTTGAAACACAATGCCAAGACTTATCGCGATTCCGCGGGAAATTCAAAAAAATATATGATTAGTGCCGCATATTGTGTCTTTTGGGCGTTCTGGTTGTTTTCAAGTCATTTTTCATTGATTTGATAACATATTTTGCCAATTTCAGCTCTCTCGTCGCGCCAAGACCCCTCCTCCCACCGAAAACCCCTACAGACACCCGCGTTCGTTGAATGCGTCGCGCTCGGACATCGAAGAGATCCTCCGTTTGCCGGATCCCTTCAATTCAAACAATGGATATCGTCACTAATCTCTCTTGCATTTGTAGTTTGTCTATGCCCATTAAAGGTGTGAATTTCTTATCGGAGTTTTTATTGGTTTTCCTCGAGTTTTATGGGATTTCCTAATTTTTTCGATTATTTCGGGCTCTGTATTCGACACCATGAGTAATAATCATTTAGTATTGGCAATATTATGCATCTTCTTTTATTTCAACAACCTTCAATCTCATCCAGTAGAGGAAAATGAGAAAAATTTTGGTGCCTATACCAGTAATACCACATTACTTGGACTTTTGAAGCCGGAGATTGAAGGTAAGAAAAATTTGACAACTTTTGTCTTACATAGCAAAATATTAGTTCAAATTTCTTCCAGAGAGCCACTGTAGAAGTCTCCAACTCAAACACTTAATAACGGACGTCATCACGAAGGCTCCAAACTCGGTGGCTTATATCCAAAAACATCTACAGGTAAACACTTTGCTATCTGATACAAATTTTAGGCCGTGGAATGACAAGGCGGGCCAAAACGTCTTGACATGTCTGCACAGTGCGCCGTCGTGCAAGAAATTTGTCGCGGGGCGACAAGAAAAATTTACGGTGCAATGCGACCCCGCACAGTGCAAAACAAGTTTGTTTTGAAAAGGGCTGTTGAAAGCACGGTGCGCTCTGCCTTTGCACCCCGCCAAATTTTTATCGCGCGACACCTCGTTGCAACGCGGAATTCATTCGCCCGCATGGTGCGAATGTCAAAGACTTTTTGGCCCGCTTTCTCTCTCTCTCTCTCTGCACCGTGGGAATGCACGAAAAAACCAAAACCAATTCCGCGGATCGCACAGTGCAAAAAACAAAAAATCACAAAAATCCCTTTTTTGGGTGAAATAGACAACCCGATAACCCATACTTTCAGAGCAAGCTTACCTCCACATTCGAGTCCCAATACGGCTCATATTTGGTTATGGTGACCCGAAGCAGTCTCTATCAAAGTTTTGCGCACGGTGCGGAGCCCGGTTACAATTATTGCATGTACACGTTGCGGAACATTGAGAGGCATCCATACTGGGAGATTTGGGTTCAAGTCCTGAAGATTGATGAGCATGTTCTCTAAGGGAACGTCTAAAAGCACAAATTCATTACGTTACATTTACATTCCCACAGAAATTTTATATTTGTCCTAAACCCCGGTACAATCCGACATAACAGGAAATGATAGACAATAACTAACGTGATATTTCATAATACACCTTTCACCCGCCACAATTCTTTCAATTCGGCAGCAAACATTGCTTTATTCATCAAATAAAGTCTATAATATTTTCAAAAGAGGTGTTGGCACGGCGAGTTGATGGTCCATAGTCTGTTGCAGGCTCACAGTCGTCCAGGAAAGTGCTGTCCAATCGGTCTGTGATTTGATCCACGTATATGGGGACATCATCGCTTTCGTCTTCTTCATTCAGCCACTTATCGACCAATTCTTCGGGCGTGGCGTTCAACAAATCAGCCTCGCCAAATTTTTGATTTCCAAATTCAATGGAGTTCCAGAGGTTTGTAACGTAGCGGACTTCGTCGTCTTCTTCATCGACTGAGTCATCGTCTGGAGGGGTTGTTTGAAATGCTGGTTCGTCATGATTAAAATCGGGGATCTCAAGGAACGTCGATTGTTCCTGTCTTCGTGGGATCCGAATTGTGCTGAAATAGTAGTAATGCATCAAAGAAGCGATATTCCTGGTTCAAGACAAAAAGAAAAAAAATTAGATTAGAGCTCTTAAGAAAATCTTCCGTTCTAAATTCTGACATGTCTAAAATCTTCGACTACTCTAACGAAAGCCGTTTAAGTTCCCCTATACTTCCAGTAATTCTAATCCATCATGGATAACATAATGTTTTCTCACCTCATCGATAAAAACTGTAGCCATTGTTAGAATACTTTATTATGCACCTAAATCAGCCAAAAAAAAAAAAACAAAAATCAAACCCCTTACCTAGCAGAAAAACCGCCAACATTCACTCTTCCGGTCTCATTCGGAGAAACTCTTCGGGGGTATGTAACATTATTAGTTCGGCGACTCTCCACAATTCTAGGAGCAACTGGAGCTGGAGAAGGCTGAGGGCGGCCATAGGAGGAAGATGAGGAGCTTCTTGTCTAAAACAGCAAGTTTCGCGGGGGTTTTTATATTACACATGGAAAAATAAAAATCTTGATTGGCTGAGAACTTCATCAAACGCCTAAATATAAATCGGAATACCAATAAAACAAAAAATCTTACCAATGGAACAGCATTCGCACCGGTCACAAAAAAATCCCCAGAACTTCTGGATGACCACAGGCTTCGCGGCTCTTCTTGACGTTGAACCAGTGGCGCGTCTTCGATTGGTGAGATCGGACGACAATTTGGGATTCGTTGGCGCATTTGCAGATGATTCAGGTAGGCAATGTTCGACCGTAGTGTTTTTTCCGTATTGGGATTGGCTCGTAGATTCTGAAAATTTGAATAAATTACGTAAAATTATGCAGATTGGCCAACACATTCCGCGTTTTCGCAATTTACGGTTGGTTTGAACTAATGGTACTGTTCTCCTTCGTTCAACAGACTCTAGTTTACGCAAAAACTCAATTTCCAAAGTCAACTTGCCGATTCCACGACCACAGTGAAGCTATTCATCGAGTGTTCCAGCTGATTTATAATTCCATCAATTCCATCCAAAAGTTGCTGTCTTCTTTCCGTACACCAGGCCATTTCCCGACGTCTCAGAGCCTTCTCGTACTCCGGTTCAGTGGGGATTGAAAACACACGGGAATGAAGACGCTCCACACTCACGACTTCGTCAGTTCCGGACACTATAATGTACTAGATTATTTTGGTTTTTTAACGGGTTTCAAAGGTTCAAATTGACAAGTAAAATTGTAAAATAGACAACGCCCTTCCTCTGTGAGCTTCTGAATCAATGGACATGACTTACATGAATGTATTTCGGGGCAACATCGATAAAAATAATCACCATTGATACGAGCGAACGCCTCTCCAAACGGATGAAACCTGACCCCAACGCGTCGACGTTTAATAATCTCCCTGAATCCTTCGTAATCCGCACCACTCTGTAGAATGTCTTCAAAATAATCTCCGGACAAAACAGCACCCCCATGACGTTCAGCAAAGTCCAAAACATAGAGATCGTCATAATTCATGTGGGCGCGCCGACGAGTTCCGGTCGTCCTGGCCGAAGTGAAGCCCAAAATGCCAAGAGTTTGGAGTTTCTATAAAGAACAGGGTCTAGCCTTGCTGTTAAAAAATGATCCGCGTTAAGAAGTACCTAAAAATCAGGGAAAATATAAAAAACTTACGGGCAGTATACTGGAATGCGCAACATTTTGATTGTTCGGATTGTTATAAGTTACAGGGATAAAAATCACAACGTCAAAATCGCGAACAATCCAGAACCTTGCCATCATCAGCAACCCAATACAGTTTACGTTCTCACGACCAGGTCCACACGACGATCTTCCGACATTACATCCATCAATAACAATCAATCGATGAACACAATCCCGATTGGGCCGTTCGAACAGCTGCAAAGGCACTCGACGAATGGCCAGCAGGACCTTACGTCGGACCGACGCCTCCAAGCTTTCAGAACTAAAATTATGTAAGAATACGGAAAAAAAATTATGCTATCCATGGCAAAAACAGCATAAAAGTGGAAGAAAACAGCTGAAAGCTTGTGTTACTCACCCCCTTTCGGTAGTTTCCTCAGCTTCACCATTAGAACTCTCCATCGACAAGTAAATCTACTCAAAAATAGGGCAAAACGGCCCACAAAATGGAGTAGAACAAAGGGAACCGCAGTTTTCCGTGAAAATAAAAAGAAAATGCAAAAATTCATCCAAAATTTCATTTTACACGTGGACGAACAAGATTTCCCATGTAAATTTGCATAAGAATTGGTTTCTCTCCGAGAAAAACATGGAAGGAGAAGATTGCGAAATTTCATCGTATAAAATGACACTTTTAGGCTGGCCGCAGCTTGCCGTCGGAAAACATTGTGAAAATGTCGTAAGCTTACTTCAATACTGTTTATTGACTTGATCAGTTGATTTTAGCTTATTTTAACTTATAGTCTTTGACCGTTTTCTATTTTTTCCGGGTTTTATGGTGTATTACACTCGAATTGATTGCAAATCGGATTTATTCTGTCTAATCCATCTAAGGCAAAGTAATTTGGATTTACTGACGATATCCGCCACCGTGGCTTCCACCATGAGCTCCAGCTTCTCCGGAACGAGTGGGGCATGGGCAATATTCGGCGTCTTTTCCGGGACGTCCAGATGGTCCTTCTTCTCCTTCAACTCCGGGATGTCCGACTGGTCCTTGAGGTCCTGGTGGGCCGGGAGGTCCTTGTGGGCCTGGAGCACCTGGTCCGGGGTTCTTTCCGTCGTCTCCGGCTGGGCCTGGAGGTCCTCGTGGCCCACGTTGTCCTTTAGGTCCTGGACGGCCAACTGGATGTTCAGCATCACGTCCTTTCTCTCCTGGGTATCCGAGGGGTCCTGGGTTGCCTGGAGGCCCTGGTGGACCGGATTCTCCGCATGGTCCCGGATTTCCGTCACGTCCGGGAAGTCCGGCCTGACCCTTGGCTCCGTTGTGTCCTCGAGGACCGGGTCTTCCGACCGGTCCTGGAGCTCCTTGAGGTCCAGCGGGGCAGTTGAAGCACGCGCCGGTGTCTTGGCGTTCTGGGGTGGCATCTTCGCCGTCTTTTCCGGGGATTCCATCAATTCCGGGGAGACCGGGAAGTCCAGCTTTTCCGTTGACTCCCTTTGGTCCGGGTGGTCCAGCAGGGCATTTGTTGTTTTCGGTCTGGCAGTGACAGCCTGGACCGTTCTTGTTTTCGTTGGCCAAAGCTGGTGGAACACCTGGAGGAGCCGCTCCGGTTGGAGTACCTGGAGCCGATGCTCCGGCTTTAGATGGAGCGCTAGGTGCTTCGCTGTCGTAGGCTTGACGGCGCTGACGTTGCTGCTGGGCGCTCAAGGTCATCATGTCTCTCCACATGTCGTCGGTGCCGGCACGGAACAGGCTGATCTCATCGTCCAAGAAACTCCAAGTCTCCTGGATGTCCAAGTAGATGTTGCCGACGAAGAACAGCGACACCAACAAGGAGACTCCGGAGAGAGAGGAGGCCAAGAAGGTGGCCGTGTGGAATTTCATGGTGAATTCTATCTCACCGTGAAGATGGAGGATTTTGTGTTTCTCGGAGCCTTTTATAGCGCTATCACTGATTGCGCGAGGCGTTCCCACCCACTATTTCGCATTCTTTTTGTCGTGATTGAAGTGATCGCCGCAGAAACATGTGTTTCTGACCATCAACAACATTGGAAGTAGAGATTCCGAAGCGGGTTTGAATTGTTTTCGCTTGTGTTTGAAACGGGAATTCGTTTTTTGATAGTGTCGGTTGGGGAATGTTCGTGGATTCGGGAGTTTTTGTCATTCCTCGAAGGAAAAGAGGAGAAGGTCAAAAATTTATGTCCAAAAATGTTCGACGGTATGTCATTGGAATGAACGATTGACCTTCTTTGTTGAATATCCCGGCTGCAGGACAAGAAACAAAATTGTGAAGAATTACGTTGCGATATAAAAATGCGTGGCTCGATTTACGTTCTCTGTAATTCTGCTGATAGCTGCTGTGGTTCTGAAACATCATCTCTCGCTGATTAGGCAACCCAAATACGTTCATCGTTATCTCATATAACAAAACAAGTAAAAGCAAATTAACTCGTCGATTTTATGCTCCGTTACCCAGAATCGTCTCGCTGTGAGAACTGGATTTCGTCGGCGTTTTGTTTACAAGAAGGGATCGAAGCGAAAGAGTCAACGGATTACGCAATGAAACCCTACACAGCGGTTTCGCATCACCGTTAAGAAAGAAGTTCTTGTTAAAGGACTTAAAATTTATCTGCTCCTTACAACATGGTAACAAAGTCGTTGTCAAAAATACACAGTTATTGGCAAGAGCTTATGGGTTTATTATGCGACTAAAAGGTGACTATAAATTTACAAATATCCAAAAATCTTTCTACAAATCCACTACCCAAGGCGTAAATTTCTCGTTTTCGATGCCGTTGAGCACCTTCTCCGTCAACACATCCAAGCAGGCCATTCGAATTCGCTCTGGTGTCGCTGGAGAGTCGAATCGGAAGTATCCTTTGTGTCCATTCTGCTCTCGATACGCTTTCACGGCCTCCCGTATAGCGAACAGAGCGCTGACTCCCAAAAACAATGGAGGTTCACCTACGGCTTTGCTGGAGAAAACGGCTCGTTTATTTGATGATCCCTTCAAAAGCCGAACATTGAAATTTCGAGGCGCATCATCCGCCGATGGAATCTTGTAGTTCCCAGGGCCTCGGGTTAGTCTTGTTCCACCGGGGCGCATTTTAATCTCCTCCATGGTAAATAGACCATAACCTTGGACAAAAGCGCCTTCGATTTGTCCGATATCGATGGCTGGATTCATGGAATCACCAATATCCATGACTATGTCTGTTCGAAGAAGATGATGGTCGCCGGTTAGGCAGTCAACTTCGACTTCGGAGCAGGCAACGCCGTAGACTTGATAACCGAAAAGTTCTGCGCCTTTGCCGTTCATAAAGTCGACGGTTTCGTGATGAATTCTGAAAGAATGGACCATTTGAGGCGTTGTATGAATAGAATTTTTCGAACTCCACAAGACTTACATTCCAAATCCCGTTTGCGACAGGCAAACTCGGTTCACGTAGGCATCCATTACCCATTCCTTCCAAGTTCCATTTGGCTTTTCTTTCTTGAATCTTTCCAGTCGTTTGTTCAACAATTCGCATGCATTCTGCACTGCCAACCCATTCATGTCACTTCCGACGGAGGCTGCAGTTGGAGATGCGTTCGGAACCTTGTCTGTGCAAGTATCATTCACATGCACCATTTCGATTGGCACTCCTAAACAACTCGCGGTAATTTGAAGGATTTTGGTGTGTAAGCCTTGTCCCATTTCCATTCCACCGTGCGATACGAGGACCGAGCCGTCTTTGTAAATGTGGATTAAAGCGCCAGCTTGATTTAGTTGCTTGAATCCGAAGCCGATTCCAAATTTGGTTGGGGTTAGATAGATCCCTCTTTTCCGGTATTGATATTTTCGATTGAATGATTCGACGTCGGTTTTGCGTTCGTAGTAATTGCTATGTTGTATGCATTCCTCCCAACAACGACGAATGTTGCACTGGTTCAGGTGCATCCCGAATGGAGTGCAGTCGCCTTCTTCGTACATGTTAGCTTGACGGAGCTGAACATAATGTAATTGAGACTGATATTCTAGGAAAAATGCTATCAAGCTGTGTGTGATGGCATAAGTTTGGTTCGGTTTTAAAGGACGGACAGAAACCTGACATACCTTATCCACATCGAAACCGCATTCCTCCGCTGCATGACAAACAATTGTCTCCATTCCGAACATTCCTTGAGGGCCGCCGAAGCCGCGGAAAGCCGTGTTTGAAGCGCAATTTGTGTTGCACATTCGACCATAAAAATCAGCATTTCCAAATTTATAAACATTGTCAAGATGGACCAGACATCTTTCTGCAAAACGTTCATTTCGAAGTTCACAATGTTGAGACCCAAAAATAAACGTTTTCCCTACCCAATACTCCCTTTGACAATTCTATTGCATGTCCGCTGTTGCTGTAAGCGTGGACTTGAATGTCTTGGAATTTCATATTCTCATCAACCGCGATTTTATAATCAAATTTGAAGGGATGCCGGGTTCCGGAAATCGCCATGTCGTCGTACCTTTCGAGGACGAGTTTTACTGGCCGGCGATGCCTAAAACAAACAAAAAATTACGGGATTTGAGTTTCCTCACTTTTTAGCGGCAACACAGGCCGACGCCGCAAACAGTCCACAAACACTTTCTTTTCCTCCAAACCCTCCACCAATTCTCTTCACCTTCACTACAATTTTATGACGAGGGATTCCCAACACTGCGGCGATCTCGCCTTGAACTTCGTCGATACATTGAGTTGATGAGATAACTTCAATCTCATCGTCTTCTCCAGGAATAACGACACAGTTGTTGGTCTCCAAATAGAAATGCTCTTGGCCATTCATTCGAATGGTCCCTAAAAATGACGTATTAGTCAGTTTTATTTCACTAATGGTTACCTTCAATAATTTTCTTGTATTTCGACCAATCCGTCGGCTCATATGGCGCGTTATTGTCTTCAGCCAGTTGAGAGTGCACCTTGAATTCTTCCATATGGAAGGATTGCGCTGCTATGGCGTCCTGAAGTCATAAGACGAAGAGAAAAGATCAGAGAACTACATCAAGCCTCAAGGAGTGGCATATCGTCAACTTACATCGATTGTAACGACCGCTTTTTGCGGTGTGATATCGACTTTAACCTTTGCTGCAGCCCTTCTGGCACTCTCATGATCCGTCGACAACACTGCTCCAATAGGCTGACAATGATACAAAACCTCATCTTTAGCGAACAGTTTGACTCCCCAATGATTGAAAACCAAATTTCCCGGAACATCGCGCCAGTCGATAAAATCAACAAATCCTGGCTCCTGCTGAGCCTGCGAAATGTCGACAAGCCCTAGGGTACCCGCCGCAACCGGTGACGTAACGAACGCCATATGAAGAGCGTCATGAGGAGTAATGTCCGCAGCGTAAATCGCTTCACCAGTCGTGTGTTTCTCGCCGGACTGATGCATAATTGGACGACGAATCGGATCGGTGTCCGGCTGGTCGACTGGGACGTCTTCGTAGAGCTGGGTAAAGGAGTACTTGGCGAGATGGGGCTCTCCAACGCGTGATTCCATTCCATGAGAGGTGAAGCCGGGAATCTGAAGAAAAATGGGGACCAGACGTGATTAAAGCAAGATATGCTCACCTTCAAGCTCTCACAGACATGAACAAAAAATTTAAAGAAGAAGGAAATCGTCAGCGTTGATCTATATCTTGCCATTCCTCCGGGAACTCCCGGAGGCAATGCAAATTCCTTGGCAATTTCTGTGGCTACATGTTCTAGCAGCTCCTTGTTCCAGCTCCTTCCAACGACCTGCTTAACGGACTCTTTTGCCAATTTGGTAGTTGGCGCCATACCTCCGAACGCCATTTTCAGCTCCGTGATACTTTTATTGTCAACGATTTCGGCCAAAAACGCTCCGGTTACAATTGCGATGTCATCTTCTCGGCGTTGCGCCTGTTTATACGCTCTGAAGAATTGCCCGGGCTTTGTCAACGGGATATACAGCGCTTTCAAGACTTCATCCGACTGGATGACTGTCCGTCGATAGCCGACAAAGAATTTGTCGTCAATTGCGCAAATCCGTGGCCCCCGCGCTTCGGAGACCAAAAGAACTTCGGCTCCGGCGGCCATCCAAATCGGGTTGAGGTCGCTGATCGGAGAGGCTGTGGCGATGTTGCCGGCGACGCTGGCCATGTTGCGGACATGCTTGCCGGCAAAGTAGTGGAGCATGGCGCAAACGGAGCGAAGAACGGCTGTAGTTTCCTCTGAAAATGGATTTTTTTTGACCAAACAAGTCATCAACTCACCCGGAAGTTCCTTGATAAACTTGTTCAATCTAGCCTTCATTTCCGTCAATGAAAGGCCCATTCCAACGTAAATTGCTTTCCTCTCCGTGTCCAGGTAGCATTCCCTCAATTCGGGCACCTGTTTTGGGTTGATAGCGACGGACAAGTCAATGAAACGGAATTTGAGCTCCACTGCCAGCTCGGAATTCCCCGAGATAAATCGACCGGTCGGGTGTTCTCTTTTGATCCGAAGAAGTTCGTCAAAGCTCGTCGGCGCAAACCATTTCACTCCGTTCGCGTTGAGGGTGAAGGATTGCTGGTGCAGCTTGTGTAGCTGAAATTAAATTGTCATCCTGTGGAGTCTCTGTACAACAAACTGCTGCTCAACGCAACTTGTCTGTTTATATTTTTCTCAAACCCTCACCTTCAATTCCGGCGGAAAAATCGGTTCTTGCGTCGGATCATAGGGTGGGCATTTGGACAGATCCGTCAACTGATGAACTTCTTTCCTAGAACCCATTGCTTCCCCATTTGTTTTCCTCTTTTTGCAACAATTTTCTCCCATTGCGCAGCCATTTGCAGTTCCATTTTGTGCCCCATTCACTTTGACCAGTCCATTCTGTTCTTCGGCAAACGAATAGTAGGCCTCCAAGATGGGTCGATAGCCGGTGCAACGGCAGAGATTCCCCTGCAAAGACTCGTCAATTTCGTCGTGCGATGGCTTTGGATTGTTGCGAAGGAGCGAGTACATGGCCATGACGAAGCCGGGAGTGCAAAATCCACATTGCGAACCGTGCGCTCTGCAAAACGGAGGAGATTTTTTAGGCGGATGTTAACGGATAAATACTCTATCAGTTTGTCCGGAAAATAATGAGCACTCTGTCACATCGATAATTGCATCATGCCAAGACTATTTGACCCACCCTTATTCTGGCTATTTGTTGCTTACTTGGCCAATCTCTCTTGGACTGGATGTAATCGCTTGCTCACGACGGATCCAATGCCTTCAACGGTCGTCACACATTTCCCAAATACCATGCAAACTGGAGTCAGACATGCATTAGCTGAATAGTGTCTAAAAATCAAAAAATAGATAGTATTTATTGAAATCCCACCGTATCTCTTCTGAAAGTGGGTCTATATCGGACAACATCACCGTACAAGCGCCACATCCTCCTTCATTGCATCCGATTTTTGTGCCGGTTAGGTTGACTGAAGCAGAATAAAATTATAGCAACAAAGATGTGAAGAAAGTAATGATGGACTGGGGATTTCTTACGATGATCTCTGAGGTACACAGCTAACGTGGTTCGTGGGTCAATGTTGTCGTCTTCGATTCGCTTGCCATTCACGTAAAATATTAGCTTTTCATGGTCGTATGACATGCCTGAAACCTCCGAAGAATGTAAATTATATGAAGTTTGATATTCAAATACACTGCAGCCTCCGTTCAGCGAACTCCTCTATCAGTTCGTCGGGAAAATAATCAGCGTAATGCCGCAGTACCAATCGCGTTGCTGAAGTATGTATATTAAGAAGCAATTTGATTTTACCGCGACGCAATTCATTTCCTCAATACGACAGAGTGCTCATTATTTTCCCGACAGACTGACACTACGTAACCTATCTATAACAAACAATTTCAAAGATCGCTCGACTCAATTTTGGGCTAAAGCAACGCTTCACACAAGAAAATCCCTCTGTAGCACATAATTTTTGCAATTTCTTGCAATTCATTTGACAGAACTTTCACTAAATGTCATCAATAGAAGAGAAAATTGATTTCCCCCATTCTATCAAAAAAACAAAAACATTGTAGATTCTAGAGCAAGCCATCAACTATATACATCGTTGTAGTAAACAATAACTATTCCCTCCCTAGATTCCCGCTTGAAATCCCCACTCTTTCGAAAGCAATTTTCCGTTTTTATCAACTCCCAACAAATTACAGACCTTGTTTTTTTGTTGCGCAAGTCATCTTTCTTTTCCGGGCTTGAGATTATGATCTTCAGCCTGCCGATTATTAATGATTGCGATCATCTGAAGAGAGACCACCAATAATAAAACATTTTTCTCGGTTCGTTGAAGTAGTAAAAGGTCGCGCGTTTCATTGCAAAGAAGAAACGCTTCTGTAGTCTAAGTGCGCTGTATTATTCGGATATTTTGTTTTATTTTTTCAATGCAAGTTTGATCTGCCAGTTAAAATTACGATATATGCAAAGTTTTTCGAGTCGCTTAACCGGCGCTACGACTTTTCTGGTCAGGGAATGTTCGGATCATGGGGGAATTCCTGCAAAAGGCTTAGTTAGTAGAAATAATAAGACTGGTCGGTCCTAGGATAACTTATCGCCTATTTTAAGGACTTTTATATGTACTCACATCAATAATATCGTGATAAAAGCTACGGATCTTTGTCTTCTTTCGGCCTTCGCCAAGCCTCCGCCGACTCTTCGCCGAGCGTCCGCCGACCATCCAACAACTTTCCCAGACTTCCTGCAGCCGTTTATTGGCTATGTTCCCTACGCCCCACATCGATGGATTTTGTGTTCCCCCAAACTGCCGTCGACCCGAGAAGTCGGGACTTTTTTCGCCGTCTGTCCAAAAAAAATTTGATAAGACTATGTAAACTTCTTGTCCTTTGGACCAATTTTCGGCGACTGCTTTATCGGTTAAGATGGGCTTCCTTTCCATCGTGATCAATTTTAAACGCACGTTTCGCCGATTGGTATATAAAGGTAAGTTTTGAGTTTCTCTTTCAGTTTTCAAGTGGCTGTTTGAAGGCGAGGTATCAAGTCTTCTAAAATGATGAAGAAGAGAGTGTGCGTTGTTGGCGCTGGGCCTTCTGGACTTCCAAGTGCACGGTAACGCTGTCAGAAAAATATAAACATAGCACCCTAGCACCGTTTTGTCTGTAGACCTCAGTCTTTCTCTTGAAGATGTCTTACACTATGTATCCTATTGCAAATAAGGTTAACTTCTAATTCCTCCATTTTCAGCTAGTCCAGTATACAACGGGCTGTTTCCATTAATCTACGATCCACACAGTAGTAAGGAAACACGTCTCCAAGCTTTGCTACGACCCTGACAGTAGACAAGGCCCACAAATACAGACACTTTATATGAAAATTTCCACATTCGAATGAGTTTTCGTCTACGAGCCTCACAGTGGCGAAAAACTCGAGATGTATTTTACATTTTGCGAACCTGACAGCAAATGTAAAGTAGCAATCCCTTAAGAAATATAGCTGATGTTGACTATGGTGACCGAAATTTAGATGGGCATTGGAATACGGATTCACCCCGGTCATCTTCGAAGCTACCGATTCCTTGGGAGGATTGTGGAATTACAAAGAAGATGAAACGGAATGGTCGACCGTGAACAGCTTTACAGTCAATAATACGTCCAAAGAATTGACGTCTTACTCCGATTTTCCACCAAAAGAAAGTTCCGCGCCCTATATGCCGTGGCGAGGTGGGTAAATCATTGCTTTTCCATATACGTAAACTTACTGTAGATTTACTGTCCTACTTCAAAGACTATGCGCATCATCACGGAATCGACAAGTATATTCTCTACAAGCACCGTGTCATCAACATTCAACGGGCTGCCAATTACAAAGAAACTGGAAATTGGATGGTCCAATATCAGGATGGGTAAGAAGAAACGGAAAACTTTGTAGAACAAAACTTTCTCTAACGGCGAACGTATAACAAAGATTACAATTGTAGCTCCGGCGCAATAAAGTCACAAATGTTCGAGTATGTCATCATTGCCACAGGCCATCATGGAATGCCCAATCTCCCCGATGAGTATCCCGGCCAATCCTCCTTTACCGGCAAAATCATCCACTCCAAAGCCTACAAAAATAACAAAGACTTGGACGGAAAAACTGTGGTCGCCGTCGGACTTGGCAACTCCGCCATCGACGTCGCAACGGATTCTTCGCGGGTTGCGAAACAAGTCTATTTGTCGACCAGAAGAGGCGGGTATGTGTGGAGTAAAGTCGGGCCGTTTGGTCGGCCAATGGACACATACTTGAACAGACGGTTTGTGGCGACGGTAAAGAAGATAGCCCCCGCGCTTTACTCGTTTGTTGCCGAGCAGTTTATAAATGCCGTTTTTGAGCACAAAGCCTATGGATTGGCCCCAAAACATAGAGTAATCCAACAACAAGGCGCCTTCTCCGACGAGCTTTTTGGTGAGAAATTTGAATACAAGTCTCTAATCTAGTGGAATCAGTAATTTCAATATGTTATGCATTGTAGGTCGTCTTATTGGAGGATCGGTAAAGGTCACTGGTGAAATTAGAGAATTCACTGGTATGTTCAGAATGATTATTTTGTTTTTTCTCCTTTGACTCACAAAGAAACAACACCCTTTCTTCAGAAAATGGCATCATTTTTGCGGATGGCAAAGTCGTGGAGGACGTAGATCTCGTTGTGTTTGGTACTGGCTTCAAATTCAATTTCAACATTTTGGAGAACGGTGGTCTTATTCCTGTTGACAAAAATATTATTCAAAAGGATCGAAAGTTATGGAAAAGAATCTTTCCAATCAACCTGGCTCCGAAGAGTACTTTGGGGATGATTGGATTTTTCCAGGTGAGGACTCGATTCGACAAAAATATCTTTGGAAAAGGGCCTGAAATTCGTTATACAGAGTATTTATACAACGTGTATGCCGGGGAATCTCTCTACAGCAAAATTCCGTACATTAAAACCTTTCTATAACAAAAAATATTTCGTGTCCCAAAAGTCAGTCTTGGGCTCAAGAATCCCAACCCTCTCCATTGCGAATATAACGAATTCTTGGTCCTTTGCGATCTGTTGTGCAGATATTTGACTGTACCCTTAAATTATGACACCTTTGTCTTCAGCCAGTCGGCTCGTTGATGCCAATCTCCGAAATGCAAGCTCGCCTCTTCTTCGAGGTTGCGACTGGCTCCATCAAACTCCCTCCCGCTGAAGTCATGAGAGCCGAAATGGACGAGAGCGACAAAAAGATGGCCAATCGTTTCTACTCCTCGACTCGTCACACTCTCCAAGTCGACTTTACTGGCTACATGACCGAGCTGGCCGATTTGATCGGATGCACTCCAAATTTCAAACAGTTGATCTTTTCCGACCCAAAGCTGGCGTTTCACGCCTTCTTTGGACCTGATGTAGCTTACTGTTACCGTATAAGCGGGCCCAAATCTTGGAGTGGAGCAAGAGAGGCTGTTCTGGGCTGTCAAAAGCGGTTGATGGCCGGAGTTAAGCACAGACAAGGAGAGGTCGGTAACACCAACTTTTACCTTGCTGTTTTGGTCATCGTTCTTGTTGCGCTTATTGCGAGTTATGGAGTTTTCGGTGGTTGCATTCATTAAATAATCATGAAATCAGAAAGCACAGAAACTTGTTCAATTTCTTGCAAATTTTGGCTATTTTTGAACTTCGCTTTTGCTTGTTTTGCCAATAGATACTACAGTGTTTCCACTGGATTCCTTCTCATGCGACTTCTAAACAAAACGTATTTTATAAATTGAAAGCTTTATACGTCAAATAAATTCGTCATATCGGACAAAGTTTACAAAGCAAGAAGTCATCTACTGGTTGGCTTCTGGTTTCAAAGCATGCCTTGCCTGACGTCCCTGCGGGGCCTGAGGGGCAAATCCGGCTTCCCGTTTTCCGTAGTAGCCATAGTTGGAGTAACCGCTGAAATATCGCTATTAACTGATCGGTTATTGCAATCAAGTTGTCCAAGGCTTGAGTACTCACGTTCCATAGCTGTATGAGGGATAATACCCATAGCCATAGCTACTGTAGGATGGGTAGTATCCACCGTAGGCCGATCCACATTGAGCGTTAGAGCTGATGGCGAGGACGGCCAATAAGAGAACGGAGAAAAAGCTGGAAAAGACATTGTTTTCTCATTCCAATAAGTCATCAAATTTCTTTGTTTACGTCCCTGTGATTTCCTTATAGAGCGAGCTTTAAATAGAGCAGAAGCCTTAGCAAGTTGCAACCTTAGTAAATGCCTAGTTTCTTAAAAATCTCTAAATGTAAAATCACCCAAAAAAATCCAAAAAATCCCATCTTCAAACGCCTAAACCCACATTTTTGGAGACATTTTGTGGCTAGCAGAACGAATAATTGAATTGATAGTACCGTGAAGTCAAATACGGTTTTTATACTCTTCCAATTACAAACAAATTCGAAAACCCCTTGACAAAAACATTCAATTGAACCCGGCTTAAGCCGCGAACAATGCCCCCCGCTACTACGAACCGTCGTTTTGTTTGTTGTTGATATTAGTTACAATGTGTACGTAGATATTTAAAATAAGACCGTCTCCGAGCCTACATGTACTTTTGACTTTACTATACTGTTCAGGAAAGTAAGGAAAGGGCAGAGTGACAAATTGTGAAGTTATTTTAGAAATTCCGCTTCAATTTTGAAGCAAATCTTTGAACTCTGAACGTTCCCTTAACAAACGCATGTCGTGTTATTAAAAGTCAAATCTTTATTTACACTCATTTAAAGGCCTTCTTCACATTTGCGTTCACATTCACCGCCCACGAGTTTCGAAGATGCTGGAAGTGCATTTTCGACTCTTCCTGGGACTTCCGCAGAAACGACGGGACATAGACTCGATTGTCACCGATTTTCTCACATCCCAGGAACCTCCGAAGCACGATGAGGTCTCGCTTTAGTCGACGGCGTAGCGGCCGATACTTGAACAAGAATAACGCCAAGAAGTAGCAGAGGAATGCGTCGGAAAAAGCGGAATGACTCTGCAAAAAGTCTTGAGGGTAAATTCAAGGAACTTACATTAGCCAAGAATCCCATCTCTTCCCGATCCAGGCGGCCCGTGTAGTGGAAATAAGTGAAAACACCGGCCAATATTCCGCCAAACCAGGCGACCAAAGTGTAGGCTTTTACTGCCTGCGACAAGATTGAAGTGTACACAAAATTCGCCTCCAGCTGATAGCGTTCTTGCAACGTGCAAGTGTCGCGATTCTCGTTTTCCGTGTTGATTTTGCGATTTATTTGGAGAATGATCTAAACAAGAGAATATGTCGCTTTGATTCTCAAGAATCTTTTGCCAACAGAAGCTCACACAAATGCTTTGACCTACAATAGTTCCGGCTAGCCCAAAAATGCCAGCCGACATCCATGCCAACATTTTGATGAAGGGACCTTTCCTGATGAATTTGTAAACTTCGTCACAGTCAATACTTTGACACATACTGATGCCAAAAATGGAATACATAACGCCAATCGCGATAAAAATCTGGAAGTAAGGGTATTTTTAGTATACGGCCCAGAAGTGGACGCGGCAATCGGGCCATCAAAGACGAATTTGGATGCGTTTTCACCATGTGCATAGTGGCGGACCTGATCCAGTGGTTAAAATGTAGCATTTTGCATCCGGGAAGTACCAAAAACGTAGCAAAATGCCTCACTCTCCAACCAAAAAAGTCCGCTTTGAAGGGCGCGCCCTGCCCTACAAAAATAGCGGGCACAGTTTTGAAATCGGAGTTTTTCACTTGGAGAAGGAGGTATTTTGCTACATTTTTGACACTTCCCGGATACAAAATGGTCAGTTTTTGCCACAGGTCATGTCCGCCATGGCGCGCCACTGTATATCCAAACCTTCTGGAAAATGGCCAACCTACATTGCAAACCACAATAGCCGGCACAATTCCATACGTCCTATTCTCATACTCTTTCATGCAGACCAACGCAACCAACCGCTCAACAGCCATGTTCATAACGGTTGTTGCGGACATGCAAACAGTAACTGTGTATGCAAAAAGCAGTAAAAACAAAAGCGGTCTATAAAAGGCGAACTGAAAGGGTTGTAGGAACATAATAAGGTTTTGAAGCAGAAACATGACCGGATATTGCCATGATAGGATGATCTGAAAGGGTTATCTTTCAAGTTTGGACGCGTATCAAGCGCAAACTCACAAAAAGCAGTCGTAGATTGAAATGTATGGTTTGGATCTTGATGACTCGCACGGTAAAGTAGACTCCAAATACAATATTAGCCGTGTTCATCGACGTCTTCAACAGCAACGCCAGATAATAGTAGTATTTTATCCATATTTCCATAGTAACTCATCAAATGTTTACCAGGCCCTTCGACTTTCGTGCATAGTTTCAAAAATGAAATTGAGAAACCCTGCGATGCGTGTAGCTGTAGTGATACAAATTTGATGGAACCGAAACTTTAAAAACGCATTTGTCACGCGATGACATTTGAAATTGGCAAGCCTGAACTCGGTATGTTGGATTGAGTGCGGGATGTAAGTTTACTTTCAAAAACGACAAAAAAAATGTGTAAAGAAAGTCAATTTCGGGGAATAGGCCTTGCATTCTCAGCACTTTCCTGAGAATGCGGAACAGATTCATTGTAGCTGTCGCCTATAAAGCCCCAAGATTCTAAACAGAGTTTTCATAAAAATTACAGTTTAAAAGCCAATTTTAACCACGCATACCGTACATACTCTCAATTGTAAAGAGCCGGGCCTATTTTCAATGGTAAAGAGCCCAGCCCCCACCCACACAAACACACAAAAATGTCAATACAAAATGAAACGAATTCGGAACAGAAGTCTACTAAATTATTAAGTTATGGTGTCCAATCCAAAGCCTTAAATTCGATTTATCAAATTCAACATTCTTAATTGGCAATTTGCTGTGCAGGTGGTTTAATTTTGAAAACACAAAGCACAATAATTAGGTTGGGAGTTTTTACTAAATGAGGGAACGCAAAGAATACTCTTTTAAGAATTGACAACATAAAGGAACACAAACATTAATCTTTAAAAACGACGTGTTCATGAACAAAACGTGACGGATATAAAAATTTTTCTTTGACATGCCAGACTTCTACAGTAACGGAACTGATCCAGGGCCAAAAAACGTTTCATTTGCATCACGGAAGTATCAAAAAAAGTGTAGCAAAATACCTTCCTCTCCGACTAAAGAATCAACGATTTGAAAGGTCGTTGATTCTTTCCCTCAGAAAAATAGCTGCGCGCTTTTGAAATCGGAGCTTTTTCACTTGGAGATGGAGGTATTTTGGTACATTTTATGACAATTCTTGGATTTAAAATGGTATTTTCAGCTCCGTCACTGTAACTTGCCCCTTGCAGAAATGGCCAAAACTTTTAGTATAAAAGTTGGCGGAGATGTGGCGCAGTTGAATTCGGCTGCGCCTGTAAAGCGTAAGCTAAAATCACAAGAATTCATATGTATCCTGTGCCCGCCGCGGCTACGAAACCTATAGAAAATCGCGCCTCACACTCTTGACACTTTTGAATCGCAATTTTTAGGGCTTGGGGAGGTGGACCATTTAAGACTTATTAAAGTTACTGTAAAAGCGGCGCTGATTATAAAACGCAACTACAGGGAATTGAAAACACTCATCCCTGTCAAAACAATTGTTACACAAAGGTCTGGCCATTGTTTTATGTCAATTTTAGGACAGTTGTAGTAACAAGTACACTTTTCGAAAGTACAAAAATTGGCCTCGCATGAGTGTAGGGAGGCTGAGACGGCAGGAAACCCGGTTGGGATCGTCACAGGTCAACACGGCATCGCTCAGTGCTGAGAACGGTGTTTTAAAAGATTTTTTGCGATTTCCTGCGTCGACCTCTCAAAATATCTAAAAAACCGCGCACGAGAAGTGACATAAGAAGTTCAACCTTACAATTAGAGGGCAATTTCCACAAAAAATTTCCGTGTGGAATAATCTAATTTATGTCAAAAAACTATTTTCTCTCTAACACGTACGCTCCCGGCGTCAAAAGTCATTCATTACCTCGTCGGTTCCTGAAAAGCGCGAGCTAAAACTTTCAGAACTTGATATGTGCCTTACAGCCGCAGACCTGATCTAGCGGCAGAAAACGCACCATTTTGCTTACGGGAAGTATCAAAAAATGTAGCAAAATACCTCCCTCTCCAAGTGAAAAAACTTCGATTTCAGAAGCGCGCTCGCTTTTTTCGTGAGGCGCGCCCTACAAAACGGAGTTTTTTAGTTGGAGAGGGAGGCATTTTACTATATTTTTGATACCTGCCGGATGCAAAATAGTATGTTTTTTGTCACTGGAGCAGATCCGTCACAGTAAGGCACACATCAAGTCCTTAAAGTCTTAGCTCGCGCTTTGCAGGAGCCGATGGGGTAATGAATGGCTTCTGACGCAAGGAGTGTACGTGTTAGTGAGAAAAAATACTATTTGACATAAATTAGCTTATTTGGCGTGTAAATTTTTTTGTGGAAAGGACCCTCTAATTGTAAGGCTGAACTTCTTAGGCCACTTTTGGTACGGGGTTTTTAGCCATTTTGAGAGATTGACGCAGCAAATGTCAAAAAACCAAAATTGAATAAAAATTTGAGCGTTGCACTTGGAGCACTTCCCTCGTTAAACACTCTATGGCACAAATTTGCTCCACTCAAGATTGATATGATTTACTCTTTCACCATCCTTCAATATGTACAAATATCAACAATTTTAGCGTGCCGAAAGCGCCTTCAACGTCTTGTCAATCGACTGCTGAGCCGGCTCTCGTATCGGATGTTTCAGTTCGTCCAAACTATTTCGGATCTCCGTAAAATATGCTGTTAAGCGGAGGAAGACCCGCAATTGGATCTCTTCTTTCCTCAACGATTCCGAATAATGCTCAGGAATGGCGCGAGAGAATGTTGCGCAGATCAGCATTAAATGCGTCACGGTCTCCACCGAATATGGAATAGGATTTGTTTTGATGAACACTTCCATGATTGTCAAAAATGCGCGAGCGCGGAGGCTTTGAACCTCGAATTTGGGTGACAAAATCATTATAAATCGGCGGACGAACTCCTCGAAGCGGCTGTCCTAAAATGAGGAGTTGAATGAATGGCAAGCTCACAGTTGTTACCCTACCAATTCTATGCCATGTTTGTAACTAATCCAGCTCAACCGTGTCCTCAAATCGTGGATTTCATCAACCGCCCATGCTTGAACGTCAGCCCACTCCACCGATGCCTCGAATGCATCAGTCAACAAATCAGGCCTGATCTCAAAGAATCTTTGCGCTCTGTTCTATAAAATAACATAAATTTGAGTTTTCTACCTGCAGCGTAAAACGAAATTAACAAGATGACAATAAAAACGTAGGAAGTAGCGGCTCGTTTAGTATCACAATTGGAAGGATCTCGCAAAAATCATTTTCAAAATTATAGAAAAGGCTGCTAGATATCACAGCTTTAATTTGATCATCACGTGGCTCTAGCTTCCCCGTAGCTACAATAATTAAAGAGGACAGGTAACAATTTGTCGAGAAAATAATGTGGATTGAAATCAAATCTCCACCGTCGCTAATGGGACAATTTCAAAGCGCGAGGAATCCACATTATTTTCCCGACTGACGGGAAAATAATGTGGAGGTTAACCCCAGTTAAGAAGCCAGTCTTACCCTATCGACCGACAGATGCATCCGAGCCATTCTCACATGGAACAAATCGTACGGCCTATTCACAAAATAAATCGCGGTAAACGTTGCGTTCAGTCGCATGAACCCACACAACACATCCACAACATTCTTCGACGACTCATATCGCAGAAACCTTTCGATGGTTCGAAAGAACGGCACTGCGATTTTACTGTTCTCCGGATTTGGAATCAACGATTTCATAAAATTATCCAGATTAGGCAGGCTTCGGAATACCACAACAACTTCATTGTTATCAGCGTATTTCCGAAAAACTGGTAAGTGCCTAAAAACGAAGAAAAATAAAAGATAAAATCGATTCTTACTTGTCCAAGTCTCGAAAATGGAACATCATAAGCTCCGAATAACAAGAAAACCTTAGATCGCCGTTCCAGATGTACCTTGGCAGATCGATCCGTCGGTTTCGTCTGGATAACAGTTCAGTGTCGCTCTCATCCCCCTCTTCTGTCGTATTCGCTGATCTTCTGTCCACGCTTTTGTTATTTCGATGCAAAGCTTTTGAGTCGCCGTAAATTAAATCCTCTTCATTCTGAGGCCCCTCGTCCTCTAGATCCTTGGAAGACTGAGCAATTCCGCGCTTCCCACTCCTTGTTCTAGACGGTGGATCTATTTTTCCAGGCTTAGATACATTCGAGGATTTTCGGCTTTTTGAAGCCATTTTGGGAAGCTAAAAAAATTAGAAAATATGACCATAAAGTAACAAACTTGAAATTGACCACGACGTGCATCTTAAAACAAGGAAAGTCCGCTTTATGAACAAAGAGTTAAAAGGAAGCAAATTTTCAATGTTTTTCAAGCGCAATATCAAATTTACAAGGCTATACCAATACCACTGATCAAATTTGATCATACTCTTTTTTGGACTCAGAACGAAACTATTGTTAATTGCTCGACAACTCCAAAAAATGTAAAAAATATCAATTTTTCGCATATTTTCGCGGATAAAACACAATGCCACGAGCCGCTTGCCATTCATTGTCTTCGCTGTGAGAGACAATATAGAAGCATATTTTGTCGAAAGACATGTTTAATGACATGTGGGTTAGAAAAGGGTGGAAAAATTAATTTGATGTGAGTTCAGAATGAAAACAACTTCGTGTTGTATGGTCTAGCGGAATGTAAAAGAATCCCAAGAATTTGTAAACAGAACAGTGTTTATTTACCCCCGTTGTAATAGGATTAACTTGGTGTGGAACGCCCAAAAAACAAGAGCTTATACTGTGAATAAACGACACTGGGCGAACAAAATAAAACTTTATTTCCGTTCGTTTTCAAAAATCGACCCGTTGTCACAAGTAATAAAATAAGTAGGGATACAATGTACTGATCCTAATATAAATAGGATTTCTGGACTATATAACGTAATCTGACGAGCTTTTCGATGAGCGAAGAGGAAAGTTGAGGGCTGACTCGCGATGGGTTTGTTACATTAGGATCCCACGGTAGGGACCTTGCATTTTCAAGTACTGAAAAAGGTTTGATTAGCAAAGGTTATTGGCAGCTGAGATACTCAAAGTTCGGTGCTTAAATTCTGATGAGAATTATGATTTTTTTTGATAAAATCAATTTTTTCCGCCCAAAATTTCCAAAGATATGGCTAAAAAGTGGTTTTTTGTCTGACCAGTCTCCGAATATTGCCTATTCTCTCGGCGATAAAAGACAGTTGAATACCTCGACGCCTCCGTAAATCGCATGCTAAAATTTTCAAAAATTGAAAAGCACTTACTTGTATAACAAGCGAGGGCCCGCCTTCGGTTATATCCTGAGGTATTTGTGACAGTGGACATCTCTCGATGGACATGATCTCCAAGGAGCAGCACAACGCCAACTCGAATGGCAACGAATGCAGACCGGGGTTGTCGTTCAGGTAGAGGGATTTGAGATTCTCCAAATGGCCTAAAAATCGAAGAAATGGGTTTGATACGGGCTAGACTTACCGATCTCTTCTGGAATGAAGCTGAGCATGTTCTCGCCGACGCGGAGATCCGTCAAGTTGAGGAGGTTCCTGAAAATGATAATAAATAAATAACGGAAGACCTGAAAAATATTTTATCATCCAAAAAATAGTCTTTTTAGAGTGTCGGGAAAATAATGAGCACAATGTCGCTGCGCCGATTACATCGCTGAAGTGTACAGAAATTGGATTTTTGCCGCGGGGCAATTCATTTTCTCGACGGCGATGCGACTTTCGCTACGACAGGGTGCTCATTATTTTCCCGACAGATCGAAATGCAAATTCGGGGTCATGTTTTCACGGGCTTCTTTTAGGCTGGAAACTGCTGATTAACCGTATTTTTAAATAATTTTTCACCCATGCTCTTACCCGATTGTTCGCGGTAGACTTGTCAACTTGTTCGACTGGATCCACAACTTCGTCAGCGACATTAAAAATCCAATGTCGCTGGGGATGCACTCCAGCTCGTTTTCCTCCAAATCCAACTCTCTTAATTTCCGCAAGCTCCCAATCTGCGATGGCAACTTCCGCAAGCGATTTGTACTCAGCACTAAGACTTCCAGGTTGACCAATTTGTCGATATCAGAGGGCAGTTCGATAAGATCGTTGTTGCTGACGTTGAGCTCGGTTAGCGAGGTCCATGTGCCAAAGTCCAATGGCAACGACGTGAGCTGGTTTTCCTTGAAATTCAGCTTCGTTAGTCCGTTGGCTTTGGAGAAGATTCCGAATGGAATCAGCGATATCGAGTTGTGCTCCATGTTGACTGTCTGGAAAGGTGTTGTTTTGAAAGATGAAAATCGGAATAAATAAGGAAAGAATAGGGCGCTCAGATAGTGATGGGATGCGGCACAAGTTTAGGATAAATTTTTCTAATGGCATATGTGAGATTCCTCGGAAGGAGTGGAGGTTTTCAGGCACAAAACTTTAGACAAAATCTCAGCGTCACACTTGGGCAAAAAATTGCACTTACAATAGCACTTTCGAATTGATTTGGGCCTCCTTGCGGGAAGGCATTCAGCTGATTCCTGCTCAAATTGATCGTCTTCAACTGATTCAACGAGACCAGCAAGCCCTCAGGAAGTCCACTGAGCTTATTACTTTCAACAATGAACTCCGTGAGCTCGGTGCACTTGGCCAAGGATGCAGGTAGGGAGGAAAGTTGATTGTAACGGATGGCCAGACGCTTCAAACCGGAGAGCTTTCCCATTGAAGCGGGCAGGGTTTGAAGTTCGTTGTGTTGAAGGTCGAGCTGCGTTAGTTGCGAGAGGTTTCCGATTTCTGGAAGAAGAACAAATTTTAATTTTTTTGGTTGAAATACAGCAAACAAACCTCAAGATTCGAAAAATTGAGATTTTTTGACGAGGGAGGATATTTTTGCATTTTACAACTGAAAACGGCCAAAGATCTCGCAAATTCCCTTCTAAACCCCCAATAACACAAAAAACTCCTTGCTTACCCTCGGGCAATGACTTCAAATGGTTGGCGGATAAAAGTAGAATAGACAACGCTTCTAGTGCGCCAATTTCCACTGGCAAAGAAGTGATTTTGTTCTCCCGTAGGTCGACCATTTTCAACTTTCTCATTCGGCCAATCTCTGGTGATATGTGTGAGATCTTGTTGTAGCGGAGCCATAACGTCTCCAGATTCTCCATTTGGAAGATGACTTCGGGGATTTTCTGAAAGGAACGCAACTTATTATGAGTTATTTTTTGGTTTTTTCAGAGAAAATGAGTAAAATTGAAAAATGGAAATGATGTGGACTAAATGTCAAAAACTTTTTCGCTCCTAAAAGTGGTTACCAGTCGTGTAACACTAGATTTTTGTGATTTTGACCAAAATTGTGAAATATAAAAAAATCAATACTATGTAGACAAAATGTCAAAAAATTCGTCATCTATCCAAAAACACAACTTCCCTAATTTTCAGAAAGATAAAATAAAAAACTCACCTCCGTTAATTTATTGTGCCGCAAATCCAAGGTTTCCAACTTTTTCAGCGAGCTGATCGAATCCGGCAACGATGACAAATTGTTTTCGCTCAACCCGAGAATCCGTAAATTCGTCAAGCATCCAATCTCAGGGGGCAAAGTGCAAAGTTTGTTCTTATACAAGAACAACTCTGTGATTTGGGTCAGATCTTTGATCATGGGAGGGATTACTGTGATCTGGAAAGAGTAAAATCATGTAGTGTCTGTTTATGGTCTGAAAAAGGAGAGCTTGAAGGAGACTTCCAATTCTGATGTTTTCGAAGACATTTATAAACGCTTGGCTTGCAATTTAAGACTATCACAAAAATTTTGACGTCAAAACAACCTAAAACTCGTCCGATTTTGCGGTTCAAAACTTCCAGGTTCAATATGTTTGAAATTACGTAAAAAGGTATGGAAGCCTTGCGAAGAACTCAAAGGATTTTTGCCAAAAATTTATCATACGTGAACCACATTTTAGTTCACTGTGAAATAACAACCGCTCCTAGAACTTTAAACTTACATCCGAGGAGTTGAGATCGACTCTGGTGGCCTGCTCATCCTTGACACGTTGAAGTTCTCTGTTGACATCCTGAAAGCTCGATAATTACATTCCAAATTATGATTTGTCAGAATCACAGAAAACCCATTTTTTATGCCAGTGTCAATTTGTGCCCATCAATTTTTGAAATTAAAAATTCAATTTTTACCCTTCTAACAGTATCCTGCTGCACACTGTTAGCCGTCTTCTCATGCATGCTATTCCGATACTTGGTCCTCGCGAAATTCGTAAACCGATTGATGATCGTCCCAGGGCTTTTCGACCGCATCTGCGCGTTCTGATTCAAATTCTGTTGATTCTGAGCCTTATTATTCAGACTGGCTTGAGCCAACGCACTCGACAGCCGGAACTCAAAATCGCCGTTATCGTTGACGGAGCCGTTCTTGTCGGAGCCATTGGAGGTGGAAGCGGCGGCTTCACTGTGCTTCATGACCGGTCGTTTCCGCACAAAAGCGACCAGTTGCGAGACAGTGCTCTTCTGATGGGCCGGCTGTTCACTGTTGAAGCTGGACGAGCTGGTTGAGGTCGAATTGCTGCGCTGACGACGCAGTCGCTCAACTCCGCCTCTTAGTTGGACCTTCTCGGCCAAGAATCCGTCCTGGCCCGGGTAGAAGACGGGCTGATGATATGCGGAGCTTCGGGGTGGCACGTACTTGTCCGCCGGCTGCCCGCAAAGTGCTCGTTGAAAGCAGAAGCTCAACGAATCAGCCAACTTCACCGACGAGGAGCCGGGAACGAAGAATGGGGCGGACGGAGGCTGACGACGTTGGGAGGCGTCGGACTTGCGCCGCTCTCGGCTTCGCGCTGAATCCTTGTGCGTGTCGCGTAAAGAGCGGCTAAACGGACGGTTACGCCGTCGCTGATCCAGCTTTCAACGCGCGCAATCCCACGATGAATCGAAACACGCGGCGGCAGTCAAAGGCCAAAAGTCAATAATTCCAGAGAAAAAATCGACCGAAATTCGGAGACTACGAGGACAGATAGTACCAATAGACAACGGAGAGTGCAGTAGTTGGACAGGAAACAGCACACACTCCCGGAAACCCCTGAAACTTTGAGTTGTAAGCACACCGCAACGGACAACAAACGCGAACACATTGGAACGAGGACGTTCTTTCCAGTTTTTACAACAAAACTTTGCAGCGGTTTTACTTCCGAAGGTCTTTAATGTGAAAAATGGAAGCTTTAAGTCCGCGATTAATCAAGGTTTGTAACAAAAAGACCAAAAAAGATTTGCAATTTTTCTCCGTTCTAATTTCATTGCCCCAAGGCCATAGAGGCTTTCCCTTCGCTCCGAAACAATCCGGCTCATCTTCCCTTTGCCCCCGTTCTATTTACTTCTCATATATCGGTCGCTTTACGACAAAAGCCCGCTTGGAGAAATGGGAACAAACAAAAGGTGGTCAAATCAAAAAGTTTCCTTCAATTTTTGCGTTAAGTTTGGAAGCGAGCGTTCAAGGATCGGGATGGCGAGGAGAAGTGGGGTGACAGGAGATCTTGGGAGCTTCGGAATCTGGTAATGTAACTAGGGGCTCCCCCTAGGACAGTATGGAAGTCTAAGACTATAAAAGGTTCTTTAGGCTTAGACGCCACAATATGGATTCAGTTTTTTCGGTAGGCCAGCTAAGGCCAGCTGAAAGCCGATAAGTCACCGTATAAACTATACAGCGTGCAAAAGCTCGCACAAAGTGTGTAACGGTACAATAACTTCCGGAATGCGCTCTCTCAAAGCTATTTACACAAGCTCTCGACCAATGAAATATATTCCGCATTGTCGTTACGCCCCCATGAACTAAAGCAATCAACGAAATTGTAAATTCTGGAGCTCCCTACGGTCTGTTATGTCAACAAGCCATAACCCGCGTACTATGTACAAAACAAATGAAGAAAGCTTATGTGTTGACTCGCGGCTAAACGATACAAAACAAACTCAGACAAAAGAATCTGACTGTAGAATATATCGCAGCATTAATTGTAATGTCTGTAGACGTCTCCGTAGGCTTGCTATCAGAGTGTCGGGAAGATAATGAGCACTCTGTCGCATCGAAAATCGTATCACTGCCGAGAAAATCAACTGTGTCGTGACAAAATCAAATTGCTTTTCAATTCAGCGACGCGATCGGCGCAGTGACATTGTGCTCATTATTTTCCCGACAGACCGATATAATCAAACAGTTTTTTGTCACCCATTTCAGAAATTAAGGAATCGCAATAAAACCCATTAGAAATTAAACAACCAGTCGTCTTTAGCCACACAAAGCTATCAGACGCTTCAAAAAATTCCTGAGAAGCCACCAGGAGCGCTTAGTTGGAAGAAACCGAAGAAAAAACTCGAGAAACACCAGACCCCCCTAAAAACACACGCATAACTCCAGTTCTCATCGATGCCCCTTAATCGATTCAACCCACCCAAATTGATACGAAAAAGACGGTTCGGCTTCTTTTTCTCGTCATTCGGAATCAGAATTTGGGGGGAGAAGACGAAGATATAAACCCCCCAAGAAGTGTGATGTCTTCCCGAAAACATTTCAATCATTTCAGCGGCCGAATCTCCCCGCAAGTCGGGCCCGCATCGCAAGCAGGAGAGGAGGGGAGAAAACCCGGAGATGGGAAAGGCCAGAGGCTCCCAAAGTAATTCCCATCCTCGCTCCAGTTTTTTCTTCATTTTGATGGCATGGACCATTGGTTTCGGGTGTTAAGAAGCGCAGCGGAGCAGGCTGCGCAATTGATTTAATTGGAGAAACCGCCGCTACTCTTACCAGGTTGAAATTTGAGAGTAAATGGAACAAGGGGCAGGAATTAGGAGGCAATGGGGGGAAATGTCGAAGCCCCAACCAAGGTAAAAATCGGGTTTCGAGGTGATAGAAAAAATGAAAAGATTTCTTGAAGGAAAATTAAACTTTCCCCTGCATGATGGATGGGATGGCGTCACTGGCGTGTCTAGAATTTCCTGATTGAAAAAAGTGGGTGCTAAGGAATGCTAGGAGGTCGTGAGGTGTTGAAGATCAAACAAACGTTAAAGAAAAACACTTTTTTTGGCATGGCAGAGCGTTGGGAACGAGTATCGTATCTTGAAAACAAATTTTTGCCATCTTTGGGAGTTCTCTGGTTCTGGGCCTTTGTTTTTCTTCAATTTCCGGCGATACGATCTGTCTAAGACCCCATCAATTCTCGTAAATCTTAGGTCGCACTTTTCAGGCACTGCAAAAATTTTCGCAGTGTTAGACACAATGGAGAATGAAGACAGAGGGCCACAAAAAAGACATCTTCCGCGATTTTAAATTTCCGACGTTTTAAGACTACGAAATGGGCAAAATGAAAACAAAAACTACCGTCGGGATCTTCAGCTTGTTCTCATGAAAACGCCTAAGGCAAGGAAACGTTCCGGATTGCGTCAGCGTTCTTTTCAGTAATGTTTAATCCGCGAAATTGCAATTTCAAGGCTAGACAATTTTTGTTTTGGACAGGCGATTGAATGGATGAAATTAGTAACACTCCACAGCAATGAACAAAAAAAAGCAGAAAGAAAATGAGATTTTCTGACTTTTTAAGCGTCTTTCAGCAAAAAAATTCCCCTAAAGTTATATTTTAGCCTCTGCTCAGCTATGTTGAAAAATTGCAAGGACACAATAAACAGACGAGATTTTTTCCGCATTTCAGGAACGGATGTTCAAAAAAAAAGGGAAAGCAACTCTCTTCTGACATCGGTTTACACCCGACCCCTTTGGCCAACGGAAATCTGGACAACAGGAAACTGGTTAAACAAGTTAAAGAAAGGAAAAAGAAGGGCAATCACCTCAAGCTGTGATAGAATACGGGATTATGATTTGTGGTAAAATGCAAAAAAAACTCGAAAAATATAAAGCAAGGGTTCTGGAAGTGGTTTTTAAACCACTTCCACTTAAAGCACGTTTTTAAAAAATGCAAATTTGGGTTTTTTATATCAAAAAATTCCGATTTCCGGAAAAAAATCGTTTTTAGATTTAGCTAATTTTAGATGATGAACTGAACCTAAGAGACGGATGTCTTCTATTTTTTTCAAATATTTTTTTATTCACTAAACAACTTATGAGTCATATTCCGGCTTTTTATTACACTAAGAAGCCCATAAAAAATTAAAATTTCGCTTTTTTTTAACAAACACTGCGGAAAAAGTAAAAAATTTCAAGAAATAAATGCTTTAAACGGCAAAGTGCCTTAGGGCATATGTCTAGATTATAGTAAGAAGACAGTCGAAGACATGCTAACCTCAAAAATAATAGAAAAAAACTCGCATTTTACATCTAAAGTTTAAATTTTTTGCGAAATATTCGTAATATGTCCAAAAGTTTCAGTTTTGGGTAATAAAAAAAAATTGATTGTATTGAAGCTTCTACAAGGATGTTCAGAGCATTAGAAATCCTATGAGTCACTTTACCATATGAAATCTTTAGAAATTCCTGAGCATAAATATTTTTTAGGAAAAACAACGGAAAATTGATGATAAATCGCAAATTTCTTTATTTTTGTAAAATTTCAATACGTTGTGCGACGATTTATAGGTTATAAATGAAAATAAGAGCTGCATGCATATCAGCAGTCTCAGAGAAATCGACAAAATTTCATCAAAATTGACTCAAATTGCCCATGGAAAGATCCATTTTATCAGATATAAAATAATATGGTCTGGCCCGACGGTCTGTCTAAATGGACGAAAAGTTCGACCCAACGATAATATAAAATGGATCCGCGATTTCCAGCGGGTCCAAGCAGCTGCATTAAAAGTTCGGGAAAGGCCGTTTTTCCGCAATTTTTCTTTTCTTTTCTCGCCGCTCTTTTCGATCTTTCTGTCTAACTTATGATCAGTCCAGGACGGGAGGGGAAGAAAATTCGATTCAAAATGTCTTTTCGGCCAGCTCGGGGGTTCAGGTCGTTATCAGTGAGCCTCAAGGGGCTCGAGATTTCAATGGATATCGGGAAAGTTGAAAAAAATTGGGAGTAGATAGAAAGAGCTGTATAAGTATTAGGGTGTCCCATAAGTCTTGTGTATTTTTGGGTTTGAGAATTAAAGTCTCGTTTCGCAGGCCTAAATGAATGCATCCCTTAATGTTTGGCATTGTTGAAACCGCCATCTCTTACACTTATAAGCAGCATAAAAATTTTAACTAATAACATGCCCTTCGGGAAAATACTTGAAATTCTTTAATATCATCAACTTCTGGGAAGGGCTGGGAAAACCATTCCGTTTTTTGATAAATGGGGCTGCACCTTTGCAATTGCATTTTTTAACACATCTACTAAGTACCCTGTTTCTAAATAAACCGTTTTCCCCTCTGAATTTGTTCTTATGACGTTGTCCTGCAGGTTTCTTGTATTAGGCGCCATGGTGAATATTGTGATGTACATAATTTTGCGTATAACATTTTTTGAGGGTGGTTGCTCAGGTCGCGCCGATACCAGAGTGAAAAAAACATAACGTTCATGCGTCCTAACTATGAATCCGCTGGCTGCCTTGTTCTGAATTACCACTAACCCAAAAAAATTTGAAAAAATGTGATGCATTTACTCAACACCAAAAAAGTCGGTATGGATACAAGTAACATTGTAGTGTAGTGTGTTCTAAACAGTGTCATATGTGTTTTATTTTAGCAAGAGGATTTTGGAATAGAGGTGCTGAGGGCTGAAAAATCACTCAATTTAAAAAATTTTCTGTAAATTTTTAAAATAATTAGGAAATTTTTAAATTAAGCTTATTTCAAGCAACAAAAGTGACACAGGCGGTGATTATTATGTCGTTGTGTTCACAAACAACAGTAGATTAGCTACCATACGCAGCTACAGCCAACACTTTCTACTATTGGAAAATTGAGTCTGAAAAGCATGAGTGCAGCAGTTCTCATGTTATTTACACCACCACCAAGGTACCCCCGCCCGTGCTGCAGCGCGAATTAAAATAACATTTAGGGCTCTTGTGCGTCCTATTTTCATGTTTAATAGGCGTACACATCTGATTTTCCAAAGTATATACCCATTTTAACATCAGCAAGCAAAATTTTTTTGATGTCTAGTACAATATTGGGGTAGTGCGGGTAGCAGGTGGATTTTTTGCAGCCTTGCTACATACGGTTTAAAAGCGCAATTCCTGATCTTCAAAACCGTATGTCTAACATATCTCGTAATGCGTTACAAAGCTCACAGGAATTCGCACAAGTCAACGACCCCAAAATACACAAGACTTATGGGACACCCTAATAATATAAAAACTAAAAATTTTGCTAATACCTGAAGTAATAATTTTTTGAGGAGCAGACGTTATAAAAAAGTAGGACATAAGGTGACCAAACGGGATTTTTAATAATCAATTTTCCAGCGCAAAATTGGCACAGATACGGCCAAAAAATTGTTTTTTCCGTCTGGCCAATCTCTGAATTCCGTGCACTCTCCCGTCGACAAAAAATATGAATATCTCGCTGCCCCTGCAAAGCGCGAACTATGGCCTATGCCTTAAAAAATTTGTGGCCTGTGCCTGAGAAAATCTAAAGAAAGTCTGAGCGTCGCACTGGGGATACTTCCCTTATATAGTGTTCCAACAAATTGAAGCTCAAAAAAAAATAATGTCTTCAAATCCGTGACAAAGGAGCGAAATCCTTTGAATTTCCTCCTCCCCATCAAATTGCTATATAAAAGGAGCACAATTGTAGGTCCCGAGCATGGATTCAAAAATAAAAATGTTGTCTGCTTCCGTTCACACTTACGTCACGATAAATTATAACACTGTAAAAATGGAAAATGGGGAAAAATAAAGCGAGGAGTAGAGTTCAGGTGTTGGAGAGGAGGATACAATTTGTTGGAGAGGAATGGTTTATGAGCAACATACAAAATGTTATATATATATGTAGGTGTAACAGATAATTTGACAAAGAAAGTATTAAAGAGGATTTTTTATCCTTTTCTAACTAACTATTACTAACGTTAGTTTTCTTTACCTTAAGTTATTTTAACGTAAATATAAAAGACCAAAATTGATGCAAAAAATTATCTAGATATTATTGATGTGAGTACACGTGAAATAAATCAAGATAGTAGTAAGCTATAGGACCCGATCAATCTTCTTATTTCTGTTAACTAGGCCTTCTCCTAGCCTCCCTGATGCATACAACGACAAACCACAGTATCGTCGACCCGGACTGTCGCTGACACGAAAAGTCGTAGCGCCAAAAAAATATATTAAAATTACATTTTTTTAAAATTCTTCCTGTAAGAATTGTTAAGCGCAAAATAAAAAAAAATAAAATTTTTACAAAAAAAAAAAATAAAAATTTTTTGGTTAAGTAATTTTAAAATTTCTTATTAAAACACAGTTATTACAAAACCAGAGATATTGTAAAAATTTTCCATCTATTTTCCACCGTAAAAAATGATTAAAACCAAGTGAATATCAAATTTTTCGCTTCAAATTCAAAAAATATCCTTTTTTTGAGAAAAAGAAACTTGACACTGGAATAAAAACGAAAAACAAACTCCCAAAATGGGATCCCAGACTTACAATTCTCCGTGACAACTTTTTGGCGGTGCGGCCGCGAAGTCCGGTGAAGTGGGCCTTGTCTTGGCCCGGCTTGTCCACCACGGTAACGCGTCTGGTCAGGTCCGTTGCGGAGGAATTTTTGGGCGAACGCACGTTGTCGAATCTCTGGAATGGGGCGATTAGGTTGCTATGGAGGGGAAATTCAATTTTGGAAAAGTAAAAAACCCTTTTTCGGGGATTTTTTTTGGATAAATTTATTCATTCATGCCGAATATAGCGCCAAAAATTTGGGAACAATTTTTGGCACTACGGCTCAATACAAGGCCCTAGGGCAAGGCAAAAAATCAAATTGAAATGTTCATATCCCAATGGAAGCCATTTTTTCTTTCTTGTTCTCCCCCATTTTATACATGATTCCCTTCGAAAACTTACAGAGTATAAACTGAGTGGGGCAAAGTTAAAACTCATTTTGATTGATTACATTTAAAACAAATGTTTAGTGGGAGAAACAAAAGAATCGAAGCTGGACGTGCGTCACTGCAGTTTACTCTCCTGCGAAAACTGGAGGAGAAAATACTGATAAGAACCAGTAATATGTACATTAAGGACAATTCTTAAAAACAAAAGTTTCATCCAAAGAAAAATCGATTTTTTGAGGAAAAATTAGATAAAAAAAATGTTTTTTATATAATATTCTCGAACCTTTTTAAAATACGGTAAGTTCAAAAAAAAACCTGTCTAAACAAACATTTTCTCAAGCTCCCAACTCTCAATTATAAGCGAAAATTAACCTCTGTACAACGCAACTCCTCGGTAAGAAGTTAATCTCCTAGCCCTTTATCACACTTTTGAGTGTATCCAAGAAATCAAAAAATCCTGCTTTTGAGTCTTCAAGAATTTTTTTCTAACCTCCGCCGAAGGCCATCGTGCTCCCAGCACCGGTTTCTTGTCCATCTCGTCATTTACAGGCAATGACAGGCGTCGCTTCGACGCCTGATAGAGCCCATGCAGAAAGGCTCGAGAGCGCGAAGCGGATGGTGGAGGACCATGTCGATATGAGGGGTAGCCCAAGGAGACACTCGACATTTTCTTGGAGACCTTTTCATTTTCAAAATTGTGATCTGTCGAGTGATCTCGTGACAGGCGACGGATCCACGTCATTGCCATGCTGAGAAGAGGTCAAAATTGAATGCAAGTTGTTAGTCAGGTGCCCGGTAAAGGAAGCCTTCGCGAAGAAATGAATGCAAAACACGAGCGCAGTCTACAGTCAAACCTCTGTACAACGAATCACAAGGTCCCGTAAAATTACCCGTTGTACAAGGGTTTTGATTTTCATTTTTCATTTTGAATTAAAACCGACTTTTGGGACCTCTGAAATTGTTCGTTATAGAAAGGATACGTTTTATGGGAGCTCGTACAAAGGTCCACTATTGTTGTCTGCGCTACATAATCTTGTACGAAAAACATGCTTTGACCCGAGCGATTCATTGTATGTACCGTGGCTTGACTGTACTTTATACAAGGAAGTCTATGTGGGTCTGATCCAATGACCAAAAACACTCACAATTTTGTGTTCAGGAAGCATCAAAAATCCCGCGGCAAATTCTCCTTCATTCACAAAAAAAAAGAAACTTGGGCCATGAATTTAAAAAAAAGTGTAGGAACCGATGAGAATAAAAATCTTTGAAACAGGCGGAATATTTATAAATGTACACAAAGTGATAAAATGTCAATAAATTTCTTGGCGGAGACCTGCTATGACGATCGCATTTGGGTTTTACAACTTTCAAAAATTGATAAAAACCTGATCGAACTCGAAATCTGAGCCTTATACGAGCTTATTGTAGGCCTCAAAAACGCAATGAATTCTCGTCTATTTTAGACTTAAACGTCCCTGCAAAGCGCGAGTGACAAGTCTCCCATATGTCATAGAAAGTTTAACCTAAGTATAAGCCATGTTTCTTCAACAATACGAGCCACTTACGTCGAGCCCATTGCTCGTCAAGTAATGTCGTGAAAAAGAGGCTTTCCCTACAAACATGTATTTATTGTCACATAAGACGAGATTTACACATCTTTTTGCGACATTTTTTTACAATCGACCTCCTAATCGCCACCGCCAAGTCGACGTTGGCCGGACCTAATAACGCAAATGTGTTTGCCAGCAATAAAATCTAATCTATTGGAGTGAAAGCGAACGATTGCGCTGCAAAAAACGCGAGAAGACATTTCTAAATTTAGCAGCGAACTAATAAGACAATGTAAAAAGGGCATGGCACGGAGAGGCAGGCGCGCAAAAGAAGGGGTTTTTGAGTCAAATGACGTCATTATGCTAATTTGAAAGGGGAAGAAATAATAAAATGGCCTAAGGCACTGTTATTTTCTATGGAATTTAAAAAGAGTTTTTTTGGCAGAAAAAAGGTGGGAATTCTTGGGAATTTAAAATATTTTTTAGGCAAGTTATCGTATGAAAGTACGGTCAAAACTCTCTACAAAAAAACCAACCTATAACAATCAACTCCAGAGTCAATTTTAAGCCTAAATGAACCTCTGGGCAACACAACCCTTCTATAACGAATTAGTTTGTTGGTCACTGGCGATTTGTTCTACGGAGGTTTGATTGTATATCAAAAAAATAGAGTTATATTTTTTCAACTGAGCCAGTGGCATTTCTCAAAAGTCCAAAAACACACATCAGAAGTGTTTGTTCTGGAAATTTGAGATGTTTCACGCGCTCAAAATATCGCGGCCAATTGAAAACATTGACCTTTGAACGCGTCGGGCAAGTGCCAGAGGCGTTTCGCTCGGAATTCACGTCACTTTTTTCATAAGCTGGATCGGGGAAAAAAGAAAATAAAATCATTTTTTTTAAGTTAAGCCGGCGTCTTGAAAGCAATGTTTTAGAAAGCTTTGGTACACGACAAAAAACAAAAGAAGTCTTCGACTGTCAGGGGATGTGATAGTCTCTCCTCCAAGTGCGACCAAGATTTTGAAGTCGAAATTTGGCAAAAATGCAAAATTTTTTTAGTTAATTTTGCTGCAAAAAGTTTCGTATTTACTTCTACAGTAAAGTAGTGTCTCCACAACAAAAATCAAATTTTCTGCACAAAACTGGCAAAGATATGGTAAAAAAAATTTCTCTGTAACCGCTCTCCGTGTGTCGTGTACTCTCTCGACGGCAACGTTAAAAATTTTAAAAGTCATACAGGAAAATATTAGACCAAAATAAACCTCCATAGTACAACAACCCCTTGATAACAAAAAAAATCCCTATTTTCGATCCGTTGAACAAAGGTATGATCAAACCTCTAAAAATTGCTACTATTCCAATCTGGCACGTAGCAGGATCCGTTTTCCAACATTGTTCCGTACACCGAACAAAGCGACCGAACCCCAAACGAGTAGTGTCCAAACCTATTGACCCATAAAGAATTCACAACGGATTTCGCTGCTTTCGGATTCTGGCCATAAGGCCCGAATTCCCCAAAAAAGAACGGGGCCACACTCCCCTCGCCTAACTTCCCATGTCATTTGTTGAAGTCGGCCCGGAATTTGATATAAAAATGTATGTTTTCCCTAAACATATACGGGGGCAAACGGATTCTAAAAACGGCATCATCCATTTTTTGACAAACGGGAGATATTTATGGAGGAATTTTTAAGTTCATGTTTTTATTATAGAAGGTGTATGGAAATTTTGGAATTTGGGAAGTTGGCTACTTCTTTAGTTATATGTAAAGTGCGCCGCTAAGATTTAGACGAGGCCTGGCAATTCCTGCGCTTTGCAGAAACAACTGAGGTTTCTTACCGAAAAAAACCCTCAATTGTTGTTACCAAAACTAGACCAGCTTCTTCTTCTGATTTTGAAAAATTTTGCTTTTAATTTTGCGCGCATGTCGGGCATAGGTCACATATCAATTGCTAAAATTTTTGTTTCGCGGTTAGCCGGGGGTAGGTAGCTATAGAAGGCGAGCTGCGGACATCCAGACAAAAACTTTTCGTTGAATGCCGGGAGGAAAAAATAGACTTTTTATGGAAACATTACCTTCTACGGCAGAAACACTCATGAAATGCCAAAATTCGCAAAAAAGTGGCACATTTTCGATAACGCTCGACTTGAAAACCTGTGCCGTTTCTGCACATTTGATCATCACTCTAGTTACCTTTCGGACGAGTTATCAGTCTCTCCCGGAAGAGCCAGTACAAATCAAATTGTGGCCGGTTTGTCACATAAATGTGTAAGCCCACCATTTTCCAATAAGCCAAAATTCGGCTCGTAAACCAAAGTCAGCGTTTCTAATTTTTGCATTTCCAAGCAAACCACTACTGCGCCGAAGAGCTCGTTCCGGCCTTCTGAAGCCGTGCCTGCATAGGACATGAGATCATAAGGAACTTGACCAAACATTACTTGCGCCCTACACGGCTCAGATTCTGGGTGGCCAGAGCAAACAAAAAAATAATAAATTTTTTCCGCGAAATTTCAAAAGCAAATCGCGGATAGATAATATAATCAGAATAAATTGGATTGCCAGACCGTTCGCCATAAACAAACCGGTTTGTTTGGTAGTACGGCGGAGAAAATACTTTCCTACTTTTTGATTTGGTTTGTATTGGATGTAGGGAGCACCAAATTGGATGTTTTGAGTTTTAGCAAAGACCGAAAATCAGTGTCGGTTAATAAGGGAAGTGTCCAGGGCGCGGGGCTCAGATCTTTGATGAAACTTGGCATAAATTTAGAGTACCAATTTGAAAAACATGCACGAGATTTCTAACTCACGTTTTGCAGAAAAAATTGAGATTTTTAGTTTAAAAGTTGATCAAAAATTGACGATTTTTCGCGAGTTAACACAAGAAAAGTTTCAGCCTTGTTTTTACTGGGAAGTGAAACATTCCCTCAAAAAAAATTTTTTTTCCGTTGGCAGAGATACGGTCAAAAATCGTTTCCAACTCTGACTCCCTCCTCATTTTGCATACTCTCTCGGCGTCCAAACCGTGTAATATCCCGGCTGTGACTGACAGCGCGAGCTTTCACAACTTATCTGCGTGGCTGCCAAAATTGGATCAACTTCTTCAGAGAAGCCGGTCAAGTTTTCAGCCTTCTCAAAAACACTCGCTTCGCATCCGCAACTGTGCAGTAAAACACGATGAAAAGATTAGAGCTCGGCCCTCAAGAGTCCGGAGAGCAAACGAACATGCCAAGGTATAATAAACATTTCAAGGAGGATGAAAATAACATCTGCTGTGTCGGTGTTAATCTCCCCCACCGTTGGTGTGCCCATAGAAACCGGTCATCTAGCGTCGGCTCGGATGGGAGAGGACATAAAATCTTGCACCAGACACTCGTTAGACAAGGGCGTTCATGCTCGGAATAAGCGGACCGGAGGCTACCATTTAAGGTTTGTGGAATGCACTTTTTCCCGGGAATGCGGTTGAAAACAAAGATTTAAAAAGTAAGCTAGAGAGGTCAACGGGAAAGGTCAAGAGGCCTGGAATTTTTAAAACGCGCTTTGCAGAAACAACCGAGATTTTCGGTCACAAAAGGCTTTTTACAGTGTTTGAAGCAAGACTTCGATTAAAGGGACAAAGACCGTTGAAAATCTAAGCAGCCTTCGCGCAAACCGAATTAAACTTGTAGCGAATTGATTCTTGAACAAATAGGGTAGACATATTTTACGAATATTCAAGGAAGTTTAGTAAGGAAAGTGCATAAAGTACAATGCTTACAATTAGAGCTCTTTTATATTTTGAAAACATCCTGGTCCTGAAACTTTTAGCTTGCGTTTTTCTGCGGAGAAATTTATATACCTTTACCCTTGAGAAAGTAGGTAAAGTGTGGAGAGCGTGCAGAGAAAAGTCGCAGCGGCAAATTTTTTTGGGGTCAGCGCCAGTCGGGGTCAACGATACTATGGATCGCGTCGATTCGCTGTTGTATGCATGGAGAAGGCCATAAGAGTAGGCCTCGTTAGCAGAAATAATAAGATTGAACGGGTCCAAGGATGGCTTATAACTTACGGAACTTCGTTTTCGCCGCAATTTTTTTTATTATATGTCATATTAGCTCAGGGTAAAGAAAACTAACGTTAGTAATGGCTAAAATAGGAAAAAGTAAAGATTCTTCGCCAAGTCTCCGCCGAGCCTTCGCCGACAGCCGCCGACCATCCAGGCCTCGTAGGCACTTGCTACAGCCTTTTATGGGTACCCACCTGCCATATCCCCCGTATCCACCGATTTTGTGGTGAAGCAAACTCTCCAACCCAGAAATCTTGGCCATTTCTGCAAATTGCGAGCGGGGAATTTTACACTGTTTAAGAACAAAACAATATTATAAAATTTCCAGCCAATTTGTACGAAAATCTGAGCTTCGTGCTTTGAGCATTTCCCGAGATAATCGGCAAAAACTCTGAAGACAAAAACAATAGCCGGTCTTTGCGGTCTTTCGACCAAAGACGAGAAAATATCGTGAAAAGTTCATCCACAAAATTACTATGCTACCAAAGGCCAGCTTAATTTCCTGTTTTCTCGTCCCAACCCCAATGGAAGAGGGTTATTTTTGTGCTATAATGTAATCTGCATTCGCAATGAACGTGAACGTGATTTAAGCAAATCTACGGGGTCAAAAAAATGTTGAAGAAGCTTGTGATCAAAATTGTGGAAAACTAAAGGAGGTATCCTCTTTGATAAACAAAATAATAAATATATATATAGTTGTTGCCCTTAAAAGCGTTATTTGGCGTATACTACAAAAGAGTTGTAAAAAGTTTCACAAGCTTACATAGACCTTTTGCTAGTGCAGAAAAACTGTAAGTAACATGGAGACGACCCTAATAGCGACGCGAAGATCTTGATGAAATTTGGCATAAATTTTGAATACCTTTTTCAATGACATATGCAAGCTCGCGCTTTGCAGAAACGACCTAGAATTTTAGCCTGGACCGTTCTCCGCGTTTTGCCTACTCTCCCGGCGGCAAAGATTGTTTAACATCCCGGCTTCCCCTGCAAAGCGCCTGCTAAAATTTTCAGGGGTTGATATTGAATCTGAGCACCATGCTCCAAACGCTTCCCTTCTACTGTAAAATGGTCCAAATTTCAGGAACAATTACTGATGGGGTGTGCAAGATTTCCACAGAATATAAACAGTTTACGTATTGGAACGGAAGAGTCTATACGCGAAAGTCGCTCCTCTAGGCAACTAAAATTTTAAAATACTGAACCGTGGCTCACCCAAAGAGCAGCCTGCAAAATTTTGCCAAAATGTGACTATTTTTGAAGAGCTCCTTTGTAAGACAAATGCTTTATTCTTTGTCCTCAAAATTCCAAGCCCCGTTCCACAGTTTTTCCCTTCGGCCCAAAGAAACGAATGCATTTTCAGGGCGAACCTGAGAATTCATGATGTGTTTTTTTTTGTCCTCACGGGTCATTAGTTTCATCCATCTTGCAAGTCGTTCGGGGGAAACAACAGAATGCCCACCAAAGATTTCTCTGGTCTTGATCGTAAAAATAAAAAAAAATGGCAAAGGAGAAACAAGAAACATAAGAGGCATCAAGGTTGTTGAAACTTTTTTATATTATTTTTTTTGCAAAATTTAAATAAAATTTTTCGAAAATGAAAATTTTCACAGACGTTGGGTAATTTTGTTAGATTTTTTTCGTCTGCTAGAAAATTTTTTTTATCATTTTTTGTTTGATTTTTTCAGATTTTTCTATTCTCATATATTTTCAACAAATTCCGCGGAATTCGTGATCGAAAGTCAATCAAATCAACAAAAAAAATCAATTTGGCTAGACTCACTTTTTTGTGTCGATCATGTGCTTCCTGTAAATGGTGCAAATCCATATGACTGGTCTCTCTTCGGCCGCACAAACAGATTCTCTTCAGGAGGCGCAATGGGGATGAGGGTGCGGACTGCGTTCCGTTCAAATGCGTCTGTTCGCCGGCCGTGTTGTGCATTCGATACTTTCGGGCCGAGCCCGATGCTCGACGCTGAATCCGCGTTGCAGCGGGCTAAAAATATTGCTTGTGGGCTTGCAATATGAAATCGGAGGGCAATTCGAAACAAATTTATATAGGGCACAAGGAAACGGCCGTACCAAACTTAACGGTATAGATAGAAGTATTAGGTTGGACGAAAAGTTCGTACGATTTTTTACCCAAATTTCAATTTAATTTTTTTCGCGCCAAGACCGAGTGCCCACCGTAAATACCTAGCATATACAAGAGTACAGTGTGCTGATTTATGTGCTACGTGCCAATCGTTAGCTCCGCCAAAACGAGCTTAATTATAAGAGATTTTCCGCTTTGCGGCTATTTCGGGTGGGGTCCAGAACGTAAGCTCTAGTTTTCAGATCGCTTTTGATAAAGCTCTGAAACTTTGCACGCAGTGTCCAGTGGTCTTTCTGACTACGTTAAACACAATTAGAAATCATAAAAAAGTGTGTCCGATAAAATAATGGCAACACTTTCAACCAAATCTTCAGCAAAGGCCCCTCATGAAAACTTTTTCTTATTATTCCGCGTATTGCTTATGGTCTGTCTCTTTAATAGGGTCCAGTAAGACAACTGGGTAGCCCTTTACGTGCTTCATGAGTATCCCGGATAATAAACGCTTCGGGTTAGTCTTAAAGAGGCAAAATTGCCAAAAATATATAGCTCTACAGAAATGCATGTGATTTGCTGACAATTAACAATGGTTACCCATTGCTTCATAAAGTAGTAGAACGATATAGAGGCTCCATTTTCCACCCTAGAAAAGGAGGACTCGAAAACTGCTTTGAGCTGTTTTTTGAATTTTACGAATTGCTCCGATAGTTCACCAGCGAGTTTTTAAAAAACAAGTCATTGAGTTCTGGCATGTCACGCAGTAAAACAATTGGCTAAGGACGGGTAGCTTAGTGTAAGGCAGTGTCTTTAATTTTGGCGTATCATAGTTAGACCCATAGGAATGCATCGGCAAAGCGGCTATTGTAATTATATTCAAACTTGGTGGGTCTCGCTAAAATCAAGTTTTCTGGCTATGTTTGGATATAATCCCCGACTACTTCACGCACATTAGGAGCTTCAAAAGGAAGCTTTTTAGTAGTGCTAAAACAGTTTCCTATCAGGCCTTGTTAAACAAACCAGCCAAGAATCTCTACTTGTAGACCAAAGATGGGTAAATGTCTAAATTAAGTTCTCAGTTGGTACACGCTTAAGATGGCTGAGGGTTGTACTGTCAGATAAGGATGCCTGTCCTCTACCAACACCATATATTTGTGTTTGTCTTTTTACATCGGCTCAAGAAAAAATAGCAGCAGTAAAATATCGTACGAACTTTCCGTCCAACCTAATATAATCCTAATATCCAAATCTGAAGCTTCTCCCCTGTAAAACTCAACGAAAGAATTTTTGTTTTTCAGCCAAAAATTGCGTACCAACGCTTACGTGCGAAAGAGCCAAGGTGAAAAACAATCAACCGCCTTTCGGGGTTCATAAATTTCGGAAACGCCTGAAGCAACTGTTTGCGGGCATTAACATTCATAATTAACGCCGAAGGGAAAACAGTCCGGCTAATCGGCTTCAAGCCCATTTTTCTTATCCTTTCAGACTGATGAGAGAATTTTGAAGAGTCTGATGATGCTGTGGACATCAAGAATGGATTTTTGAGGGAGGTGTGGGAAGTGCAGCACTCAAATTCTAATGAAACTTACAGGGGAAGTACCCCAAGTGCGACGCTCAGATTTTGATGAAACTTGGCACAAATTTAGAATAATTTTTTCTAAGATATATGCGAGAATCCTAGCTCGCGCTTTGCAGAAACAACCGAGATTTTTAGATCGAAAGTCGGCCAAAATTTAGGACTTTTTGCCTAATCTTGGCACGAAAAGTTTCATGCCTATTTCTACCGTAAAGGATAATGTTTCTACAAAAAATCAAATTTTTCCGCACGAAACTGCCAAAGTTATAGCCAAAAAGCGTTTTTCGCTCTGGCCGCTCTCCACCTTTAGCGTGCTCTCTCGGCGGCATAAATCGTCCGATATCTCGGCGGCGCCTGCAAAGCGCGAGCTAAAACTTTTAGGAATTGATATTTAGTCTATTCCCGACGTGTGTGCAAAATTTAAAGAAAATCTGAGCGTCTCACTTGGGGTACTTCCCTTGTTAGAACAAGTTCCGATTAACTTTTTAAGGCATTGACAAAATTTTGTTGCAATGACAAACGGAATCTTTAGTGTAAAATTGGCAAAAGGTCATCATTTTTTGGATAAGTCCAAAAAAATGATGACATTTCGCCAATTTTTATATTCTTATTTCTGCAGAAACAAGAGCGCCCTCCTCCCAAAAAATCATTTTTTTCGCCCAATATTAGCAGAAATACGGCCAAGAAAGCGTTTTGTCTCCGACCACTCTTCGCATTTTTCGTACTCCCTCACCGGCGAGGAAAATCTTCCTGCCGTATCAACCAATTCCCCATCAACCACAACTCATTTAAAACTGATTTCTCGCTATGTGCATAAACCCTTACATCCAATATCTCGTGTTCAGTTTATATGTAGTATCGATCGTAAACTGACAGTACTTAACTTAGCGTTTCGAAAACATATTAAAATTTCAATAAAAACTTTTTCTTTGCTTGGACGCATAATATTCCATTCAAAGATGAGGTCTTATGAGTAATAAAAGACAACGTAATGAGGAACAGATTTCTTCAAAACATCAAACATAAAATTCATGATGTTTTCCTTTTTTTATCGCAAAAAAAAGATCACATCAAGCCAAATCCGTCTGCAGCGAATATTTACAGAGTCAAATTTGCAACTGAAACATCGCAACTGCGATGCTCAGATTTTCCCTTAATTTTGCGGGAATGATCCCTATGTCAATTTCTGAAAGAGTTAGCTGGCGCTGACAGAGATAATCCACGATTTTTACGGCCGAGGGACTGTGCGAAATGCGGAGAGCGGTCAGAGAGATGTATTTTTGACTATATCTTTGCCAACTTCGTGCAGAAAAAATTGATTTTTTGTATGGGCATTTCCTGTTGTATGAGAAAGCCGTATGAAATTTTTCATGCCAAAATTCGTGGAAAAATCTTGTATTTTTGCCAGCTTTTGACCTAAAAAAACGGTCGTTTCTGCAACCGCAAGATGCGAGTCTAACATATGGCCTAGAGGAAATTATTCTAAATTTGTGTCAAGTTTCACCAAAATCTGGGTGCCCCGCTTCGAGCACTTCCCAAAAAAATTTGCCCCAGTTTTTATGTCCTCTTGTACTCTAATTCACGCTAAATGCTCTATCCTAGCCGTCTTACTTTATGAGGTACAGTTTGTCCATTGGCAGGAGATCCGTCCGAGGTCGTTGGCTTTTGTTCAATTGAGCATTTCACCGGCCCGATTACACGTTTCAGCAGAGGTTCCGCGGAACTGTCCGACATCTGGAGATGAGAAAAAATTTTAAAAATTAATAAAAAAATTTTTACTCGTGTTGAAAAAAAAATTTTAAATTTTCTAGCAGAAAATTTAAAACCAAAAAAGGAGTAAAAAACATTTCAGTTCAATTCTCACTCAAAAAATCCCAAAACGCGCATTAAACAGGTCGCAAAAATTTATGGGTTTCCAATCAACGAGTCCGTTCCAGAAAGGGCTTGACAACGTGCCGGAGGGGGACAACAAGTGTTTGTTTTCGAAGCTCCGCCAAACCGAAAAAACGGGTTAATATGGTTGAACGGACAATGGATATCAGTTTGGCAACAAATTATATTATCCTAAAGTTCAAAAAATGGAAAAGTGGATTAAACAATTTTTAGTGGGCTTAGCATAGGGTAAAATTAGTGTCAAGAGTTTTTTGATGAATTACAGCGAAATTCATGACTTTACATACAATCGCTCAGTGCAATGTGGTTCAAAATGGACATCAATTCAGCGCCGTTGAAGCTATTTTAAAGAGTAAATCGATGTGGCGTGTCATCACAAATAGGATTTTGTAGAAAGTCAATTTTTTGAGCTTCAACTACAAAGGTGACATCTCATAGCAATTAGCTAACCAAGATTTAACGGCGATCTCACAATTTTTCCCCAAAAAATACAATATTTTCAAAAATAGTCTTTCATATACAAGTCGATGATCTATGATACGTCAAAAGCGCAACGATCCTCCCCTCCGAACCCTCCGACTTCACGCTGTGTCAAACGGTGACATAAAATCTTCAGAAACGGCGGGTGGAGAAGAGACAAACTCTAGGGTCAAATTCTCTGTTTGGAAACCGTTTTTTGCTCCAAAAACATGCAAGAGGAAGGTCAAAAGAGGAATTCGGGAGAAAAAGCAGAAGAGTCCTTGGTCAGTTAAGGCCGCTTCAACGACGCTTTTAAAGCCCTCTTCTGCGGCGGCTTGGCCGCGAACATAAACCCCAACGTAATTTGAAGTAATTTCGGTTCGGAACGTTCGCCGTAAAACTCGGGGACTTCAAGTTGAACGCAAAGTTTGGTAAGTAGAGGATGTAAAAGGGAGTTGTGGATTGTGAAGGCGGTGGGTTTCGTATAGTGCTATTTGAAGATAAAAAATGGACATAGAAGGAATCTCTTTGCATCGCTGTGTAACCCATTATAGAGAAACGTTAATATAATAATACATAATTGGCACTTCAAAGAGGCTAATACGAAATATGGCCATAAAAATTTTCGACGCCCTCCGTATTTATCGCACTTGTCTTCAAAGATCTCTGAATATCTTAGCGAATTTTTAGGAATTCATTTGTGACCTATTCCCAATGTGGTTACGAAGGTTCATCAAAATCAGAACGTCGCACTTATGACAACTCCTCTTTGCAAAAGAAGAAAAAATTAAAATTTTCACCTAACAGTGTAAGTGCTCTAAGTGCAACGTTCAGATTTTGATGACACTTGTCACAAGTTTAGATTAATTTTTTGTAGACATATGCGAAGCTCTGAACTTGCGGTTTGCAAAAACAACCGTTTTTAAATCAAAAAATGGCGTAAATATGGCAATGTTGGCTTGAAAAGTGCAATTTTTACCTGTGGTTGATTTTGTATGAGCAATGCTCCCATATAAAATCAATTTTTTCAGCGCGAAACTGACAAAGATATGGCCAAAGTATCTTACCAATACCCGAGGGGTGCGAAAAATTTTAAAAAAATCTGAGCGCCGTACTTGAAACTTACTTGTAAAAATTGACCTGTCATGAACCTTTTTAATTTTTTTGTACTTCCCATTGCACTTATGACTTACTGCTCAAGGTTACACGCTTAATTCACAAAATTTTCCGAAAACACGCTTCACATCAAATAAACAAGGAAACTGTCTAGTAAACTCCAACCCCGCCGCAAACAAGACGCCGAATGTTATGCTCGACAAAGTTTCAATGGCCGCGGAATTGGCGCCAAAATCATGGCCGGAGGCGAGAGGACGTCGAATCCCCCCGAGGCCCCGACCTCAAACAATGCATGATCCCCGAAGATTCTGCGGGGTGATATAAGATTTCTGGGGATTGATATAAGAATAGTCTTTTTTTCTTCGCCAAATTTATCTTGTTGTCTTTCAATTGTAATGTCTTTTTGGTATTTCTATAAAAGATTACTTTGAAATTTGTCGGGATGAACTTGGAGCGGGGGTTTTACGCCTACGCCTGTGACGTTATGGGAGTGCTGAAATTTTTGTCAAAAGCACCCAAATGAACAGGGAGATACTGCAGGTACGACGCTATTTTGAAAAAAAATGGGAAAAAATTTAGCATCATTTTTTCTAGCAATAACTCATGTGCCTTGCTTGCGCTTTGCAGAAACGACCTAGATTTTTTGATCGAACGCTTGGAGAAATTTGATACTTTTTTTCCGGATATTGGTACGAAAACTTTCCTACTTATTTCTAGGGTACAAGGCCTTGCAAGGCAAATCACTCCACAAAAAAAAATTTTCCGGCAAAAGCCAAAGATTTGGCTAACAATTTTTTTTTCTGTCTCTGCTGTCCGCGTTTCGCGCACTCTCTCCGCCGCAAGGAGGATTACTCGGTGGCCCTCAGAAGGCGCAAGCTAAGTTTTCAGAAATTGAAATATGGCCGTCCCCAAACGTTTATGCAAAGTTTAAAGAAAATCTAAGCGTCGCATCTGCGGTATTTTTTCTGTAAATTCCTTTAAAACAATCTGTGAGGCTCACCCTCACTTTTAGTTGAGGCAATAAGAGCATAAGAGCATCGTAAACATAAGATTTTTGCACTTTCGCCATTATATTACATTTATTAACATATTACAGACGAGAAAAATTACATCAGATTATTCCGGACAACTTCTCGGCCCCATCTTCCCCATCCTCCGTCGTAAAACCTCGGTCGTCCATAGCCACCGGACGAAGGCCCTGCGTAACCCGCACCCCAGCTACTTTCTGCAGACTGGTGATGGTGATGCGGATGATCAAAGTCCTGATGATGTCCCCAAAAATCTCCAGCGAAGTGATGATGATGTTCCGGCTCATATGGAGGCGGTGGTAGAGTTGGAGCAGTTTGTAACGAGAGATCTGGCGGAGCAGAAGGAGGGATCGGTACGGGTGTGGGAGCAATCGTCGGGCTAGCAATTTTTGCTTCAAAAGTCAGCCTTTTCTTTCCTCCATTTGCTTCGCAAGTTTGTTTCAACTGCTTGAACGTCAGACATGTCCCACAACTCTGACGGCAATTCTCCAACATCCATGGATTCTTGTCGCATTCGCCGCGCTTCGACCATTCAGCGCATTGAGAGTTGTAGTCGGCACAGTCTGAAGAAGGGAAAATGAGCTCGGAGTTCGAGGCAGCAACAACAAACAATACAGAGAAAGTGGGGAATATAATTGGTTAGATGGTCATCTGTCCTTCTCGGCAACGAAGGCCTTAAATTTTGCGCGCTAATCGAGCATAAGCCACATATCAATTACTGAGTTTTTTTAGCTCACGCTTTGCAGGAAAAGCCGAGATATTCAACGACCTTTCGACCGAAAGAGTACGAGAAACGTGTAAAGCGGTCGCAAAGGAAAACGCATTTTAGCCGTATCTTTGTCAGTTCTGGGCGGAAGCAATTGATTTTGCGTGGAAAAATTACCCTCTACGGTACATGTAAATAGTCATGAAACATTTCTTGTCAATATTCCCAAAAAAGCGTTTCATTTTTGCCAACTTTTGACACAAAAATCTCAGACATTTCTGCAAACGACAGGCTCAGAATCCCGGGTACGTATCAGAAAGAATTACTCTAAATTTGTGCCAATTTTAATCACGAACCAAGCTTTGCACTTGGATTGCTTCCCCTGTAAAAAGGTGCCTTACCTCCATACGAATAATCGGTTGGTGTGCAAACGCCACAGCTGACGCGGCACCAACACATCATATAGATCGGATTCTTTCGGCATTCACCTTGATTGGCCCAATGTTGACAGCACATATTTTCGTTATTGCAGCCGGGAGAAGTGCACTTGCTTCCCCACGAAACCGCCGTGCCTTGAAATTGCTGAGGAGTAATGGAATGCGGGATAGCAGTCGTTGTAACCTTGGATAACGCAATTGTTGTTGTCTTCGAGACCACAACTCTTGACGTTGGTTTTGTCGTGGCTGCGGGCTTTGCAGAAGGCGCCGTTGTCGACACAGTACTCTTGGCGCAAGTTTTTGGGATGTTGCAGAGATTGCAAGCTTTTCGGCAGTTCTCGTTCATATACATAGTATTCTTTGTACACTGGCCTTGAGCCGACCATTCTCGACATTTGATGTGGCGATTCGGGCATTCTAAAAACCTCAGATAAAACCCGGTATATGGTTTCTTGTGGCTCTTTAGAGTGTCTTCTATACCGCCCTAACTATCAAAAAGATCCCTACCATCACTGAGTTTGTACGAGACCGGAGTGCAGATTCCACAGCTGGCCGGACAATATTCCCTCATGTAGTTCTTGTTCGCCTCGCATTGTCCCTCTTTGGCCCACATATTGCAGCATTCTTGGCTATTGTAGCAAGTCTCAGACTGCTCGGTGTGCCTTGGAGTAATTTTAGAGGGAGGGCTGGTTGTTGGAACTGGATCGGGCTTCAAATACTAAAAAAGATCTTTGGCGTATTGTTTATACACTCTAAACAGAGAACTCAACGGCAAGAGCTTACGTCCGGATCTGGGATACACTCGTCCGCCACGCACATCCCTTGGTAACACGGGCGATCAGCTGGAAAAAAAATTGTGTAATTCTTTAATTTCTTAATACAGGACAGGAGCCAGTAGCCAAAACGCTTCCTATTGCTTCCAGGAAGCATTCTGAACACCTCCAAATATTTACTTCCTTTTCTGACTCCAAAAAACAGTTGTTTTTTATTGGCTGAGCCAAAACTTGCTTTTAGGAAAGAAGTAGGAGTGTCCACCAAAGTTGCGATTTACAAGGTTAACGCGCGACAAAACGCACAACTTTTCGCTTCAATCGCCTCGAAAAAACGCTATTTTTGGCCAAGCAGCGAGGTATCAGCCTGTCCGAAAAATAATGTGGCTTTGTCGCAGCAAATGCCTCGCCTCATTGCAGTCGCGCACCAAATCCCTGGGGTAGCTGTCGCAAAGCTATGATGGGATATTACAGGCACGGCAAATCCGCATTATTTTCCCGACAGACTGATACTGCATATACATGGCGTTATTTGCAACGCTCCCTTGATGCAGTGCGAAGCACTTTGACCACTGCTCCGCTCTGTATAACAATTTCAACGACTATGAACCGTTTACACTCACCGTCGCTGATGCCTTTACAACTTCCGCCTAGTTTAATTTTACTGGCGCACCGAGCTTGACCGCCTGATGTCAGGCAAAACAAATATGGTGATCCACAATCTTTGGAGGGCAGTGAACACGTCGGCCTTGGGGCGTACTCGTAGAAATCGTCGGTGTACCTGTTGGACAGCCCGTCAATGTTCTTCCACGGCCCGAATGGATGCATATCCGCTCCGGCGGTATGGTAGGAGCTTGCGCACGAGCCTTTAATTATAATATTTGCCATGGAGCTTTTAATTTTCAGAATCATTACCCTGTGTCAGCGGATAGACCACTTCTCGAGAATTACGGTCTTGTCGAAGTTGACGCCAAGTCTCCCAAATCAGATCGGTAAAAGCATGATGAAAATAGAAGCTAGGGTCATTTCCAGAAGTCGCCTGTTCGTACATGTCGCCACCAACGAACATGTGGACATTACCATGAGTATACTCGAGGGAGTAGAAATTGGGACGAATAGGGCAGCCCTAAAGATTAAACGGGGTTTTTGCGGCAGAACCACTTGTTGCGAACTTATACATTTATAACTCGACATCGTCACTTATAACGTAAGATATTATTTTACCAATCAAAAATTCCGACTCACCTTTCCAGGCGCAGTAAAGGCCAAGACTTCTTCGATGTCCGGCATGTTCAATAGCATTTCAAGTTCCGTGTCGTTGAATGGATGACCCTCTCCGCCGAGATTCCGACGAATCTTGTCGGTACCCTAAATTTACACCTTCGTTAGAAGTTAACAACTGACCTACCTGTATAGTTCTCCATGGAGAAAAATCGCCGCCAACAACCCAACCATTTGCGTCCGAGGAGCCGAAAAACTCATCCGTCCAGAGAATCGAATCTTTTGGATCCGGAATCCGACTGTCTAATGTTGAATCCCAATATGGAACGTTGACTTGAGGGTCGACTAATCGGAGGGAAATTTCAAATCTGAAAAAGGGCTTATCTCCTCTAAAAATCAGCAAGGCGACCTTCTGAACGCACTAGAAGCGAACACTCTGAGGCTACCGACCGTTCCACCATAGCTCCTTTCCTTGCGAAAACTTTTTCTTACCTTTTCAAGTACTCTCGATGCCACGGCAAGAACGCTGGTCCCGAATGAGCGGCTCCGGCTTTGTCAAACGCTTTATGAACACTTGCGAAGAAATCGTAGCTTCCTGGGCCCTGTCGTTGTTTTATCGTCTAAAAAAGACCACTTGACTACTTGTTGGACAATCTTTGTTTATCTAAAAAAGCTCACTTTTATCGCTGAATGCAATCGTCTCCTCTCCACATCACTCAGCATCCGATACTCTTTCCGCCGGCTCTTTGTAACGCCACTTCCATCCGGCAGTCGACAGAAATGACTGTCATCCGAGCTGCCAGTCCCTCCCAAGTAGCCGCAGAGGCAGCCAATGGTCACACAATCAAAGGCTGTTTGGGCTTGCAGAGGAATTTCAAGCCCATTCAAAGACTCGTCGATTCCCGGAGGCAATGCGGTCTTCGCTGGCGGCGGATGCTTTCGCGCGCCTTCGTCCCATTTGGAGAGTTGGCGGCAAATCCGTTGGAGAGTTGCGGTCGGAGCTGTGTTGCAGTCGATTGAATTTGCAGGTGGAAAAACGAGAAGCGGAATTAAGAGCAAAAAAGCTGAAATTTTTGAGATTCGGAGTGTCTTAAAATTTCCTTCCCAATTAGTTTTTTTGGTTAAAATCCCAAAAAGTCATTGATTATTGCGCTTTCTTCAGCCCAAAACTCCCAAACCAAAAACAGCAAAAAACTACAAACAAACTTACGTTTTACCATTTTCGCCTTTTCCTAAAGCATATTTTCCATCTGAAAAAAGCCGCTAAAAGAATTCTTAAACCGAACGACGAAGCGTTCCAAATTAAAAAGAACGCATCAATAATCATCAACAAACTTTATTTAACAGAAAAATCAACAACAAACCTGGATCAACGGGGTTCAAAAAAATTAGAAATGAAAAAAAATCAAAAAAATTTCAAAATCATATCTTTTCAAATTCGACGAACCAATTTCCCTGTTCGTAAAAGGACCGGATCAACTTGGCATTGTCCAATTTCCCCACTAAATTTTCCATTTCTCCTTCGGCAAAAAGATGATAATACCGTAGGAATTGGGAGCCATCCATCGATTTTTTGTTCGATTCCCATGGGACTAGCATGTCTTGTTGAGTGAAAATCGTACCATCATGGACGGTGAGACGGTGGGTTTGTGGTGGCGCTGGAGTGTCAACTAAAAATTTATGTTATACAATGACGGGCCTGATTCAGCAGCAAAAAAACGTCTTTGCATCCGGGAAGTATCAAAAATGTAGCAAGATGCCTCCCTCTCCAACTAAAAAACTCCATTTTGAAGGTGAGGGTTCGTTTTTACACTTCCCTAGTGAGGGAAAGGGCGCGTCCTTCAAATTGGAGTTTTTTAACATGGAGAGGGAGGTATTCTGCTACATTTTGTGATACTTCCCGGATGCAAAATGGTACGTTTTTTTTTGCTGCTGGATCAGGTCCGTCGCTGTAGTCGATAGCAATTAAAAAAATTTTAAAATTGCTTCAATTTTGGAGCAAATTTAGATTAAAATTTACTGAGGTGTATCGGTCATTTTTTCCGCAATATATCCCCTTAAATTCTCTTACCTTCATCCTCCTCCGTTTTTTTATTCTTCCTCATTTTTTCATATTGACTTTCTGCCTGATCCATGGCCCATCCACTGACGAGTGCTCGTCCGCCAACCCTCAGCACTCTTGTGATCTCCTTCAACGCAAAAACCCTTCGCTCCTCGGTCGAAAAATGATGAATAACAGCGGCGCACAGGACTCCATCAAAAGAATTATTTTTGAATGCCAATGACAAATTATCACATCGTACAACCGCGCAAGACTTTTGATATGCAATTTTGAGGAGACCGTGGCAAATATCGGAGCCTATCTGAAATGATTTGCGGGTAATATTAAAGTTTACAGGGTGGCCAGAAAAAACGGAAACTTTTTTTCATAGGTCCTGGCGCCAAAATGTTTTGGTGTAGCCAAATCATTCTTCTACCATTAAATTCTCCGTGTTCTTCTGCCCTAGTACTTCGATTTTCATGGCCATATCGATTATTTAACATGGCTTTTTTGTATGTCAAACAGAGGGACCTCGATTTTGGACATTTTTTTTGAGCTGTTTGAATTGTTAATTTGATCGGTATGTAAAGGACCTTGTGTCGAATGTAATCACTCAATGCAAGCGGCTTGACAACGACAGGGAGCGTCAGGAAAGTGTAAAAAAACGCACCGACAGCGCTTCTGCCAGTCGCAAGATCATCAACAGCAAAATTCGCGATTTTCCAAGAAAATCGCTCGTAAAAACGGCATCAGCGATCGATCCATCTACCAAATATCCAAAGATAAGCTCAAACCCACCCCATACAAGCTGCAAAAATTCTAGCTCTTCAAGGCTTACAACAAACGCGTACGGCGCAGAGATGTCGGAAAACTCAAGAGTCGCGCCGCTCCTCTTGGATGAGAGAAATGGATGAGAAATAACCCAACGTTGCAACGCGCTGGGCAAGCTCACAACCACAAAGATGATATCATTTGGACTGTTAGGTGCCAAGGAGCGTTCGCTTTTTTCTAGTACTGTCAAAACCCGATCCGTGATGGCCTGGGGCGAAATTTTGCGCCAGCGGCAAGATATCCCTGGTTTTTGCAGATAAACCGGTCAAAATCAACCAAAAAGTCTACTAGTGACATTCTGGAAGTTGCCGTGCTTCGTGAGCTCATTAGCATGTTGTCGATGCAAATTTAACGTCCTAACGAGAGTCATCCCCGTCTCACGACGCAAAAAAAGGCTCGGAACCAAGAATCGGACCGATTTTCCCGACTTTGTCCCTTCTGCGAAATCACCGCTTACTCGCTAGATTTGAATCCAATGGGCATGTACTTTTTTTCTATGGAAGGTCAGCATCTGTACTATGCGCCACGAAAGTTTGGAGCCGCTATGTAATCGCAACGCCAAGAACGGGGCCGATTTCCTAAAAAAAAGCTGCGGCGTTTTGCCAAAAATTTTAAGTCGCGTTTTGAGCTCTGTATCGGCGCAATGAGCAGCTGCTTTAAAGCTGACTGAACATGTTGTTAACAATGCTCCATGTTACTGATATTGATTATTATTTTTGCCGAATTTGGTTTGTTGAAAAAAATATTGCTACAAATACAAGTTTCCGTTTTTTCTGGCCACCCTGTATATTACACTTGCCCTAACAAGCTTGTCATCGCCAGCAAGGTACTTTCCATTGCCACAACCGGCGTCCAATAGGACTGAAAACTCGGCAAATGAGGATAGGAAGTTGGAGAAAGCCGGCCATCGCGAGAAACGCGTGATGTCAAAGTGATCCGCAATGTTTTCGTAGACCTGAAGTAATATATTTTTTGTAAAAACAAATGGCGTTACTTCAAAAAGTCTTTACGGCGTGTAAATTAAAATTAAGGCCAAAATCGATTTTAAGACATAGATCAGCAAAATCAATAAAAAAAAAATTTAAATAGGCCAAAAAAATTGTATTACACTAGATGAAACTAAAATTGCTGGCCAATTTAGCAACTTCAATGTAACTAAAGCTACATAAAAAGAATGTAACAGGTACCTTATGCAAAAAGAAAAATTACACCCCAAAAATAAGCACAGCGAAGGAAGAACATCAAAATTTTTATCCATAAGGTCGAAAGAAAAAACTAAAACTGAACTCAAAATCTTCAACACATCTCTTAAAAAACGTTCTAAGACCTCTCACAGCCCCAAACATACCTCATTCACATACTTTGACTCCAATCTCGCAGCCTCATCATCGCCTTGAGGGCGGGCCATTTCCCCATTTCGGTCCCAATCACAATATTCTGGAAATGGGCATTCGCATGGAACCTTTCGAACCGTCCGGAACGTAATTGATATCCTCTTTTGTCTCTCTAACAATGTATTATCCACCGGGGACACGTCATACCGCCGATTCAAGATTCTAAACATCAAATGTCAAGGGCAATATAATCAGGTCTAAAAATCTCAAAAACTTTCCTTACCCGTGCTTATATTTATATCTGGAAGCTCCTTCCATCAGAACAATAGCCCGTCTCGGCATCAACACGTCGATTGACGTGGCATTATTGGCGCAATCTCTGTATTTCATCACAATGTCCGAACATAAATTGATGACACAAATTTGTTCCTCGAAGGCTGAATGGGTGTCCACATGCATCGGGATTCCTTGGCCAGGCTCGTAGACATTTATCGTTACTTGATCAAACGTTTCGTCAATTTTGTGACCTGATTTTCGAGATTGTTTGAGGATTTCTGTGAGAATCTCGGGGATCGAGTCGGATGCGACTGTAGTGGCAGTATTGCTGCTGTAATCGAACACATGGCCAAAGTGAATAACAGTCCGATTCTTTAGCACCTCTAAAACACTAATTTCGAATAATCAGAACTTGCTTAACATCAAAACAAAGCATTTCTATCTTATCGACACCACCTACCCGATGGTGAACATTTCTCGATAAAGCCCATCAATAACTCCTCTTGCTCCTCTGATATTGCATTCTCAATCACCGTCAAGCCTTTGGGAATAACTAGCTTCTTCTGTGGAACTAAAAATCAATAAATAATTAAAGAAAGCTCACTTTTATTAGAGTAGCAGATGTAAAACGGCATTGTACTTTGCTTGAGCCATTCTGGTCGGGTCCCGTTCAATTTTTCCTTGATCTCCGTTGCAATGTCCGTTGAAGAACACCTGACAAAGATGTAGTTCTTATAATCGCAATGCTCCGGATACACGACCAGCTCACAAAACTTATCCAAGCTGGAGAAGCAATTCTGAACGTCCGGAAACATTGCAGCCGCTTTGAACGAAGTGTGGACCGCGAAGAGAATCTAAAATCTTTCTTATTAGCCTGAGAAAGCCATGTAGAATCTAAACATCCCCGATTTAACCAAAAATTATGTCAGAACGCCGAGAAAATAAACAAAAATGTTATTCATGACTTCCAGTTTATGCCTAAAGCAAAAACACAAAGAATATCAAAGAAACTCACATTTGAAGGTTCATTTTCACTCAGAACAACACTATCGTGCTTTGTTCTAACCTCTTTCAACGCTTTCTGCAAGTTTTTTTGGTACTTTTGCTCCTCATTCTTCTCTCTTTTCGCAACCATCACTAATTACCTGTTCCTAAAACAGATCCTGTTTATTTTTAACTGAAATGCAGAAAACATCGTCGCGATATCGTGTAATACCTGTAAAATTTCACTAATTTTCGATCGAGAAAAAAAATATATATTTTATTTTATCTGGCATTCCGTTGCAGGCAGAGTTTGTTTTCGTGGTGGGACTAGAGGAATTGATGTATGATAGAGAGAATTTGCTGTAAAAGTGCAAGGACAGCAATTGGTTGGCTTTGCAAGAGCACACATGTTATCTGTAGAAGCTTAATCAATTAAGGGTTGAACGTTCTCATTGAACTTCACAAAAAAATAAAGCTTGTTGGCAAAATTGTAATCTTCGAGTAAAATTTATTGATTTTTACATTATTCCATCGGTTTTCAGCGTCATTTACCTGGCCTATCGGTTATTTGACGTTTTTGAAGGCAAATCTTATCAAAATGATCTTTCAATTCGCAAGTGGCTTGATTTTTAGCCAGAAGTGGACGTTTTATCGTATCTGCAATTATAGATAACATGATAAAAGCGTGCATCTGCACTTCAAAGACTTTGTGTTTCAAATCAAAGTTTTTTCCGACAAAGTGAAACCCTTTTAAACAAAGAGTGGGAAAAAATTGTAACTGGTCAGCGATTTTTCCGCAGGCTGCAATTTTCGGATAGTCCTGTCATTCCATGCTTTAAAGAAACGACAAAACGTGTACTTGGCTCGGTCCAAATATGTGCAATTTTGTTTCCAGGAAGGAACCAAAACCGTAAAATACACGCTTCTTTTCACAAATCGAGGCTCTTTCGGGGAGAGAAAGGAACCTTTTTGCGGCATTTTCTTCCCCTCCCTTCCGACACTGTAATCTCCAAACCTTTCAAAGGTTCGGTGTGTCATGTGAGAGCATGTCAGATTGAAAGAGCCTATAAATGAAGTTTTTGTAACGATGCACGTCAAACTGACGATGAGGAGTCCGGTGACCGGAATAGACTCTTCGTTATCGGTTTTTTACACTTCGTCTTGATTTCGCAGAGAAAGAGAGAGAAAAGACAAGCAAAACCGTACTCTCTCGCCCCAAAAATTCCCCATTTCTTCAGCGACAAAACGTTTTTTCGCGTCTTTTTTTGGTAAATTGCCAATCCATTCACCGGACTGTTTCAGCTTTTCTCAGTTTGACGTGATCGCGATGGGCTGGTGAAGTACGGTTGTTTGTTTCGAGGGGCCGTGTTTGCCAGAACCTTCTTTACAGTAATTCTTCCCCAATTATCGCCAATCATTTTTTTTTAAGTCTCTTATAATTTATTAGTCTTTTATGTACACAGAGTTTCAAATTTGAGATTCGAGATAACGTGTCGTATGATTAGGAGTGAGTGGATGAAGAAAACAATAGGTGGGCTGGGAGATAAGGCGATGCAAGAAGGGAAAGGATTATTCGAATTGGAAATGCATTATGATTTTGTGGAGTTGATAAGAGTGAAGCGGATTAATCTTGGTTATGGGAGAGAACTATTTTTTAATGTAGTTACAGCCTCTTCCGAAAAAAATTAAGCCGATTTCAAATTTAGAGAAACTTTTGATGAGTAATTACAATTTTGAGCACAAATCATATTGAAAAAGTTGTTGAGAAAAATAGGAAAATTGGCAAGAAAGATTACAAGGAAAGTGGTAGAAGTTCGACGCTCCGATTTCGACGAAACTTGGAACAAATTTCAAATAAAATTTTCTACGACATAAAGAAGTTTTCTAGCTCGCGTTTTGCGGAAAGTATCGAGATTTTTAGCATCCGAAGTTTTAATGGAAACCTGAGCGTCGCTCCTCCAACAACCCATTTTTCAATTTGACTTGTGCTTAAGAATACTGTGCTAAGACTTTTGCTTAAAACTTGGGGGCTTCGGTAGTTGAGCCCCCCACGAAAGGTAGTTCAAACCCCCACTGTTTTGCCCGTTTCACACCCCGCATAATGAACAAATTAGAATAATACAGGGTGGGGCATCTTTGTGGCCCGATTTGAATTGACTATAACTTCTTTAGTTTTTGGCCAAATTTTAAAATTCTTTTTTCCCTGAATCGTCAGCTAACCCCATTTTGTTTGATACCAAATATGTTATACATAGTAAGTGTATATCTACAGTTATTGGATTTATTCTTAGAGTTCATTTTTTCGGTCGTTTTTCGGTTGTTTTTTCGGTCTTTCCCGGTGTGTCAGAAAATGGAGTCCGGTGTGGAAGAAAAGGCTTGGTCTGTGGTTTGGTATAGCAAGTACGGTTCGGCGATAAATTTTCAAACGGGGATACCGCACAAAATACGGACGTAATGCCTAACCTCCAGATCGCAAGACAATTCGACGTTCGTGGAATAAGTTTCTTGAGACTGGCAGCGTTAACAGGAAACAAAAAAAGCAGGAAAGATGAGTACAAACGGAGCTGAAAATTTAAGAAGTTTTGTCAAAATTCCGAGAAAATCCGCATATGAGTACACGAAGTTTGGCCAGAACCGAGGGAATGCCTTCAGCAAGGACCATTCGACGAACTCTGGAGGTTGATCTTCACTTTTTGTTCTTATTCTCATCGTCTATTTTCGGGAGGGTAAATTCCGCCGTATTTTTCTTCCGCACCGTACTCCATTTCTGGACACACCGGGAAAGACCAAAAAAACAACCGAAAAACGACCGAAAAAATGAACTCCAAGAATAAATCCAATAACTGTAGATATACACTTACTATGTATAACATATTTGGTATCAAACAAAATGGGGTTGGCTGACGATTCAGGGAAAAAAAGAATTTTAAAATTTGGCTAAAAACTAAAGAAGTTATAGCCAATTCAAATCGGGCCACAAAGATGCCCCACCCTGTACAAAAAATGTAAGTGGGGGTTTGATCTACTACGTTGGGGGTTTGATCTAAAACGTAGGGGGCTTGACCTAAAACGTAGGGGGCTTTATCTAAAACGGAGGGGGCTTCATCTAAAACGTAGGGTGCTTGATCTAAAACGTAGGGGGCTTGTGCCGGACCAAACAACTTGGATTAATTCTTTGAAATAAATTTTGGGGTTTAGAATGGACGAGGGGGTTTGTACTGGGTCATGGGGGCTAAACTGGACTGGGGGGCTGTACTACCTTAGCCCCAAAACTTGCTCTCAAGTTGTTTTCTAAACGCCCTAAGGGGTTCTGGTTTCTTTGATTCGGTCAGTCCGATCCTTTTTGATCCATAATCGTACACATGACAGTATCGGCGGATAAACGGCTCGCCCAACACTTTCTCATCGTTCGTTACGGCCAGCACGCACTTACTGCCACCTTCTTGCATCTGAAAATATGTATGATTTATTTAGTCGAAGTTTGGTTTGATTAGATATAGTAAACTCAAATTTTCTTGTTGATTGCGATTTTTATCGTTGAATTCAAACTCAAAATTTATTTTTTGATCGACTTCCAATTTGTAAATTTCCTGCAAGTAGCGCCACTCTTATCTTCTCTCCCCCTTATCTTTTCAGTTAGTTATAAGCGGTTTTGTCCCTGTGCCCACGTGAAACAACCTAGGCCAAAAAAGTGTGGGGTTACGGTTGATTTTTATCAAACTGTTCAACAAATCTGTTGGCGTCGATCAGTCGATCAGGGTTGGAAAACTTTTATCAAGATTAATATGAAAGTGCTTGGAATACAAGAGATTATGAAAAAGTTTGGCAAAGCGCCTTGGGAAAAGAACTAATAATGCAATTTTTGAAGATTTCAAGTCTAAAAATCTCACCTCCAAGACCAATTCGCTTGCTGGCACAGTATAATTGTGCCCTCCAATGGTGTATGTGACACTTTTCAACTGTTTAACGGCATCACAGTTGACAGTGTAGTAGCCGCCACTGACAACCACCTCGATCTTGCTGGTAATATCTTTGAAGATGGCTGAAGGAACGTAGGTGAATGGTGAGGCGGTATCACTGATGTACCACTCTTCCTTGGCGATTCGGACCTTTTCTGTCCATACGCTGTCCACTTTGAGCTTCCAGGAGGATTGCTGGAAATATTGATGTACTAAGGCAATATTTTCAATTCTTAGATGACTAAAAATTCAACACCTCAAATTCCCGCCAGTTTTAGAAAACCTTGGCATTCTGTTGCAAGGTTGTAATACGTTTCAAACTGAGCTATTTATCATGTATCTCACGCCTACAAATGACATTCATTCAGCTTTAATTTTCTGCTTTTTATCGTTTGAAATTCAAAAATCAATTTCGCGCAAAATTCCTAAAATCTTGGCATTCTGTTGCAAGCTGTTTAGAATATCGAAATCGCCGCAAAAGTGGATTTAGACACTAAAGTTTTTCTGTATTATTTTTTTAAGATGGTTTTAGTGATGATTCATTTCAATTTTAAAAGCGGATTAGCCGCTCCCATTTTCAAGTTCTGTCTCAATTTGATTGAGCCTTTCAACATTTCAAAAAACAAAATATACAGAAGAAATGAGATGAGTGCGACTACCAAATACTCTATTTAAAAAATTGCCAGAAAACAAAATTTCGAAACTTTTCGTTGAAAAAATCAAAGAAAAAAGAATTAAAAATTGACACCCAAATTTGACGAAACCCCTTACCGGTTCATTTTTTAGCTCCACGAATTTGATGTCATCTCCGCAATGTAATTTGTCCAGGCCGCCGTAAGTTATGGCCCCACCGGCTTCTCCTTCCCGAATTTGGTCGTGTCGAGCCAGCCAGACCGTGAACAAGGGCTGATCCAAAGAGTGTAAGACATTGTAGAGAGGGGGCTCATCTTCCTTTGAGGGCCATCCCAATCCCATGATTCCATCGTTGTCTTCACTGGCTAGGAAACCGGACAATGTGTCCACACTTCCAAAGGGCTGATTTTTGATTGTTAGGGAGCCGAGCTGAAAATAATGAAGTTTGCTTGGCTTAAAGTTGAATTTCCAGACGTTTAATAGTGTCTGTTATGGATAGGTTTTACTAAATGGGTGTTTGTTGTAGAAAGTTTTCTTAAAACCTGTTTTGGCTCTCTTTTTTTTCAAGCAGAACTTGCAAAGGAAAAATGATTTTTTACGGCTCTATGTGCCTCGGAGATATCCTTTATCCTTACATTCAGCGTATCCTTGGCATAATGTCCAACGACCATTCCTCCATCGTAACTCTTTTTGTAGTATCGTCCATCGAATTCGTGTGTGGAGGACTTGCTGCAACACAAAGATTATTGATCGTGTTTTTCGAACCCTTTTTTCGTCTTTTGTAACAGTGGCCGATGAAGGTTTGAACGACTGCTGTTTAAGACTTTGCAGGACCTTCGCAGTGATCTGCATATTCTTTTTAAATGACTTACTCCGGATCATATTTATGATGTTCATAGCCAGTCCTCTTATCTTTGTCGCAATACTCCTTGGTGCAATCTTTGCTGATCACCCAGAACTCGGCGCCAGCAGTGCAAAGTCGAACACGGAACTCTTGAGCTATAAAAATGAGCAATCATCATGTTGTTATTGCATTGATAGACTATATATAGCCATGGCGGTGATAAAGAGTTTCCCTAACAAAGGGACAATAAAAGTTTCAAAAGACAAAGAATCAAGTCAAGAGCTCAATACGGAAGTTTTCTTTTGCATGCGGGTTCTGAACAAGTCACAAATCGGTCTCTGAAAGTTATAGCTCGCGCTTTACATTAACGGCGGAGAAAACCAACAATCGGATTAGGAAACCTTGATCCTTTGTTTACGGTTTTATGCATATTGATCTTAGGGCCAGTTACGATCGCTGCAATGTTTATGCAGAAATTAACAATGCTCCGCGGAGAGACAAAAAAGAGGCATGTCTTTTTTCATTTTGCCTAGTGGTCCTTGAATGTCTCGCCAGAAAATGGGGGCTAAAACTTCAAGGATTGATTATGCGGCCAGCTCATGAACTATGTTCGAAATTTCGAACAAATCTGAATGCTCCACTTGAAGCACTATTCTCATTAACGTCTTCGCACATTGTTCGGCCATATTTTGTTTTACATATTTAGTTCAAAAGCTTGCAAGAGCCGGTATATCTATTCCTAGGCACTTGAAATTGATGGCTGACCTACATAGATATACCCGGCCGAAATTTGAAAAATCCTGTCCTCAAAATTACGGTATTCTCGCCAAAATCTGGCTAATGCCCTTTACAGCAACCTCCTTTCATCAAAGCCCCACGAATTCCCGAAGCTTACCCGGACTTCCAATCGAGATATTAGCGTAATATCTGATATCAAAGTAGTCAATAACCGGGTTCATGTGCAGCTCTGTGCCCTGCCGAACGCATAATTTTGTGGAACGGACCAAATCGCTTCGAAATACGACGGCCTCAACAGTATTAAGGAAGATTAACAATAGCAGCGGATTCATAACGCCTGCAAACCTTGGGGAAGAACCGTGCAAATTGGAGGGGTTTTTGGGAAACCAAAAAGTTTTTATTCGAACCGATTCGGGGCCTCTTATCAGTTTTGGTGGGAACGCCTTCGGTTCCATGGAGAATCGGAGAGAATCATGCCAAAAATTAATAGTAGAGGATACTACAGTACCACTTTGATTATTGCTTTTTCGACGTTCGAAGAGCAAAGTTTATGACAACGAAGGGAATGGCAGGAAATTTCAGTGAAACATGACGATCCCATTATATATATATTGGGCGGAAGTGAACGGTGAAATAACACGTGTCCAGCGGGAAATTTGATAAGTTGTTGGGTTGCTGGTAATTTCTCGACCAGAGCATTGGCAGGCAAGCATGTGACTTGAACCGATTCCGATTGAAATCTCAGGGTTCAGGGTAAATATTGGCTTCTGATAATAAATATCGTTGAACAAACCGTGCTCGTGATAAGAATTGTAGCTCAAATGTCATTCAAGGCTAAGATTTATCTCAATTCACCGAAACCGTTTTTAAAAACCTTGGTTTTTGATTGCTTGCGGTTGGACTGAGGGACAGGGTTCTGTGAGTGCAACGCCGACAAGATCCGAGCGCATCGTGCGAGGCTTCAAAAAAACTTACGCGAATCCTCGGCGACCAAACTTTGAAAGGCATGCGGTACCAACAGAAAATTCTAGCCACACCATAGGAGTTTTTGGCCTTTTCTTGTCTGCAGCTGAGTCATCGCCTCCGCCGATATGACGAGCGTCCGCCGTACCCTAGCCGAACCCTTGATAGGCACATGTAAAAATCAGCATGGTGTGATGACCAAAAAAGCGATCAAAAGTCTCCGCCGAGCACCACTTTCCTCGCTGGCGAAGAAAAAAATTATTTTTCATGCAAGAAACCGCCTGTCTTCTCCTTTCAACTGCAAAAAGAAATTTTTGGATATCTTGGCTAAGCGACAAGAAGTTGACAAAAACTTTTCCGCGGAAGTTCTCTGAACACCCTGTTTTGCTCGCGCTCAAAGCTTCGAACAATCCGCACTATGATTTTTTTACGATATGGCGCAGAAGGTCGGATTCTTATTTTTTCAATCTTCCCCGTACGGCTATTTTTCCACGGAAACTGTAGTACTGTTTTATTTATTTTTTAATTGATTCGTTGAAAACATTCAACCTCACACCTTTAAACGTGACGTCAAACGGAAAGATAACGATCAGCTCCCTCACCACCGCAAGAAATACACAAGGAAATTGCGTCGTATTTGCAAACACTATGAATAGTCATCATGAGGCAGCTACAGGGTGGACCTGATCCAGCGGCCAAAAACGTGCCACTTTACATCCAGGAAACATCAAAAATTTGAAAAAATGCTTCCATCTCCAAGTGAAAAAACTCCAATTTCAAAAGCGCGCCCGCTTTTTTTGTGAGGGAAAGGGAGCGCAATTCAAAACGAAGTTTTTTCACTTGGAGAGGGATGCATTTTGCCACATTTTTGATACTTCCCGGATGCAAAATGGTACTTTTTTGCCACTGGATCAGGCCCCCCACTGTAGAGATATTATATTTTATAAAAAAATTTTAAAAAGACTAGAGTGAATTTTTAAAATGCAGTGGAACCATGGCACATACAAGGAATCATAAGGGACCAAAGAATTTATTCGTTCTAGAGAGGTTTTGTTATACGGAGGTTTACCTACAATTGGTTGTTACGGCCTCTGAATTTGTTTGTTATAGGCAGGTTTTGTTGTGTCAAGGCTCGTTGTACAGAGACTTCAACTGTATAAAAAAATTTTTTTGGTCTCGAAACAAAAACTTGAAAACTTCATTCGATCGCAAAAAATGTCTGAAAATTAATTCAAAGTGCCCAAAAATGCCGGAAAGTTGCATTGAAAGAAACAATGTGTTTCAAAGGCGCATAATTACGAGATCTCCCGAAACCAGTATGTTAAAGTCGGTGAATTGCACTTATCTTTGCGGAAATCAAAGTCCTCGAAAATGTCTCTTTCTCTTCTTCGAGAGTGATCTCAATTGGATCCGGATAGCAACCAGAATTTACTTAAGTCGGCAGCCCGAATAATTTATATTTCTCTTGGGTTTGTCATGCTGGAAACGGTAAGTCAAGAAGGCGTTTCACAAGGCTTTTGGCAAGGGACGTGACTCGAGTGTGACGCCCAGGTTTTCTGAAAAAATGCGTGCATCACTTTGTCTGGTCACAAATTCTTGCAAATTTTTGACCCGCGCCTTGCAGATGCAGCCGAGATATTCAGCGGTCTATGCTAATAGTATGAAATGTAGAACGCGGTCAGAAAGCCGATGATTTCTGTTCCGAAGTCTCTGCCGTTTAGACATGGGGCCGGAAGGGTTTGCCAGGCCCGTTTCAAATTCGCATCGGCCCAGCCGATAGGCCATGAAGGGTTCGTCAAGCTGAACGGTTTTAAATTCAGCCTAGCCCGGAAGGAATGAGACACTTCCCTTGATAAAAACTCCATGTTTGGAAAAAATATTCCGTCGCACTTTAAAACCCTTCGCTGCGATTAGTACCTAGATAACACAAACAAATTAGAATTCGTTAAAAATGCAAGAGCTGTTTCAGGTGCCAGTAGCAGCGCCTTCAATCTTCCCGGTCAGAAAAGCCAAATTTATCTCCGCCGTCCTCCTCTTCACACCGTTGTTAACATTCACTCTACTTACCGCACGCCAAATGATCTCAAATTACATTTATGACTCAAAAACCGTATTACTTTTCGATAAAATCGAAGCGAACTTTACGATTCAACAAATGATCGAAAAGCACAAGCCTTTAAGGCCATTTGTGGATGGTGTTTCACATATGATTGTAGGTTGTACATGCTTTTAAATTCCAATTCGAGATTTAGTACGTTGAGCGCTATAAAGTGGGAGGATGCATGTTGCCGAAGGTGATGTCGACCATCACTACGGCGTTTATGTGCTACATGAAGGATGACGAGGCGTTCATCAAGGCCAACAGATCGTTCGGGACTGAGTTTTGGACGAGTCGGTAGGAAATGACGTTATTTATTAGTGGTATTTTTCATGCAATCTTATCAGATTGCACGTGATCTTAGAGTTTACCTTCCAACGTTACCATCAAATAAAACTTTTTTTTAGATTTTGTCAGGACTCAATTGAAGCGTACAATATGACGGAGTGGTATGAAGAACATAACCAAAACAAAGATTGGACGCTTTTTACAATAGTAAGGGAACCCATTCAACGATTTATTGCCGCATTTACGGACAAGTGCTTTTAGTACGTGAGAATTTTTTTATAGAATTATCTGACGCTATGGTCATCGCTGAGAACGAAAAAATGGCCTTAAAACAAATTTCAGCGAGCCTTCATCGTCTCGGGTTGAAACGAATTGCTATGACTGCCGGAGCAACATGACCTGCGTTGTTGGCGCCTTGGAGAGGCGGTTTTCGGATTACTTGAACGAGAGCTTCCCGTTGTCATACGAAGATCAGCATTTTATTCCGCAGACATGGTATGCGTTCATTTATTGGTCGTATTGATTCGCTATATAAGTCTGGACTGGCTCGTATTGAGCGCTTTCCACAGCGTGTAGGATACAATCTGAACACCGCCAAATATAATACCTTCTTGTCAGGCCCCGGAGTAGTCCACTTCGAAATAACAAAATAACACTAATTTAGCAGGACGCGTCAAGGAAAAATATTTAAAGCAAATTGAAAATGAAAAATTCTTGGCATTCCGTTTCAGCTCAACAGTAATTTTTTGCTCCAAAGAATTACACATGAAAAATGTGGTAGAATGCTTTTACTGTATACATAAAAAGTGTACATACGCCTGAAGACTTTTGTGTCCTCACCGTATACATTGCGTATAAAAAGGCGAATGATGTTTGAAGTCTAAAAATGCCGATTCTCTAAGAATTTTAAGAGGGATGTATTTCACGCTATTTTGGTATCTTTCCAGGATACCATGGACAGTGATCTATGGATAGTGTCCCTGCCGTCATACGTCCGCTCCAGTCAGCTGACCTTTCTCATTTCAGGCACTGCGAGATGGACAAGTATCTAAACGAATATAAGGTCCTCAAATACGCCTCCAAATCCTCTCCCAACTTTGAAGACTTCAAGGTGGAGTACGTCAAGACTTTGCGCAATAATCAAGCGCCCGAAAGAGTTATGAATTTCGTCATAATGGCGCTGAACCATGAGCGATCTGCCAATTCAACGGATGGAAAAAAGAAACGGAAAGAGTTCCTGGCCGAACTCCTGAGGGATCGCTCGCTTCTTTTGCGGGTTGTTAAATTGTATTTTTATGATTTCCTAGTCTTTCAGTTCCCTTTTCCTCAGGGAATTGTTGAATAAACCTTGCAATAGGAGCCTTTTTTCGGTGAGGTACTACAATGTGGGTTTTTACAGTTTTCCTCTTTTAAACGAATTTAAAAAAGTCCGGGTGATATACATTCCAATGGAGATCACTCCCGGCGCTGAAACGAAGAGAGGGAGACAAGCTCGAGGACTTTGATGCCCGTTAAGATAAGTGCATTTCGTCGAGTTGAACATTCTGGTTTTGGGAGAGCTAGTAATTTTTCGCCTTCAAATGAAATTGGTTTTTAGTGAGACTTTCAGGCATTTTTTTGGAATTTTGAATTTTGCAAGTTTGAGGCATCAAGGCCAAAAAAACTCCCAAAAAGTATGTCACAACAAAAACCCGCCTATTTCAAACAATTTAAGAGGCCGTAATAACCAATCGCCGTTAAACCTCCGTACGCCTTTCTATAACGAATAAATTCTTTGATTTCTTGTGAATTTTTGCATTTTTCAATTTCAGTCTAGTCTCTCAAGAAACTTTTCGACATTTTGAATTTTGCAAGCCTTCGTTACGAAGCCAAAAAAATTTTGCACAAAGAATCCTCTGACCAATTAACTTTACTACGGCAAGACCTGCAAATAACAAACAATTTCAGAGGTCGAAAAGCCAATCGCATGCAAAATCAATGTCTAACTGAACTCCCAAACCACACGTCAAAGAAAAAGTGAAAAAACAGGGAACCTCGGATCATTGATTTTTGACGAAATGTCGCTGAATTATTGAGTCACAAAAGAAAACTTTCCCAGAGAATTACGAGAAAAATGTTTTTTTGAAGAGGAAAATACATAATTTTTCAAGCTCGATAATTCTGTGGCACTTCGCAAAAAAAATCAATGATCCGAGATTCCTTGTTTTTTCAATTTTCTGAAAGAATTGTTTTGACGTGAACCACCAAACTTTTAACATGCAGTTAAAACATGGATAAGACCGATAAATTTCCAAAGCGCCTAGGTAAGTTTTCGCTTAAAGTAAGCGTAATGCAGCGTTAAGCCAAAGACTGAGCTAACAAGGGAAGTACCCCAAGTGCGACGCTCAGATTTTCTTTAAATTTTGCACACGCGTCGGGCATAAACTAAATATGGATTCCTGAAAGTTTTAGGTCGCGCTTTGCAAGCGCCACCGAGATATGGAACTGTTTTTGTCGCCGAGAGAGTACGCGAAACGCAGAGAGCGGTCAGAGAGAATAACGTTTTTTGGCCATAACTTTGGCAGTTTCGTTTGGAAAAATTTTATTTTTTGTAGAAAAATTATCCTTTACGGTAGAAATAGGTATGAAACTTTTCGTGCCGAAATTCGGCAAAAAGTGTAAATTTTTTGCCGACTTTCGATCTAAAAATCTCGGTTTTTTCTGCAAAGCGCGAACTAGGATTCTCGCATATGTCTTAGAAAAATTATTCTAAATTTGTGCCAAGTTTCATCAAAATCTGAGCGTCGCACTTGGGGTACTTCCCCTGTAAGCCTATTCTTCGCTGTGTTATGCAACGTCCAATGATGATTCATTCATTTGGGGAGATAAATCCCTTGACATAAGATTCACCCGTATCAGAGTGGCTATTTCATCGATATCAGAGTCCCAATCAATTTTCGAACCATTGAACTCTCTTTTTCCCAAAAAAAGTTCCGCGAAATCAAAGTAAAAGCCATAATTATCAAAGAAATCGGAATGGGGAAACTTGTAAAATCCTCTTATCAAACCTTATCACTTCTGATTTAAAAGAGTACACAATCACAATCAAAGGAGCGCAGTGCGTTTCGAAGAGATGTTCTACACATGGCTTTTGCTGCTGAGCACGTTTATTGCAACCTCGGGGCGGGAGTACCTGAAACAAGGGAGGAAATTGTATTGGCAGACCGATGATCCGAATCAAGGGCCGAACAACGGACATCCGGAACAGGTAGAGGGACACTAAAAATGAAAGGTTTAATGTATAAAATTATTTATATGCATATAATATATTTCAACCGCAGACTGCAGTGCTTCTAGAAAAAGAATAGAAAAAGAATCCCTTTTTGTCTTACCTTACTCGAAACTTTAGATCCACCTTTCCTACCTTAATGACACAGCTGTGATTGTAACTTGGCTTACGTTCGACGACGTCGGCGATTCCTTCGTAATTTATCACCAAGAAGGTGGTGAAAGCAAATTCAAACGATTGGCCAACGTCACTCATTTTGGTGGAGGACTTCTGAAGATCGACAGATATGTTCATCGAGTTGTCATGACAAACCTTACTCCCGGAAGCTATTACGGTAAGTTGGCAAAAAGAGGGTGTTTTTTTTGGAGTGAGACGGCCAGATATTGATGAAACTTGGCACTACCCTTTCATTATGGCTTCTCCAAGTCTACATATTTAGCCTTTGAATTTTAACTTTACAGTTTATTATGTCGGCTCCGAGCACGGTTGGAGCCACGAGTTCAGATTCAGAGCTTTAAAAGAGCGACCAGAAGGAGGGCATCGATACGGCATTTATGGTGATTTGGGAGTCCTAAACGCGCGAGCTCTTGGAAGAGTTGAAGATGATGTGCGAAACGAAGAATTGGATATGATCTTTCATGTGGGAGACTTCGCTTACGATTTGCATACAGTAAGAAGATTTTAAAGCTATTGGAAAAACTTTTGCTGCAAAGCCCATAACTGTATCGGTAGCTGCAAAGGTACAGAGTGGTCGAAAGGTTATACTGATGTCAAATGTGGCTGTGTTATTAAGAAAAATTTTTTCAGCTTGACGGCCGCATTGGCGACAAATTTTTCCATCAGATCGAACCTGTTACGGCTAAGGTTCCGTACATGGTCTGTCCGGGAAACCATGAGTATATCGGGAACTTCTCCCACTACATGCACCGGTTCACCATGCCCAATACGGAGCATAATTTGTTCTACAGGTAACACAGTGATATTTTTTTGATGTTGTGTCCGTTTTCAGTTTTGATCACGGAAAAGTTCATTTTGTATCCATCACTACCGAGATTTACTACAATATGTATCTGTTGACTGACACAAAACAGAATTTTATCGATGACGTTCAACGGGGCCAGTTGCAGACGCAATGGAATTGGCTTGTCGCGGACTTGAAGGTGAGAAAACACATTTTATTCATTTTTCATTTTCTCGGTGTTCTAACTGATCCAGTGGCAAAAAAACGTACCGCTTTAAATCAGGGAAGTACAAAAAAATGTAGCAAAATGCCTCCCTCTCCACCTAAAAAACTCTGTTTTGAAGGGCCCTTTTCCTCACAAAAAAAGCGGGCGCACGTTCGAGTTTTTTCACTTTCAAGAGGGAGGTATTTTGCTACATTTTTTGGTACTTCCCGGATGCAAAATGATACGCTTTTTTCCGCTGAATCAGGTCCGCGACTATACATTTTATATAGCAAAGGAAATGCTCCAAATACGGCGCTTAGACTTTGATGAAACTTCTCCAAAATCTTGCATATGCCATCGAAAACGTTAACGAAAATTTGTGCAAAGTTTTAACAAAATTCTCGCCTCGCGCTTTGACCACTTTTTCAGTTAATAATCTTTAAAGAAATTTTAATTTTTCGCATTTTTTATCCAGAAAGCCAACGCCAACCGACACAACGTCCCCTGGATAATCGTGATGGGACATCGGCCAATGTACTGCAGTACAAAGTCCATCATAGCCGAGTGTCGCAGCAAGACCGTCCGCACTCGGGTCGGAATCAACGGCGAATTTCAATTGGAAAAACTGCTCTACGAAAACGGCGTTGACATGGAAATTTTCGGCCATGAGCATAGCTATGAGCGGATGTATCCGCTGTATAATTATGTGGTCTACGATTACGTCAAAAATCCGTATTATGACCCTCCGGCGCCAGTTCATATCATCACTGGGTCTGCGGGCTGCATTGAAGGGGGAAAGGAATTTACGAAAACCGCTCCTAAATTTACTGCTTATCGCTCGAAGGATTACGGCTTTTCAAGACTTCATGTAATCAACGCAACGCATCTTACTTGGGAACAAGTTAGAGCGCATGATGTAAGTGGAGGTCGAACCGAAGAATTGAACTTACAGAGCCTATGTAGTACTTTTTACGCATTTTAGGCGCCACGCATCCCTTTCAGAGGATCTTAGCTTGCAGTGGCAGAATAGGAGTCAACAATTTTTGCAGCCTGGAGAGCACGCGAAATGGAGAGAGCGGGGAGGGTTGGCCCACACTTGCGTTAAAATCAGCCAACATGTGATTGCAACAAGAAATTCTTTAGGCAAATGCTGGCTGCCCGCAAAGTGGTTTTATACAAGTGTTGTTATTAGCTATAGAACTTTTCAAATTACAGCCCCGTATTTTCAGGGCGTCGTTGAAGACTCCTTCACTCTGATCAAACCCAAGCACGGAAAGTTTGATTACAATCAACTGATGAAGTCTGGAACTTCGATAGTAAATGACCAACTAGGATAGGTTTAAAATAAAGCTTGAAGGTTCAGAAATCAATGCAATTATGTATTTATTGGTAGAGTCTGATGTGATTTTTAGAAGCGGTTAAAATCCGGTATGTGCTTTTGCAAGTCTTTCATGGCCTTTTCGTACGCCTTCTCGAATGGTGTTCCTTTGAAGGGATTGAAGAAAGGTCGGCCTGTAAAGAAATGATATGATTTGATTTATATTCAAATTTGAAATGTACAATATTCCGGTTATAAAAAACTCTTACCGTTGTCTCCGCCGTCTTCTCCGCCATTATCTTTTCCCCCGTTGTTGCCTCCCTTCCCTCCTTTCTTTCCGTTATTCCTTCCGCCCTTATAAGGCTTGGGTTTGGGGCTGCCGTTGGTCGGCGCGAAGCCCAATTGCTTCTTCTCCACGTCGTGGATCTGGCAATAGGCGCGGATGAATGGATCGCCCAACAAAACAAAGGGAAAATCACCTCCGGCGACCGCCAATTGACATTGATTTCCGTCATGAGGGATCAAAAGATTCTTGCTGTCAATGGGGTACTCCAGATTGTTGATGATGACGGAAATTGTGAATTTGCTGTTGCAGCTCATCAAGTAGCCACCTTCCTGGAAAAATTGAAAGTTTCGAAAGTTTTTTTGCGGCTCAAAAAAGATACCACAGTTGTGAAACTGCTTCATAATTCCGCCTCAACTTACGGCTTGTGTAGGTCGCAACTTTTGCTTTATTGTGTTCATAACGTTGGTTGGGACGATCAAATGTGATGTTCCAGTGTCACTCACACCATTCAATTTTACTTCAACGAACTCTCCGTTCACCAGCATTCCCTGCAATGGGACTTCCCAATGAGTGGTGCCTTTGACGATGTTAACTCGGTCCGCCACCTCTCCGCAATGCTCTCGGTCCTCGTCTCCGAACGTGATAATGCCGCCGTTCTCGCACTTCTCTCGCGCGCACTTTGTCAAGTACGTTGTGAAGATGGGGTTGTCCATGAGGCCCTCTCGTACGGCTTCGTGGAAGATGGAGGTCTCCTCTTGGTTGTCGTAGGAGGGGAGGCCCAGAATCGAGGTGTCGCCGAAGGTCATTTGTTCGCCAGCGCCGAAACGGACTTTGCGCTTCAGTTTGAGCTGATCGCCGTTTGGGTCACCGAACTGAAAGTGAGGCCAGTATATACGTTATAAAATTTTCGAGAGACTATATACCTCATAATTTTTGAACACTGTTTTTGTGGTCTATGAGTCGACTAACAAACAAAAGTTATTTTTAGACTATTGGTGGTTGGATATACGGGAAATTAAAAAAACCAAACAGTTCTACTCCCACGTTTTTGTTTAGAAGATGTTCTAATTGTGACGCCCAGATTTGCCTTTAAATCGCACATATATTGGACAGTGGCCACATACCAATTCCTGAAGTTCTAGTCCGCGGTTGGCAGAGGCAGCCGACTATCTTTGTCTCCAAAAGGGCATGCAAGACAAGGATGGTCAACGAGAAAAACACTTTTTTTTACCAATTTCGCGTGGGAAAAATATTGATTTTTTTGTGAAAACATTACTCTCTATGATGAAATAGGTGTTACACTTTTCAGGACAAAATTCGCAAGAACGTTTGAGCCCTTCCCCTGTTACCCTCTTCACCATAAATTAACATACCGCGAAAGTGTCGTCATACAGATGACCTCTAACACTGCCTGTTCCATAGCGGATCTGGAAGGTGTGTCCGGTCGGATCAGCGGTCTCTGACTCGTCTGGATCGTACAATTCTTTCTGGGCGGCGCAATGTTCCACCACCGGTCCCCTCGACGAACACCCTTGCTTGGGCACCCACAAAGCAGTGGAGCCAGTGTCAAAAATGGTCTTGAATCGTTGTGGAGGAGTGCCCAGCGAAATGTAGCCCAGATATAGGACATTGTTTTCGTTCTGCATCAATTGGCCATAGATGTCTTGGAGGATACCTGGAAAGGTATACAATTTCTAAGGCGCCAAGAGAAACGCGGCCAGGTCTTGTAGGGATTTTTAAGCTTGATTCCGGGCCGGCCCTGTGTTTTTGTAGGTTGGCAGCGACCGAAGGCGGATTAATTCGGCGCTAGCTCAGATGAAATTTTGATTCGTATAGCAAACTTTGCCATGGCCCGGTTTGCAGCCACGCTTACAATCGGCAACTATTAGTCTATCATGAAAACCGTGAGCGGAATATCGCATCAAGAATTACATCGCCATCGAGAAAATTCATTTTGTCGCGACAAAAGCACTGCTTCTAACTTCAGCGACGTTGCCGTCACCTTATTCCCGACGGACTCAAAAAACAAACATGGCCCAAAAGCCCGTATGACATAATGACAGTGTAATCACTACACATGGCTTACCATCCGTCGCATTCTTGTCCTTGGTCTCTTTCGCCACCTTGACCTGGAATGAACCGGCCCAACCTTGCTGTACCAGCAAGGCAGCTAGCACCACGTTCCGAAGCATGACTATTTACCAATTCTCAAGCCGCGTCAGCGTCGATTTAAATAATGAAAATTTATTCCGTCCGGCAGTTGTCTAAACAACGTTCGCTGCACATCGGACCTTGCGTGCCTCTGCAAGAGCCTCCCACGGTCGGTTCATGAATCAGGCCCAAGGCCAAATATCCATGCATTGGGGGTTGCGTCAGAAAAGGTTAACAATGACTACGTGGTCCAAACTTCGCTTTACTACATATATCTAAAACCAGTGTATAAAACCGACAGCGCAGAGTCTATTCCGATCACCGGACTCCTCAGTTTGACGTGCATCGTTTTCTTAGGCCTGATTCAAATATAGAAATTGAAAATTGAATATCAGAATGTCATTGTGGTACAAGTTCAAAATGAAAAATAAAATTTCGGTAGCTTTGAAATTTATGTGTGCCTTTTGTTGCGTAAAAATAAAAATGCTTTATGTTGGTAATGCGACAGCTGGAGAGTCATGTCTACGCCGTGCGGAATCTTGCCGTCGTACCTCCGCACACGGCAATGAATCAAAATGCACTGTGCTGCACAGTGAAAAAATGGTCTCTCTGAAAGGACAGTCAAAGCTTTGGCACGTGCGTTTTTTCACTCGCAGAGTGCCGATTGTTTGTCGCTTCGCGGTGCTGACTGCTCGATGCAAAGACGTGTTGGGAAATTCGCGGATTTCTGGATTTTTTATTTAAACTTTCTTTGATATAGCAGAGGTTCCTCGTTCCGACCATTGTTGTGACTTGAATTGGCTTGTCGTACCTCCGAGATTCTTCGGTATAGAAATGCGTCGTTGTGCAGTGATTCAACCGTTTTTCAAGAAATTACCCATTTTGTTATCTTGTACTTTTAAAGAAACATAACTTATTTACAAGGCAAGTGCTCGTAAGTTTTCTTTCAATTTCGCACGCAGAGGCATATCAGCAAGGCATATCAGTTCTTGAAAAGTTATCGTACTTTGCAGGGGCTCTCAAAACATTCAGCGATCTTTGCGGTGGAGAGAGCATGCGTAATGGAGAGGGGAAAAGCACTTTTTGGCCATATCCTCGCCACTCGTTAGATAAAAGTATGTACGAAATCTGCCGTGTCAAAAATTCGCATCAAATTTGCTACATTTCGTTTCAGGTCTAAAACTCCCGTGCCTTTCTGCAAAGCGCGAGCAAGGAACTCCGTAGAAGATTCTTCGATGCCTGCGCCAAATTTCATCAAAAACCGTGCGTCGCACTTCGAGCACTTCCCCTGTTGCTTTGACATTCCGTTGGCATTATCTGCTTTTTATACTCCGCATAATTTGAAGGGAGCAACATGCATGTTGAGGGGAAAAAACCAGGGCGGCGAAAGAGCTGCGACAATTGTTCCACTTTTATCAGCTGGATCTTCGGTCGATTTGCATGTAAGTTCACGAAAAACTCGGGAATGCAATCTTTGATCCTTGCTCAGGCCGTGTAATTGTGTTACAAAGTGCTCTCTAGTTTGAAAACCAACATAACTCAGCTTCAAATTTCTTGTCTGCGTCTCAATCATCCGCCACGCCATCGCTCCTTTTTGCATTTGGCTGTTTTTGTCAATAAATTTTTTTAAAAAGTCTCACGTCATCAAAAATTCTATTTTGGAGTGTGAGGTGAGGCTAAGTATTACGGTAAATGCACTCTTGTCAGATGCACTTGAATGTGTTTCTAGCCCAATGAGTCAATTAAGACTCCAATTTAGCTATCGAATTTTATCAATTTGGATTGAAACCTCTGCTTTGCTCTTATTATTTGAACCCACCAAATATTAATCCTACCTACGCTCGTTCTTAAGCCGCCTGTAAGCGTTGATTAATCAGTTTGGCTGAGAATGATTCCGCAGATACTTTTGCTGATTGCGGTTTATCTGTTCTACAATTTGTATTGGAAACGGAGAAACCTGCCTCCGGGCCCAACGCCATGGCCAATTTTTGGGAATTTGCTTCAAGCTGCGCTGCAACCTCCGCCCAACGCATTTTTAGCGTGGAAGAAGAAATACGGAAGTGTGTTCACATACTGGAGAGCAGACATGCCGACGATTATGCTGACGGATTACGCGTCGATTGAACATGTCCTGCTGAAGCTGCCGGAGACAGTGGTGGACAGAGTTCCGATGCACTCGTTTAATGATAAGTACCGGTGTAAGTCATCGATTTTTGAAAAGATGAACAAGACGAAGCGCTCGCGTTGCTTGGAAATCTTTTGGTGCAGACGACCTAGAAAAGCCTTTGTCATCTCGGGCCATCTTTACAAAAAAATTTTATTTTTCCAGCAGGGCCCCACAAGCTTTCGAAATTCACGAAGTACCACAAGTGAGACGCTCGCCGGATTTTCTCACATATTGCGCACACTTTGGGCATGCCTGAAAGTTTTATTTATGTGGCGCCTTCTGTGGATAGCCGAGATATTCAACGTTTTTTGCTCCCGAGAAAGTACGCAAACGCTGAGAGCGGTCGCGTGAAAAAAAATAATTTTTTGTAATGGCGATACTGCTTTGTATGGCAATTTTTTTGGTGCGGGGGCTTGTCCGCAAGTAAAATTTTTTTTCACTGTTTTGGCAAACAAGCGTCTGCAACAGTTATAAGACCTTTATATCTCCAGACAGAAGATGCCGCGCTTAACAAAGTCTCTATATTTCATTGTGAGCTCATCTCTTCTGAGGGTCGCATCCAAAACGCTAAGTTTCTTGGCCAAAACAGCAATACATTTTTATGTTTTTTCAGCCGGAGACCATGGCGTTCTCTTTATCAGCGGGCCGGAATGGAGAAACAGTCGGCGAAATACCCTTCGAATCCTTCGAGATTTGGGAATGGGAAAGAATGTCATGCAACAAAGGGTAAAGCATCATTTCAGATAAACGGAGATGCTTTGATTTCCAGATGCTCACCGAAATTAAAGACGTCTTGCGAATATTCACCAAGCATTCTGCTTCAACAGAACCCCAAGACATTTGCTACGATATAAATCGAGCCGTTGGCAATATCATCAACTCCATTTTATTTGGCTATAGGTTTGAAGGGGCCAAACAAGAAGAGTACGATGAGTTGCAGCGTCGAGTCAACGAGCATGTCAAAATGCTGGCACATCCATTGGTGATGATTGGAACTTATCGAATTGAGACCTTCGAGAAACTTCCGTTTGTTAACAGCGCGTTGAAGCGGCTGCAGAAAAAGGCGCTGACGAAATTCTTCAGCGGCCAGATTAGTGAGCACGAAAGAAAGCTGCGGTTTGATGGAGACGCTCCGAATACCGATTTCGTCGAGAGTTATTTGAAACAAATGTACAAACAGTGGGAGAAGGGTGACTATGAGAGTTTTAGGTAAGCAAAAGCAGAAGATTGTTGTGCTCTTAAGGCATTCAAAAGGGGAGTGCGAATTGGTTAAAGAGGTGTCTTGCAGCTTTGTAGATGCCCTGGCTTAGGGCAGGCACCAGAAGAATTGTTCATTTGGGGGCGCGTCACGACATTTCGGGTCGACGACAGTTTGAGCCAATCGATCGATACGGGGCGTAGTTCAGGTATATACCCAAAAAAACGGTTTTAAGAAGTGTCCAGGAATCCTGGAAAAGCGGTTGGATGGTCGGCGGACGCTCGGCGAACGCGCGGCGAAGACTTCAAATGTCCGCTTTTTCTATTTTGACTAATTCCCCCAACGAGAAAGCAGTAAGAAAAAGTGGTGAATCGGACTAGAGTAACGCCTGAGACAAAAATTTTGAATTTTATCAAACAGTGAAAAGAAAAAATTGATATCACTTTTCTTTGTAGTCGCGACATTCTCGTCTCAATATGCGCCGACCTCTGGCTGGCAGGCCAAGAATCGACCAGCAATACGATCAACTGGGGAATCGCTTACTTGGCCAACAATCCCGGAATTCAAGAACGCGCTTATCAAGAGATTCAAAGTGTTGTCGGCGACCGGATTGTGACCATGGCGGATCGTCCAAGTCTTCCGTATCTCAATGCTATTGTTTCGGTGAGACTGTATATTCGTCGTTAAAAAACAATGATTTAGGAATCGCAACGTATTGGCAATGTTATTCCGGCGTTAGTCCCACGCAGGCATCATAAAGACATAAAGATTAATGGATTTACAATCAAAGCTGGAACGGCAATAGTTCCGCAAGTCTCGGCGGTGCTTTATGATGAAAATGTAAGGGGTATTTGGACAAAGAAGAATGAATTGAACTTTTAGGTGTTTCCAAATCCCCACAACTTCAATCCTGACCGCTTCCTAGACGAAAACGGGCACTACAAAAAGATCGACGAGTTCATTCCATTCGTCGTTGGAAAAAGAAGCTGTCTTGGAGAGGGTTTAGCCAGAATGGAGCTGTTCCTGTTCATGAGTAACTTGTTGGCAAGGTTTAAGGTAAGAAATGGAAGTGTAATAAAGATTGGTTTGTTTTCAGTTCCTCCCAGCGAATGGGCAGATCGATGTGACTAGGATATGGGGTGGGACGGCGACAATGAAGCCTTGGAAATGCAAAGTTATACCTCGATTTTAAGATCTTCTTAAGAGTTGTTGTTTGTTATAAAATTGGTACTTGTTCATAATAAAGCATTTTTGACGGTGCGGAGGAACCTCTGGACAACGAATCCCTATGATGCGTAGGATGTCCTCAATCTCGGCACTGATCTGAATCATGATGTCATCATTGTGCGGAATTATGAATAAATATATTATAGGCTAAAAGATTAAGCGCTGAAGATGTGTCGACGCAGTGCCTCAGGTGTGATTCTCAGTCTTTCTTTAAAATTTTTCCCAGAAATGTGAGCTTTGCAGAGCCGCCGCGTTGTTCAACGATCTCTGTCAATGAGAGCAGTTTCGTGGAGAAAAACTCCTTGAACCATCGGTTATTTCTGCATACAGTAGTCCAGTAGCAAGAGACGTACCATTTGGCAGCAGGGAAGAAAACAAATGCCTATCAGCAGGAATATTATCGGCAGCATCTTCGGAGTTGGTTAATCAAGGCCATCTCCTTATACAGACGTTCGAAAGCACGGACTACAATTTTCGGCGCAATTTGTACGGAGAAATGTAGGGAGGAAAAGCTCAGGGTGTCTTTTGAAAACAAATTAGAAGAGGGGTAGCTTTTCCTTAAACAAGTTTAGAGAGAGCATACGCAACTTTTTACTTCCCGATTTTACCAAAAAAAAAGCCAAAAATTTTCCAAGTCCGAGAAAGTCAATTGAAAATCATTCCAAAAATTTTCAAAGTTTTAGCGGTTTCGGCTCGAAAATAATTCTTCAAAACTTTGGGAAGGCATAGAAAGGTCAATTCAAAATATATTTTTTTCAAATTGAACCGGTTAAAAATGGCGGGTCTCAGCTACAGAAAAATCTAAATTTCGGGAAAATCGGCGGAGTCTCCGCGGAGAAATCCAAAGAAAAAACTTACCCGTTTCGAGTGGCCCACCCTGTATTTGAAATAATGCGTGACAATCGTGACGTATGGGGAAATTGCGAAATTTCGAAAAAAATTGGTACTGAAAGCTCAAAAAAGCGGCACTTTTGAAAAAGTCGGTTTTTTGCAATTTTCAAAATGACATTCCAACGACAGTGAAAAAAGAGTACCATATTCAGGTGTAGAATTGAATTTTACGAAATCTGAAAAAATGGCAGCATAGCTACAAAGACAAAGCCAAAAATTCCATTTTCCAGTACCGACCGGTCGATAATGACAGAGACTAAAAAAATTTCATTTGAGTATCACAGAGAGGCAAAAGAAGGATATATGGAAAAAAGTGAAAACGGTCAACGTTAAGAGGAAAACGCTAAATATCAATTTTATGAAAAACAAAAAATCTTAAAAAATTGTTAAAACCGAGGTATAACTTTGCATTTCCATGGATTCATTGTTGCCGTCCCACCCCATACCCTACTCACATCGATCTGTCTGTTCTCTGGAAGGAACTGAAAATAAAGTCAATCTTTATTTCGCTCCCAGTTCTTACTTTAAACCTTGCCAACAAGTTACTCATGAACAGGAACAGCTCCATTCTGGCTAAACCCTCTCCAAGACAATTCCTTTTCCCAACGATGAATGGGATGAACTCATCGATCTTTCTGTAGTGCCCGTTCTCGTCTAGGAAGCGGTCAGGATTGAAGTTGTGGGGATTTGGAAACACCTAAAAGTTCAATTCATTCTTCTTTGTCCAAATACCCCTTACATTTTCATCATAAAGCACCGCCGAGACTTGTGGAACTATTGCTGTACCCGCTTTGATTGTAAACCCGTTAATTTTGAGGTCTTTATGATGTCTGCGTGGGACTAGCGCTGGGATAATATTGGCTATCCGTTGCGATTCCTAAACAATTGGTTTTAAGCAAATATTATTTAATGATATGAACTTTTTCTTAAAGGACCACAACAACTACATTTGAATCGAGTTTTTTACGGCTTGGAAGTGCGCCTCGCCAAAAGTTGCGAAAATCCCGCGAAAAAAACAAATACAAAAAATAATCGAGAATTTTTCTCGAAAATGCAAGCTTGAAGAAAGTTTGAACTAGTTCATGTTCCAAAGCTGCTGAAAAACGCTTCTTTTTCATGTGGATTCTGCCAATACCCATTCTGATGCTCTTGGGGAAAGTCTGATGTAAGTTTTTTTTGGTTTTTTCACGTTTAGGTAGGAGTGAAGGATCTTGAACAATATTTCTGCGGTCCTTTCGAAAAACAGCACGTGCGCAGTCTTGAGGAGCAAGTTTTGGACTCAAGGCTTGTGTTGTGCCCATGTTCTTGCCTTGTTCGTGCTGTTTTTTCCCGTTTAGAGGTATTTTATATTGTTTTAGTCAACTCTTTCAATTTCAGAATTGTTCAATCGCCTAGAACACGATCCATGTGTCTTCGTGAATCAATGGATCTGCGAGGGAAACGAAAAGGGGTCGTACACCAGAAAATTGAACAAAAACTGCATGATTGATGTTTTATTGATGTATAATATTATATAACAAAATAATAAAAGCTAAATTAAAAGATTAATTATATCCGTTTTGAAACACATTTAGGCCTAATTACAGTTGCATGTTGATAGTTCATTCATCTGCATGTGTCATTCCAGGCTACTGAACAATTCTGAAATTGAAAGAGTTGACTAAAACAATATAAAATACCTCTAAACGCAAAAAAACAGCACGAACAAAGCAAGAACATGGGCACAGCACAAGCCTTGAGTCCAAAACTTGCTCCTCAAGACTGCGCACGTGCTGTTTTTCGAAAGGACCGCAAAAATATTGTTCAAGATCCTTCACTCCTACCTAAACGTGAAAAACCAAGCAAAAACCAAAAAAAAACTTACATCAGACTTTCCCCAAGAGCATCAGAATGGGTGTTGGCAGAATCCACATGAACAAGAAGCGTTTTTCAGCAGATTTGGAACATGAACTAGTTCAAACTTTCTTCAAGTTTGCATTTTCGAGAATGCAAAAAAATTCTCGATTATTTTTTGTATTTGTTTTTTTCGCGGGATTTTCGCAACTTTTGGCGAGGCGCACCTCCAAGCCGTAAAAAACTCGATTCAAATGTAGTTGTTGTGGTCCTTTAAAGTCATGCAAAATATGTAGTTCCGTAGACTCACCGAAACAATAGCATTGAGATACGGAAGACCTGGACGATCCGCCATGGTCACAGGCCGCTCGCCAACCACATTTTGAATGTCTTGAAAAACGCGGTCTTGAATGTCAGGATTGTTGGCCAAATAAGCGATTCCCCAGTTGATCGTATTGCTGGTCGATTCTTGGCCTGCCAACCAGAGATCGTAACACATTGAGGCGAGGATATCGTGGCTGAAGAGAGCCAGTAAATATAAGTTTTTGCTTTGACTATGAAATAAAAAGCAAGATATTTTTAAGGATATCTTTTGCCGGTATGCAACCATAGATATGAAAAGCGTAATTTTTTAAAAGTGGAAGCTTGCGTCGCAAACTTCCGTGAAACAAAACTGGTCCATTGCAAAAAATTTCAGAGGTCCGAAGTTAAGGTCAAAAGAACAGCCGTACAGCGAAGTGCTTCCATAACGTGTAAATTTTTAGGCCAATTGCGCTTTGTTGTACAGATATTCCACTGTATATTTTCTTTCTTCTTCTTTACCTAAAGCTCTCATAATCACCCTCATCCCTTCGTTTATGCATTTGCTTCAAATAACTCTCTACGTAATCAGTACTCTGTGCATCGCCACACAACTGCAGCTCCTTTTCGTGTTCACTAATTTGGTTGCGAAAGAATTTTGTCAAGTCAAGCGCTGTTTGTTGCAGCCGTTTCAACGCGCCGTTAACGAACGGCAGTTTCTCAAACGTGTCGATCCGATACGTTCCAATCATCACCAACGGATGCGCCAGCATTTTAACATGCTCGCTGACTCGGCGCTGCAACTCGTCGTACTCTTCTTGCTTGGCCCCTTCGAACCTATAACCGAACAAAAGAGAGTTGATTATATTGCCGACCGCTCGGTTTATATCGTAGCAAATGTCTTGCGGTTCCGTGGAAGCTGAATAATCGGTGAAAGTTCGCAAAGTATCTTCAATTTCGGCGAGCATCTGAAAATGAAAGTCGCCGCGTTTATTCGAAAAATATGTCTTACTTTTTGTTCCATGACATTCTTTCCCATTCCAAATTCTCTAAAGATTTGAAGGGCATATCTTCGGTTGTCTCTCCATTCCGTGCCGCTGATAAACAGAACGCCATGATCTCCAGCTGAAAAACAAAAAAAATGCATTGGTGTTTTGATCAAGTAAATCAGATCAAGCGTTTTGGATGAGACTCCCAGAAGAGATGCGCTGAAGTGACAGTGAAACGTAGAGACGTTCTTATGTCCGGTATCTTCCGACTGGGTGGATTTTGCTGTCTCCGAACAGGCGCGTGTTTGCCGAGACAGTCAAAAATCTTGCAAATGTGAAAAGAAACTGAAGGATGAGCGCAGAAGACAATGGGCCTCCCTAGATCGTCTTCACCAAAAGATTAATCCTTTGGAAGTGCTATATCATCATCCCAGAGCAAAGCGAGCGGTCCATTCCTAGCCAGAAAAAGATATGAACGTCGCTCTTGGGGTACTTTGCAAATTTCGATTTTTTTTTCGGTCTCCGCTAGCAAAATGAAAAACATTACATTATATGTATATAAGGATGGTCCGAGAGGACAAGGGCTTTTCTAGATTGCCTCCGCCAAAGTATGCGTTTTTTATAAGCGTTGTATTATAATCTCAAAAAGAAGCGACCGTTTATTTCCCCCTCCATCCTTCAAAAATCCACGACTTACACCGGTACTTGGCATTGAACGAGTGCATCGGAACCCTATCTACCAAAGTCTCCGGCAATTGCGTCAGAACATGTTCGATTGCCGCGTAATCCGCCAACATGACCGTTGGCATATCACCTCTCCAGAATGTAAAAACACTTCCGTATTTCTTCTTCCACTCGAGAAATGCGTTGGTTGGGGGTTGCAGCGCAGCTTGAAGCAGATTCCCAAAAATCGGCCATGGCGTTGGGCCCGGAGGCAGATTTCTCCGTTTCCAATACAAATCGTAGAACAGACAAACCGTAATCAGCAACAGTATCTGCAGAATCATTCTCAGTCAACTGATTAATCATTGCTTACCAGCGGCTTAAGAACGTGGGTAATGCGGCTTGATAACGGGAGCCAGGATTGCAAAACTTTTCTAAAAAAAGAACGGTTGAAAAGCATTTTTTCCGGGGTGAATTAAGAGTGTAGAAGTACAGGAAAAATATTATCAAAACAAAAGGGCAGGAATTTCAATAAAAGTGTGTAAAGTTGAAGGTTTTACTTTTAGCATTCCCGGAAAAAGAGCTCGAGTTTCGCAACAAATGAACTCACAGGGGATAGGTTCATTACGAAAGAAATAGGCCTAGTCACCGCGCAGATTTTGATAAAACTTGGCACAAGTTTAGATGCATTTTTCTAAGACATATGAGAGAGGGATATCTTAACTCCAGTTCGCAGTATCCAGAAACTGCCGGCATTTATAAGACAAAAGTTGGAAATATTGTGGTACTTTGAGAATTTTGGGATTAGGGGTTTCATGCCTACTTATACCGCATTTTTGATTGGTAATGTTTCAACAAAAAGACTGTCCGCGCGAAGCTGACAAAGCCAAGAAGTGTTTTTCTCTGCCGCAGCTCTCTCCCAGCCTTCAGCAGGCCTCCGCCAGGTCTTCCACAAGCAGCTGTTTGCGCATTTCTCTTGAAAAACTCTTTTTTCTCATTATTCCTATCGTAATTCGTCTCTCAGATGTAGTGCATGACGAAGTTAGTTTTTTCTGCGAAAAATTTATATCAAAGGACGGTCTAATGCAAAGAATGGAGCAGCTAATTTTTTTTTGAACGTTAGACGCAAATCAAAAACTCGAAGAAAAAATAAATTGATAATCGAAGTGTACTTTGCACAGCCAGACATATCAGTCTGTCGGGAAAATAACGCCTTGGTATCGTCCATTATTGATTTGCAACGTTGTAGACAAATATTTTTATGGTGGTGTTAAAGAGCTGGTACTAACAGTAATACAATCTAAATATAATAGCCCCGCAATTTTTGAATCTTTTCCGCGTGGGAGATGAGATATCAAAAAAGTTCTTTTTTGCTCTACATATGTAGTTTATCCTCTAGAAAAGACTGTAATTTCCAACTTACATTTTAATGAATTGATGACCCGACTGATGGATGCACAATAACTGTCCCCGCTCTTCCGCCACTTTGGACTTTCGCGCCGCTTTGCGACGTGAACCGTGAGGTCCGCAGTTGTTTGTAGTATACAAAAACTAATGAGCCAATCTCGACCGCGTGAAAGTAGATGAAGTACGGGCCAAAAAGTTTGGGAAGATTGGCGCCGGTGAGCTGAATTCAAATTGTTATCAGTTGTTTAAAAAAAAAATTTTTCTACCTTTGTTATGACATAAGAAAGTCCATACGGAGTGACTTTGAGGAAGAATTCGACCGCTACTGCTGATATGGCAATTTGGTTTACCTGAAGAAAGATATGTCCTTCAAAAATGACTTCTCTAACTTGGAGTGCATTATTACTCACAGGGACTGCATTAACCTACCGTATTCTAAAAACGAAAGTCTTTACCTTTTTGTTCGCTCGTGCAATCATCGCTTTTTGCCGTTTATGGTAGAGAAAATAGAAAGCGCATCCCAGCATGACGTTGGTGAATACGATTGGCAAATTTACCGTCCACAGAAACGTCGAGTTCTGGCTGGTTTTGCTGGTGCCAGCGCAACCGTAGCTGACGCAGTCCGATCGAGCGGCAGTGTCCGGCGCATAGACGGAATTGTGGCAAACCACAAAGAAATAGATTAGAAGTTGCGACAAAACATTGAATATTGCCAAGGACGCGCGGACAGTGCGTACGTGAGCGGTAAAGAGCGTGATGGTTATGATGCGATCCAGCGCGAGGAAGAGAATACTGATCGAGAGCGCCGGGTAGAAACCAAAGTAGAAGGTGCTACTCCAGAAAACATAATGCATGGAGTATAGGGTACCTGAAAAAAGATGCATGGAAATTTTCATGGCAACTTAGTGCCCTATGCGCGACCTTCATTTTTTTATTTAAATTACCTACATACGCCAATATAAACCTCCGTATTACGAAACCTTTCTATAGTGGATAAATAGTTTGCTGCCGAGAGAGCGTGCGAAACGTGGAGAGCGGCCGCAGAAAAAACGCTTTATTTCTGCCATTAAATTTGAGCGTCGTACTTCGACCATTCATACTTTTCAGCCTTATTTTAGAGGCCGGAACAACTCCAAGCAACTCTTCTCGCAAAAAACCAACCTGTTCCTTCAAACGACCACAAAACATATGCAATGTAAGGCATCGGCAACATGCAGGAAAGCAACGCCGCAGCAAATTGAATAGTCAGATTGACGGATAAAAAGGAGTATTGTTGAATGATTAATCGAGTCAGTAGGCCTATTAAAATAAGAAAAGCAAAGAAAGAGATAAACATCAGTACAATAGTGGTATCATTTGTGATACTGGGCCATTCCATATTTGTTTTTGAGCGCTGCAAATACTGTGACCTAAGATACGGTAGCAGTGGGACAAATGCGTTTATAGCGGAGATTAAATCGCGCTTAAGTTGAGAGCAAATGAGCAAAAATTTTTGAGATATATCACAGGGCCATCTTTAAATTTGTACTTGCTAAAAGCGTTACATTACAACCATGGACGCAGTATAATACAGCAGCCTTTTTTCACCATTCTGGAGTCGTTAATGTTTCATAAAGAATGGGCTTTGGTTTGGCACTTTAGAATGTAGTCTCTATGACCGGAGAATCCTATGCCAGTAATAACAAAGCACTTGTCCTCCGTAGCAGTCAAGGTTTGCCACAAACCACGACAAGAATAAACGTAAAGGACAAAATGTCTTAATGTAACCGCCGTTAGCTGCAGCTTTTGCGTACATAAAAGCTAGCGAGTGAATTGTTTCAAAACGTTCTTATCTTACAGGGGAAGCACCCCAAGTGCGATGCTCAGATTTTAGTGAAACATGCCACAAATTTAGAATATTTTTTCTAAGACATATGCGAAAATCCTAGCTTGCGCTTTGCAGAAACAACCCAGATTTTATGATCAAAAGTTGGCGAAAATTTGACAATTTTTGCCGAATTTCGGCACGAAAAGTTTCATATTTTTTTCTACCATAGGCAATGTTTCCACAAAAAATCAATTTTTCCCTCTAGTAAAGTTATGGCCAAAAAGTGTTTTTCTCTCTGACCTCCCTCCACGTTTAACCCTTTCCGGACGAGTCGGCACGTACTGGTAAAAATGAAAGAGGGTGCCCTACTGAGTAACGGCATAATAGTGGTTCAGCCCATCGAAGCGTTATTTGGGACTTATGACAAAAAGTGTCCTAAAAAGTACCCCTGTTTGACATATAAGTTTTGAAATTTTTGTGACAAGCTATAGATCGGAAACTACCCCTAAATCAAAGTCGAGGAGTCCTTATATTGTTACATCCAAGAACTGTCCAAATTGGAGCACTATAGGACTTGTTATGGATTTTTGGAAATTGAATTTTTAATTTTGGTCAATTTTCGACCTAAAATCAAGTATCGTTCGATATCTCAGCGGAACTTGCAAAGCACGAGCTAAAACTTTCAGGAATTGATATTCCGTCTTTTTCTGATGTGTGTGCAAAATTTTAACAATAAAAAAAATTTGAGCTTCGCACTCGGGGTACTTCCCTTGTTATTACAAATTGGACGAATTTCGAGTAATTTTTCTATGCGATAGCCAGGAAAATCGCAAGGCCAAACGTTAACCATAGTTTGAAAACTCGTACTTTAAACATAAGGCAATTTAGCCCCTTCGGCAAGGCCAAAGTTCCTTGAAAAAATGCCGCACGAAAATAGCAAAGTCTTTGTCCCTGCATAGAACAAGCTAAACTTTTTTGGGAGTTTATAATGTGCAAATCTTCCTTCCGTCGGTGCACCAATTAAAACAACAGAGGGAGGAAAGTTGCGCACATTCAAAAGAAAATTTCGTACGTTAGCGCTGAAAACAGGGGTGGTTAATTATGGTATTTTAGCATTTTCAAGACGCATTTTATTCTTTAAAGAAGCAATGCGTATAACACAAAAGGCCGTACTTGCGAAATCCATGCATAGGCAACGAAGTACGAAAAATTGTACTTTGATACAAAGTATGTACACGATGTACCAAACTGCAAGTATTTAGTCAAAAAACTATATACATACGTATATATACAAATCTTCACAAGTGCGTCCAGTAATAACCTTATCTACACAATTTTAAGTTTACGGTTGAAGAAAAAACGTTCAAGTGACACGTTTGATTTAGTCGTGACAGTGGCTGCATTCCAGCTGCTAACGGCACTCAGACATTCCGTTTTAGCGTTTGTGTCAGGACGTTCTAGTCTAAACATAATACAATGAGTCTATTTACTGAAAATACGCGGTACGCACACATAATCTTCAGTTATATGCAAATGTTTTGGCACTTTGCGGCCACTGCAAAACAAAAATTCGTGCGTTTGTGCGGAGAACGTTAGAATTAATATTGAACGTCCTTACTAAATACATAATGCCTAATTCTAAACCAAAGAACCGCTGTTGTTTCTTGTCACAGGTCAAAACTATCATATTCCGGAAGTTCGAGTCATGTGTAGTTTTGACAACAGAGATTTCCATGTTTCTCCGAATAAACTAACCGACAAAATAAATTTGTTAAACAACATGATTTTGTCAACATTCCTTCCGTCACTTCAAACCGACACATAGTGACTGATGCCGCCTCAAAGATCCTCCAATCATAGCTATCTAGTTTATAGTATCGGCACTTTACAGCGATCTCTGTACAACACTTACGGAAACATTCAACATTCTCCGCCAAACAAGGAAATTCGTCAAAACGCGCGATATAACTTCCAAAGTTTTTACAACTTGAAAATGTCCGTATAAAAGCGATTCTATTGGCTGCTTTCTCAGGTCAGTTCTTTTGTTGACGAATCGGGTAAAAAATTATGAAGCTGCTCGCGTATTTCATGCTCCTTGGTCTTATGGCTGTTGCCTTGGCTGCTACAGGGTAAGTAATTGAATCTTAATTTGTAGCCTAACCTCTGAGCGGACGTGACAAATGTATCACCGTTTATAACTAAATTTATGCGTTTACATTTTTCCGCCGTCGTCTGGAGAATGTGCGCTAAATGTCGTGGTAAACATCGTTAAAACATAAAAATATTTGTTTTCAATCATATTTTTCAGCCTTCGCCTGAAACGTCAGTTTGGTCGTGCTAGTGAAACCATCACAGTTAGTGAAAACATCCGAGGCGGTGGCCCAGGACCATACGGCGGAAGAGGGGGTGGTTTTGGTGGCCCAGGACCGTACGGCGGAAGAGGAGGTGGTTTTGGTGGGCCAGGACCCTACGGCCGTTTCGGTGGCGGACCGCGTGAAACTGTCACTGTTACAAAAACGTTCACGGAAGTTGGAAAGAAATAAAGCAATTTGTGAATAAATCCTTATAAAAAATATCGGAGTATTTGTTAAACGAATTGTTATTTCATTGTACTAGAAAGAGAAAAGTTTTTGTGGGTTTATGACTTCTTCCAGGTAAGCAGGTGCCCCGGTTGTTTGCGATACATCATACATAATAATTGTGTGGATGTTACTTTTCTGTGAAATTGAGAATTCGAAGAAAAACGTAAAAAGATGTTGACACATTTATTCTTCCCGTAATATACAGTAAGAATTTTAAAGAATTAACTATGCTTTAGCTTGGGGTTAAAAATGGAAAAACAGTTGGTTTCGGGCATTTCTTCGCAGTCTCTAGATTGGAGAGTCAGGGAATGGAGGAGGGGGTCCAGAAGGAGGTGGTGGAGTTGGTCCCTGGTCACCAGCACTTCTTTCCTGCCTCTTGTTTTTAGAGCCAAAGAATGAAGGAGGGGGTCCAGAAGGAGGTGGTGGAGTTGGGTCCGGGTCACCAGCACTTCTTTGCTGCCTCTTGTCTTGATAGCCATCGAATGAAGGAGGGGGTCCAGAAGGAAGTGGTGGAGTTGGGTCCGGGTCACCAGCACTTCTTTCCTGCCTCTTGTTTTGAGAGCCAAAGAATGAAGGAGGGGGTCCAGAAGGAAGTGGTGGAGTTGGGTCCGGGTCACCAGCACTTCTTTCCTGCCTCTTGTTTTGATAGCCATCGAATGAAGGAGGGGGTCCAGAAGGAAGTGGTGGAGTTGGGTCCGGGTCACCAGCACTTCTTTGCTGCCTCTTGTTTTGAGAGTCAGGGAATGGAGGAGGGGGTCCAGAAGGAAGTGGTGGAGTTGGGTCCGGGTCACCAGCACTTCTTTCCTGCCTCTTGTTTTGAGAGCCAAAGAATGAAGGAAGGGGTCCAGAAGGAGGTGGTGCTGTTGGGTCCGGGTCACCAACACTTCTTTGCTGCCTCTTGTTTTGATAGCCATCGAATGAAGGAGGGGGTCCAGAAGGAGGTGGTGGAGTTGGGTCCGGGTCACCAGCACTTCTTTGCTGCCTCTTGTTTTGAGAGTCAGGGAATGGAGGAGGGGGTCCAGAAGGAAGTGGTGGAGTTGGGTCCGGGTCACCAGCACTTCTTTCCTGCCTCTTGTTTTGATAGCCATCGAATGAAGGAGGGGGTCCAGAAGGAAGTGGTGGAGTTGGGTCCGGGTCACCAGCACTTCTTTGCTGCCTCTTGTTTTGAGAGTCAGGGAATGGAGGAAGGGGTCCAGAAGGAAGTGGTGGAGTTGGGTCCGGGTCACCAGCACTTCTTTCCTGCCTCTTGTTTTGAGAGCCAAAGAATGAAGGAAGGGGTCCAGAAGGAGGTGGTGCTGTTGGGTCCGGGTCACCAGCACTTCTTTGCTGCCTCTTGTTTTGATAGCCATCGAATGAAGGAGGGGGTCCAGAAGGAGGTGGTGGAGTTGGGTCCGGGTCACCAGCACTTCTTTGCTGCCTCTTGTTTTGAGAGTCAGGGAATGGAGGAGGGGGTCCAGAAGGAAGTGGTGGAGTTGGGTCCGGGTCACCAGCACTTCTTTCCTGCCTCTTGTTTTGAGAGTCAGGGAATGGAGGAAGGGGTCCAGAAGGAAGTGGTGGAGTTGGGTCCGGGTCACCAGCACTTCTTTCCTGCCTCTTGTTTTGAGAGCCAAAGAATGAAGGAAGGGGTCCAGAAGGAGGTGGTGCTGTTGGGTCCGGGTCACCAGCACTTCTTTGCTGCCTCTTGTTTTGATAGCCATCGAATGAAGGAGGGGGTCCAGAAGGAGGTGGTGGAGTTGGGTCCGGGTCACCAGCACTTCTTTGCTGCCTCTTGTTTTGAGAGTCAGGGAATGGAGGAGGGGGTCCAGAAGGAAGTGGTGGAGTTGGGTCCGGGTCACCAGCACTTCTTTCCTGCCTCTTGTTTTGATAGCCATCGAATGAAGGAGGGGGTCCAGAAGGAAGTGGTGGAGTTGGGTCCGGGTCACCAGCACTTCTTTGCTGCCTCTTGTTTTGAGAGTCAGGGAATGGAGGAGGGGGTCCAGAAGGAAGTGGTGGAGTTGGGTCCGGGTCACCAGCACTTCTTTGCTGCCTCTTGTTTTGAGAGTCAGGGAATGGAGGAGGGGGTCCAGAAGGAAGTGGTGGAGTTGGGTCCGGGTCACCAGCACTTCTTTGCTGCCTCTTGTTTTGAGAGTCAGGGAATGGAGGAGGGGGTCCAGAAGGAAGTGGTGGAGTTGGGTCCGGGTCACCAGCACTTCTTTCCTGCCTCTTGTTTTGAGAGTCATCGAATGAAGGAGGGGGTCCAGAAGGAGGTGGTGGAGTTGGGTCCGGGTCACCAGCACTTCTTTGCTGCCTCTTGTTTTGAGAGTCAGGGAATGGAGGAGGGGGTCCAGAAGGAAGTGGTGGAGTTGGGTCCGGGTCACCAGCACTTCTTTCCTGCCTCTTGTTTTGATAGCCATCGAATGAAGGAGGGGGTCCAGAAGGAAGTGGTGGAGTTGGGTCCGGGTCACCAGCACTTCTTTGCTGCCTCTTGTTTTGAGAGTCAGGGAATGGAGGAGGGGGTCCAGAAGGAAGTGGTGGAGTTGGGTCCGGGTCACCAGCACTTCTTTCCTGCCTCTTGTTTTGATAGCCCTCGAATGAAGGAGGGGGTCCAGAAGGAGGTGGTGGAGTTGGGTCCGGGTCACCAGCACTTCTTTGCTGCCTCTTGTTTTGAGAGTCAGGGAATGGAGGAGGGGGTAAAGAAGGAAGTGGTGGAGTTGGGTCCGGGTCACCAGCACTTCTTTCCTGCCTCTTGTTTTGATAGCCATCGAATGAAGGAGGGGGTCCAGAAGGAAGTGGTGGAGTTGGGTCCGGGTCACCAGCACTTCTTTGCTGCCTCTTGTTTTGAGAGTCAGGGAATGGAGGAGGGGGTCCAGAAGGAAGTGGTGGAGTTGGGTCCGGGTCACCAGCACTTCTTTCCTGCCTCTTGTTTTGAGAGCCAAAGAATGAAGGAAGGGGTCCAGAAGGAGGTGGTGCTGTTGGGTCCGGGTCACCAGCACTTCTTTGCTGCCTCTTGTTTTGATAGCCATCGAATGAAGGAGGGGGTCCAGAAGGAGGTGGTGGAGTTGGGTCCGGGTCACCAGCACTTCTTTGCTGCCTCTTGTTTTGAGAGCCAGGGAATGGATGAGGGGATCCAGAAGGAGGTGGTCCAGAAGGGGGTGGTCCCTGGTTATCTTGGAGACCCTCTGTAACTAAAATTATTGAGTCCTTTTCCATTTCTAAGCAACATACTGCAACCAAGTGCCAACACACAGAAGCAAATCACCAAGCTGTATCTCATTATTAGATGAATGATGCTACAATGACGCCCAAAAGGTTTATATAGTTGTTATTTGTTTGCTCAGTGATTTTTTAAAATCATTCGGTAGACATTTGTTTAGCCGTACTCAGGGGCATTCATAATAGAAATCTTTGGTGTCGTAGCTTCACGTTTGTTCAGCACTCAATCAACTACATGCGATCCTTTGTGTTACAGGTCAGAGCTTCATTTGTCGCAATTGCAAAAAGAAATCGAAGGTCGTTAAAGTGCAATTTTCGACCTTGCAGACTGAAATAAACTTTACAATGAAAAAATCACTCTTCAACGAAAGGAAGCCAGCAAAAGTCTGTCTCTCATCAAAATAAGTAGGCTCTTTTTCGGGGTTATCAGTTTATCGCAACTTTAACTTCTCTCAGTTCACGTAAGTTTTGATGTGAAAGTTTTAGCGCGCGCTTTGCATGCGCTTTGCATGGCACCGACGGTCTTTGTCAACGCGATGCGCGAAATGCGGAGTATGGTCAGAGAGGAGAAACGCTTTTTGGCCACATCTCTGCCAATTTCTCATAGAAAAAAAAATTTTTGAACAAACGACTCTCATTTAGAATTAAGACTGAAAATTGCCGAGCGTAAACTTTACCAACTTTCGGATCAAAAAATCTCAAGTCTTCTACAAAACGCGAGCTGAGAGCTTCGGATATGCCTTCGATAAAATTGACCTAAATTTGTGAGGTTCTATGCATAAGAATTTGAGCGTGAATCGAACACGATCTTTGTGAAACGCATTTTTAACTGTTCTTTTTTTTATTCTTTGACTTTCGTTAAAACAAAGATCGCGATAATGTCGCGGTCACAAGCAGCTATTAATTTCGTGTTATGAAAGCGGCGCGTTGTTCCGTCGATGAGGCCGATATAAAAGCATTCGTTGGTGCGATAACAAAAATCATTATAAATCGCTGTAAGCTGTGTAACATTTTATGATTTATTTGTGATGGGTGGGTTTTGTTGGTCCATTTCGACCTAATATTGACTCCTGGGAGCTTTGAAAATGTTCGTTATAAACATATTGCGTTGTACAGAACCTCCATATTTCATTTTTTCTCATCAATTTTTTTTCAGCAAGATGTCAAAACCCCTGGCTCAAGGAAAAACGAAGGCAATCTACGCTGTCTCCGGTGATGACAGCAAAGTTTTGATCAAGAGTTTGGACAGTTTAACCGCTTTCAACGCCCAACGTAAAAGTGAATTGGAAGGAAAGGCAGCGGCGGCTTCAAAGACCACCTGCAACATCTTTCGGTATTTGAACGCTTGCGGTATGTAAATTCGATGTAATGTATGCAGGAGGTAGACAAGTGTGGTTCTTAGAAATTTTCGTGTACTCTGGAAGTACAGTCAAACAACAAACGTGCAAGGAGTTAAAAATTCGTTAGAGTGGTGCCATTTTCACTCATTTGGCCCTGAGGTTAACCCTTTGGACCTTCGAGATTTTTGTTATTGACAGGCTCCGTTACAAAATTTTCAGCCCGATTTTTGATGAAAAATTAAATTTTTGGCTATGTCAGATCTGAATGTCATTTCTCTTGAAAATCCAGTCTAGCGTTTTGATCTAAAAATCTCATTTTAGGGCTCAAAACGCATTTTGTCCGCGAGGTTTCGGAAACCGAGTTCGAAGCCCTGAATTGCACAATGATTCCGATCGAATGGGTGGCCCGTCGAATCGCCACCGGCTCATTTTTGAAGCGAAACCCGGGCGTGAAAGAGGGCTACCTTTTCACGCCGCCGCTCATTGAAACCTTCTTCAAAGATGACGCCAACGATGACCCTCAATGGAGCCGTGCGCAACTTCTGGAGGCAAATTTTGAGCTTAACGGGAGGAAAATCGGAGTCCACGAATATAATTGGATGCAGCGTGCAACGTCCGTGATTTTCCGACTATTGGAAAAGGCCTGGCGCACGGTGGGATGTGTTTTGGTCGACATGAAGATCGAGTTCGGAGTCACCACGAAAGGAGAGCTGGTTTTGGCGGACGTGATTGACAATGACAGCTGGAGAGTGTGGCCAAACGGCGATCGGAGATTACAATTGGACAAGCAGGTCTACAGAGACTTGCCACAGGTAAAAACTTTTTGAATGGGGCATCCAAGGTGCGAGGCATTCGATTTTTTATTCTTACAGCAGCGGACCTGATCCAGTGGCAAAAAACGTACCATTTTGAATCCGGGAAGTACGAAAAAATGTAGCAAAATAGCTCCCTTTCCAAGTTAGAAAGCTCCGATTTCAAAAGCGCCCTTCAAAACGGAGTTTTTTACTTGGAGATGGAGGCATTTTGCTACATTTTTTGGTACTTCCCGGATACAAAATGATACTTTTTTTGCCACTGGATCAGGTCTGTCACTGTATGACAAAATTTTTTAATTTTTTGAGATTGCGCTACAAGCAATCGAAGTTTTTAGATCAAAAACAAAAATATTGAACCCCAAAATTTTTCCAGGTAACCGAAGAAGCGCTAAAAGAAGTCAAAAAGAACTACGAACGAGTTGCACAGCTGACAAATGACTTTGCCGACCCATCCAAAGTCCCCAACGTCGAAGCCATTATTATCATGGGGTCGGCCGCTGATGCTGATTATGGAAAGAAAATCGCGGCTTCTTTGACAAATTTCGGAGTCGAAACCAGTCTCAGGGTTTGCTCAGCGCATAAGTCGACAGCCGAAGCACTCGAACTAATCGGAGAATTGGAAAATAAAGCCAATCCTTGCGTTTTGATCGCCATTGCGGGCAGATCCAATGGACTTGGTCCAGTTTTGGCGGCTAATTCTATTCTCCCCGTAATTAATGCCCCGCCATTCAGCGCGGACTGGGCTGCACAAGACGTTTGGAGCTCGCTAAGAATGCCAACTGGAGTGGGATGTACTACCGTATTGGGAGCAGACGAGGTCGCGCTGGCAGCTGCAAAAATATTATCCATCCATAATCATCTTGTTTATGGGAAATTGTTGGGAAATCAGCTGAATAACATTCAGAAAATCTTTGTAAGTCGACTACGTGATTTTTTGCAAGCTAAACACACATACCCTAACCTTACAAACCCAAAAAAATCATCTTTTGCACCGTAATTTGCGTTATTTTAGGACTCGGATCAACAACTCGCCCAATTAACCCTATAAATCATTCCTTAGGAGCGGAAAACAACAGTCATCAATGCTAATTTGGCATTTATGTCAACAGTGTCATAACAAATAATAAACAATTTCCCTTTGTACAAATAAAAGTCTGTTTTTTTCTTAATTTAAGCGGTCACCGGTGTTCCGGTGGATATTGTCTCCATCTGAACAAACATTTCCATGTCGTATATCACTCGGACCAATAGCGAACAGCTGGGACAAGTGGCCACATCTTCACCGGCTTCTAACTGCTCCCTGAAGCGAAACAAAGAGGTAATTCCCCCAATCATATCTAAAATTCAAAGAAAAATCGAACAAACTCACTTTGATATCTCAAATCGATCGCCGCAAGGACAGGGGAAGTGGTAAACACCCTTTTCCTCATCGAACTCAAAGTCCTCGATCTCTACCTCATCGTGGAATACCGACATGGCGGCAATGCAAACCCTGAAATGAATTTTATAATAGAGCAGGTATAAAAACTCGCAAAGACGCCAAAAACGATGTAAAGGCGTAAAAATTCATCGTGCAATGGCTACACAAAGCGTCCAGAATCGATTTGGGATCTCGACAAAAAAGAATTTCGCAATTTTTTTGGAAAAGAACTGCGCCCGAACTTTGAAATTCTTTTGCAGTCTGCAGCCGATCTTATACGATTGAATATGTCCGTAAATGTTTTTCTAGAAAAATTTCTGTTGTTTGCAATGAGCTAGATATTTCTCCTTTCTAGTGATAATTCTCACTCAAATCAACCTTTAAACAATTGTAAATAGTAATGGAATCAAATACCAGCTTAACTTTTGACAAGGATAGTATTTTCTTTGAAGATCATTCAGCTCCGTATGTTTTTTATGTTTATTACCTAAATTAGGTTTTTAGAATGTCACCTAATTGATTAGAAGTCTGTTGAATGCTTAATTATGCCGCTGTTTTCAGTTTGGAGTACCGTTTAGCTCATCAACGTCAAGTCGGACCTGGTTATACGAACCGAGATGGAATTATGATCCCCAGAGATCTCCGGCCGATTCCAGGAACCCAACTCTCCCTGTACCGCAGATTTCGTGACCCAAGGACTGGAAGAATCTTTGCTGTAGACCTTTTGAATCATTGGTATTATGCGAAAAATGACAGTTCGGACTTCTGGCTAGTGGAAGATACGAATAGTGCCGGCAGGCCAAGCAGAGAGAAGATGAAGTGGTGTCGAGTGAGTTTTTGATTTTCGCGTGATTTATTCTTCATTTTAGAGCCATTTACTGCAAAATTGGTCCTTCAATATCAGTATAGTAATTTATATTACTTTAGGTCTCCGAGCTCCCTAGAACACTATTTTCTCAAGGAGTTTTGGACTTTCGTCAAATCTTTGGCTCTGATGAATATATGAGGCCGTTTCTGAAGCTTTGTGAAGTGGATGATGGTAAAAAGACGATGGTTTATCCGTATGATACCTATGGGAACCCGATCTTCCCAGTGTGTCCAATATTATCGGCCAATATGAGTGAGTACGACAAATACAAGCCCTGTCCGAACCACAAGTTCTACGGTGATGGTCATCGTTGTCTGGCGGTCGATGCTGAAGGTCTGCCGATCTTTCCCCAAAACAAACAAGGGGATCCAGTTGTGCCAATGTCACAGTGTGGAGGTATGTCACATATTTTTGTTGATATGTTCTGTGTTTAGAGTACCCAATATATCCGTCAGACATGTTCGGTCTGGGCGTTATCTTTCCCGTGGATCGGATGGGAACTCCAATTATGGCGGTTGATGTGGAAGGTCGACAACAACCCTACAAAAACCCCTTTGGCCATGTCGAACTGCCCACTTCCTTATCTTCAATGGCAACGCTAGTCTCTTTACAGCGTGACGGAAGGTATTTGAATATTCGCGATGTGCTTCGGATCGAATGGCTGGGGATTATAAATGAAAGGCATCAGCACAAAAGAATGACGATAAAGCGGCCAATAAAGGTGGATGCTAGTCACGGAAGCCATAGCAGCTCTCATAATCATTCGTACAAGAGGGTGAAGTCCGAAAATCATGGACATTAAACGTAAATTTGTACAGAAATATATGATTATATTAGACTTGCCTAAAGTAATGCAAATCTTCGATTTCTCGTCGTGTTTGGGAATTTTTCGCTGTTAAACAGTAATCACTTTGACAAGCATGATCTCTTTGACTAATAAATAAATTAAACCTTCAAATATCACCGTAATTTACTTTAACATCATTAAAAACAAAAAGTCAACAATAACAACATGCCAATCCTTTTCAATAGGCATTGGCTTTGTGCTTGGGGATGAACAAATAGCCTTCTGGAGGCGGCCCCAAGAACATTTCGGTAATTTTCAGCCAGTCACTCGAGGCGCGGCTGGCCAGCAACGTTTCCAAATCGGACCTTCCAAAATAGGGCGGGGGTTTTTGGTTGATCTTGGCGGGTAAATATTCCAAAATCCCGGCTGGAACATAACGATGTTGGAAACTGAGCCATTCCAGCAAAAAGCGACGTGTAGTCTGCACTCCGGCATCATCGCTGCCCCAATGTTCGAGGCCGTAATTGCAGAATTTTCGGATCAAATCCAATCTTTCCGAGGCCGAGATGTCCCAGTCTCTTTTCTCATCAATCTCCGTGAAGAGCCATGGTTTGATGAGTGCGCCACGCCCAATCATGACTCCATCTATTGTATGCTGCTCCAAATTTTTGTAGTAGTCAACATAGTTGTAGGTGTCGCCACTCACCCACAATGGGACTTTTCCTTGGGCCGCGTCAGCACATTGTGGGACGTAATCCCATTCGGCGGCTTTTGTGTAGCGTTGTTCTCTGCAATTTGGACATGACACAGTGAAACTTCGGTATAAAGAATATGTGAGGACAAAAATGACTTCTTCAAGCCGAACCTTCGCTATGTAGCGACAAGATTTGTCCAAGAAGCATGTATAAATTTATAAAACAATCTCTTTTTAGTCATAACTCGCTAAATACGACTTCGGTAAATAACCTTTTCATCCCATTACAATCTCAGAGCTTACTTTGATCTGGGGTGCAGTGTGATTAGCTGTGGAGGGTATCCATCGACCAATTTTTGGATTACTTTATGAGCAACTCTTTCTCCTTCTTTTAGGCCATATCTCATCTTCACGGACAATGGGGTCTCGCTCATCACATTTTGCATACAATGAACCACCTAAAAAGACAATATATAATCTATATTACACATGACAAAGACGTTTTCCAAAATTTTGATCAATTATAGTATCCATGATGACCTACCTCCGAAAGTTTGCTGGACCGGTTGAACAATGCGCAGCCACCGCCTTTATCATTCACAGCATCAATGGGACAGCCAAGATTGATATCGATAAAGTCCACTTCCATATTTTCCGTGAGAATTTGGGCGGCTTTAGACATTGTGTCCGCATAGCCTCCAGCCAGTTGAACCCCAAAGATTTTCTCAGTTGGATGACGCTTTACCAACGACCATTCACTCGGATTCCCCTGGAAGAAAGATAATTCTACACCACATCATAGACAATATAACAAAATTCGAAATTGAAGTCAAGTGGAGCAGAAAATTTACCTGTAACAAGCTAGTAGCGATTGCCATTTCACCGCAAGTAACTTCGGCACCAAGTTCCACACATAATCGACGGAAAGGAAGGTTGCCAACTGTAGTCAGCGGAGCCAAATACTTCTTTCCTTTCAGATCTTTCATATTCAACTTGAGTTTCTCCCTTTCCATGGCTCCAATTGAACTATCTTCTTCTTTTTGCTGCCTATATTCTTTTACAACGTTGTCGGAGAGGCTAAAATCGTACTGGTGCTTTCTCATGGCGATCTGCAGCTTCACTGCTTCGGAGTTGAGATTCGGTTGGAATTTTGGATCCGGATCTTTGGATTTCTGTTCAAAACTAGTCGGATCCGTATGAGCACCCGCAAAACGACAAGAAACTCCAAAATTACATCGTCCAACTTGATCGTAGATCACGCAGGTATCACCTAAACTTCGAAAAAATAATAAAGAAAATTTACTAGGTGTAATATAGGCCATTAAAAAAACTTACCAATATCAGCTGGCTTCTGCTTCATGTACTCTCCCAAATCGTGAAGAGCATTACACTTGGCTCCGAACTTGCATTCCCGCCCGGGAATCAACAACGACGGACACAACCGAACGGAATTTAGCCTCACATCAGCCATGGCATGGGCCATTTTCTTTTCTCGTTTTCGATCCTGACCTCGCCTAGCGGCTTTCCGCGCCTTTTCCGCCTCAACATTGACCACTGCAGGTTCTGTTCGCCGGTTTTCATCAACAACGATGTCCTAAGAAAGAAAATAATAAAAATTCAAAGACGTACCCCAGATTTTTTCAAAAATTCCGGCTTGATGGCGGCCACTCCAATTTCAGCCAGTTTAGTGGCATCTCCACCTGAATCAACCGCTTGAACCGGCTCCATTTCACTATTTCGACCAAAACTTGCCATTTTCTTGGAAAAGACAGAATGCCAAAGAAATTTGGCATCCAATGAAAGTCGTGGTGGGAGCCAATTGAAGTTGAAGAAAGTAGTAAATTTTGAACAAAAAGAAAAAAATAGAACTGATGGGACGTATTCGAACCCCTAGAGACAATTACGAGCAAAATTTTACTTGTACGTAAGCAATTAACAGTCACAATTAGCAATAAGTTACTAGATGTAAATGTGTAATATAAATTAGTTCGATATTAAGCATCACCGCGTTTGCTGCTGGCCAAAGAAGTTTTAAACAGCTCGATGATTTCTCGGAGCACATTTAGGCTGTCTTGAATTGGCCGTTTCTTCACATTTTGTCTGAAATTGGCGATTTTTTCCTGAATTTCGTCCCGATTTTTCTTTTCGAACGAATTAAAAATTTTCTCCAAATTTTGAACATCTTCCAATGGAATTCTTGCAATGAAATTCTCGATTTGCTTTCCGTAATGGACATCAAACTTGTATTTGTTGTTACTTTTCGATAAGGTTTCGAAAAAGTCCGGAGTTTCGTCAAAAGAGTCGTTTCCAAATTGGCCTTTACTGTAGTCGTAGGATCTCTTGTCCACATCAAATAATGGGCAAACATCCGCCAGACTGCATGCATAATTGGGTGAGACAAAACTGGACAACACATAGACCGAGGGCAGTGCGAAATCGCAGAGAAGATCCCAGGCTACGTAGTTACAGGCGTACTCGGCTATCTGAAGGAGGGGGATACTGTAATTTTGACTGACCCAAAATTTTTTCCTGTTATTTTATCAATATTCACCAAAGATCCGGGGTATTTCAGACATCTTGAGACGAGAAAAAATTCAAATTTCGAAATTGCCGCCATTTTTGGCATTATGTTCTAAGGCTGATTTTGAATATCATTCAATCAGAAAAAGCAAACCAATACGCAACTGAAGGTCAAAAGGGTTTTTAAAAACAATTTTTTGTAGATCCTGACCATTTCCCCGTTATTTTATATTATCCTTGCCCACCTCATAAAACCAATCGGAATTTTTCAGCAGATAAACAAGCAGGTCGAAGATGTGGGTGCAGAAGAAACAGGCGACCCAGTTCACTCCTTCTTTTGAATACAAGATGATTGGACCGGAAAGGCTTCCAAAAGTATCGCCAACAAAATTTGTCTAAAATAAGGTAAATTAGCTAGGTCATAACTGGAATCTTTATGTATCCTGTGGTCCAAAAATTTTTAGAAAGTCTTATGGACCTTTAATTCCAATTATTTCAGTTTTGTTCTCATCCAGAACAATTTCTTTGTTTTGGGTCCTGTCGCGAAAACATCACAAATTGAGAAAATCGCAAAAATACAGGTGCTTACGATTGGGTCAGCCTCAACATTGACAATTGAAAAGGCAAATAACATAGCGAGTTTTATAACAAAACTCATTTTAGTAGTGTAAGTACAGTAATCTAATCTTTCACTAACTGTTTGATGCTGCGTTGATGCCTCATGGTTCTGCCATGTCTTTTATAGCAGGCGGCAATGCCGTTTCCAGGTCAGTATTATGTATGTAGTGTATTCCACTAACGTTGGAAAATCGTTTGTAATCAAAATATTTTTGAGCAAACTAAACTAGCAAATGATTTTAGGCAGATCAAGGTCGCAGAGTTTGTTATGGCTCTCCTCCATTGTTCTATTTATCCAATTTCCGTCGCTTATACATAGATGACCCAGTTTTGTAAATTTCCATTTTTTTTACATTTCTTGGCAAAATCCCAAAAATTTGAATAATTGCCGAACTTTTTTGTTGAACTTTTATAAAACCAACTTCCATTCTACTCATTGTTGCCCGCTGAAAGATGGCCGATCTGCTGAAAACCGCTCAGCTCTTCCGCAACGATCCCAAAGGCCCGAAACAAGTGGCTTCAGAGGAACTGCGTGGAAAAGTTGTTGGCCTTTTCTTCGCCGCGAAATGGAACCCCACTTGTGTCGACTTCACCGACTGGCTGAAGCATTTCTATCAGCTGGCAAACAAGGACAAACACCAGTTTGAGGTAAGTGGGGAGATCAAGCGATCTGGCTAGTGTAATACAAATTTTTTGTTGTGGTAAAAATTTTTCATGGACCTGAATAGAGGCTGTTCTTAACGTTCGTGGGTTGGAGTGGGTTTGAGAGAGTTATCCACGATACTAATTCATTTTACAGGGTGTTCAGAGAATTATGGAAAAAACTATTCATTAATAACTTTGCGCTCGGTGGTCCAATCCGAAAAATTTTTTTTGCATTTTACAGAAAAACCTTGGAGTTTTTTGAATCTAAAAAAATTTTTTTTCTTTTATCGGCGAAGACTTCCGTAATCCGCGTTGAATTCGGTGGAGTGTTTTTTTCACAAAATAAGGCTGTAAATCGTTGTATTTGTAAAGAAAATGGGCGGAAAAGGATCCAGAAGATACAATATGACCTTTCTTTCAAATTTCTGTGCTTCGGCGGAGACATTTTTTATCCTCGGCGGACGATTTTTCTTCGACTCCGGATAGTCAAAATTGGCTGAAACCAAAGCGTATGGTATTCCTAGTGGCATGGCGCCTAAAAACGACTTATTACGTCTTCAGGAGGCTGGCAGATGAAAAAAAGGCGAGTCGGCGGAGAAATCGGCGGAGAAAAAAGTTAACCCATTTAAGAAATTATGATGAAAAAACTAAAATTGTAAGTCTTATACGGCCCTGATCAACCAAAAATATGACTCTTCTTATTAGCGGATGCTCGGCGGATAAATTTGCATAATTTCTGAAATACGTTCATTTTCTCTTCGCCGATTTCTCCGCCGACTCGCCTTTTTTTCATCTGCCAGCCTCCTGAAGACGTAATAAGTCGTTTTTAGGCGCCATGCCACTAGGAATACCATACGCTTTGGTTTCAGCCAATTTTGACTATCCGGAGTTGAAGAAAAATCGACCGCCGAGAATAAAAAATGTCTCCGCCGAAGCACAGAAATTTGAAAGGAATGTCGTATTGTATCTTTTGTATCCTTTTCCGTCCATTTTCTTTACAAATACAACGATTTACCGCCTTATTTTGTGAAAAAACACTCCAACGAATTCAACGCGGATTACGGAAGTCTCCGCCGATAAAAGAAAAAAAAATTTTTTCAGATTCTAAAAACTCCAAGGTTTTTCTGTAAAATGCAAAAAAAATTTTTCGGATTGGACCACCGAGCGCAAAGTTATTAATGAATAGTTTTTTCCATAATTCTCTGAACACCCTGTAGAATAGAAAAAAAAACAACTTACAAAAATGATGACCCAAAATTTCGAAAATGCAATGACCCGTATTTTGCCTTAAAATTCTTTTGTGAATTATCTCTCAAATCATTTTTCAGATCTTTTTTTACCTCTAGTGCCCAAAAGCCTAACATAATTGCAGCAATAGAACCTTTATCGACCACCTTTTCCTTATCCATGATGACTCTAATCCCAAGGCTTTTCAGATCGTCTTCATCTCTCGGGATCACAGTGAGAAAGACATGAAAGAGTACCTGGGCAAGCACGGAACCTGGCTGTACACTCCATATGGCTGCAAGACTGTCAACAGTCTGTTCAATCGCTACACTTTGAAGCAAATCCCTCAGCTGATGATTGTCCAAAAAGGCGGTACCCCGGTGGTGGATGACGCCATCGACGTGATCAATGTAAGTTTAGACAGTCTATGATATGTATAGCACACGTTTGGTGTCTTTCTCCCTGATTCTAGCAACTTTTTTTAAATTTTTGACCTATTTTCGAGATTACTACCAAGTGTAATATACATTTTTTGATTTTTTAGGACCCCAAAGTCGATGCACCTGGTTTGGTGGCTAAATGGAAGAATCTGACCACCGAATGATTTGCTTACAAGATTTATATCAAATCTATCACAATATAAAAAAGAGTAAGGGTATAAAATGAACAATGAGATCTATTTTGAAAGAAAACTATTACTATGCGATATAAGAATACGAAATAATTGTACTGCCTGAGTCGGAAGGTTCTTTTAGACTAGTAAGAAACAAGTTTTAGTAAAAATATTACGGTATTAAATAAAGGATTTTAAGCAGGTTTGCGAAGTACGATATTGCCTTTAGGTCGTTTGATCACCTCAATTTCTGGTCGATTTATTAGTCGGCGGATCTGGAAAGAGATAATAGTCAATTCGACTAAAAATTGTCAACTTTCACGAATAAAATTTCGAATTTTTATATTATCTATGATGGGTAATATGATAAAGAAGCGCTTACTGCCGCAATTCTGTAGGTATGTGAGATGGAGAGCTCTCCCTGCACTGTGTCGTTCAAGAACCTTTCAATCCGCCGTTTCAATGGAGGTGGGATGTTTCCATTCGCCTGATCTCGACATCTCAAACTTGGCTTTGCAAATCTCGCAATTTTGATTGGAGGAGCTTCATTTGCGGATTCTGGCTCGGGTGTGGTCTCCATGATCTCATTTCGCACGCGTATTGTAGCTACCACCTCCTCTTCGGTCTCTGTTTGATAGTCTTTTCCATCGTCTTTCTCTGGATGATAATCTGGCCAATCACTTTGCTCATCATCTGCGTCATGCCCTTCATTACAGGAGCTGCTATCGTTTTCCGACGAATTCTCGACCTCTGATTGATCCTTCAGGTGGACTTCCCATTCCATTTGAGAAGCAGCTGGAATTTCGAGTTTTACAATCAGACCTTCAAAAGTTCTTGGATAACCCGGATTTATATCCAATCACTAAAAAACAAAGAAAAAACTTGAAAGCTTACGTCTCTTCCGCATCCTCCGACGTCTCTTTGTTCGGATCGATCCAGAATTTTCTGACCAATGGTCCGAATCCAATGTTACACTAGCCACTCCTTTGGTCGTTCCGTCCAGATCACTTTCTGTGGCTCCATTTACTGTTACAACACGGTGTCTTCGAGACATAAACTTTATGCGGTCCAATCATGTAAATTGGACTAAAATCCGGTTTTTTGGGAAAATAAACAGAATGCCAAGAGTTTTTAATCAATTTTTCGTGGTAAAACTAACCGCAGATAGCGCTGTATAGTCGTAAAAATTTTATTTGGACCTTTCCAGATAATATAAACACTAGAAAAGAGGCAAAAGCATAACACTTCATTCATAACAACTAATATTGAACATGACACCTAGATTGAACAGTTGATAACAAAAAAGTCCAGGAATCATTCATAAAGGAGATGCTCTAACCTTTTGCGATACCGGCGTTTGTGGATGAACTCTTTCAGTTCTGGCAGTGAGGTCCAATTGTAGTCGGCAACGTGATCTTTGTTAAATTGGATCTCTTTATCCAATTCGTTGATGTATGCGAGATAAATGAAGATCTAAAAGAATGAAAATCATAAACAAATGCTACATACATGATTCCCTTCAGTTTGTAGATGGTCAGCAAGCTTCTTAGAGTATTCATACTGCGTTACAGACACTGGAGCGTTCCCCAGAATATTAACATTGACATCAGATTCAAAGATGTCACCAAGGCAGCGCACGGCGGTCTAAAATTTTAAATAATAATAATAAAACGAAAGATAAAGAACGCTCACCTCTCGTAAAGGTTCTCCATTGTTCTTTAGACTCGGAATAGTCCAAAAATTGGGCTCATTCTGACTAAACTTTTGCTTGACCAATAAGATAAGCTTCCGATCCAACGCCTTCCTCAATGATTTCCCGCTTTCGTCCTCCCATTTCTTTCGATTATCCAACTCATACTCTGCTCGTATCTTCTTTTCATTTTTAATGTATTCTTCTTCTTCCTGGGTTGCCGGAATACCAATTTGTTCGTCTAATTCACTTAGATCTTTACCCTGTGCTTCAAGCTGGCGACGTTTTTCGAATAATCTAAAAGGAAGCATAAATCGTGCAAGCTTCATGCAATTTCTGTTTTGCTAGTAGGCAAATGAAAACCAAAAAAGAGCCGATTTATTTGAATATTTTTCAATTCCTTCAACATTTCCATCATGGACAACACCAAGGTCAGCTCTAAAATTCAAAAAAGAAACACAAAAAAGCACACTTACTCTGCATCTTTCCTTATTCTCAGCTCAAAATCACTCAAGTGCGACCCCTCATCTTCGATTTGACGTTGTTGATCGCTGAATTTCTGCTCAATTTCTGTTAGTGGAGGGGCAATAACCGGAAGGCGAATCAGTGCCACAGCCGCCGAGATATCCCATTTGGCTTCTGGAGCTTCTTTGAGGGCCTGCGAAGCAAACCGACGTCCAATCGTCCTCGCAAGAGGCAACAACATTTCGCAGCGACTAAAAACGAAAATTTGGAGAGAATTTTTCCGAAAAATCCGGTTGAAACGGAATGCCAAGAAAAGTTGTCTTTGCCAAAACCTGCGGGAGTTTCGAACAGAAACGGGGATTTTAAAACGACCGAGTTATTTTGGGCCATTTTGCTAAATAGCTACCGTGTTTCGACATAAAAACAAAGTAAAAAACATTGTTCAGAGATCACATTTGGAAAGAAACAAGAATAAGGTCCTGGAAGTCTTTGCGCTTGTTTTTGTTTTGATACTATTATTTCGAAAAGCTGCAAAGGCCTCCAAAAACTGTCGGAAAACACCCATTCTAAAATTTTGCTGAATTTGAGAGAGGTTTGAAAATTTTTGAAGTAAGATACGGTAATCTTTTATTCCAGAGCCTTTCTATGTCGATAAAAAATTTTAGCCCTCTTTAAAAATTTGCTTCATAATAGAGTGACCATCTTGCTTGATTTTCGAATTCCCGTCGGTATATCGCGCCATTCTTAGGATTTTTATTCATCGTTTATGTTCTGATATCTACATAAAATATAATAATATAAAATTTCTTCAGAAAATGAGTCGTTCCTACCAATACAGCGAGAGCATTCGTGAGGCCCTCGGAAAGAGTGATGAGGGTGTCAATGCGAGTATGATTGATCAAATAAGAAGTGCTAATGACAACGGTCGTGTCACTACTGATACTGTGCACCGTGCCCAATATGGAGATGAAGCCCCAAGGGAAGAGAAACGCCATTTCGAAGGGTTTGATCCGGCTACCAGATATCTTCAAGAGACTTCGGAAGAGCCCAAAAGAATTATGTAAAATCTAACTTATATATTTATTTGAGGACAAAGTTTCTGCAATTTTTAGCAGGGTACCTTAGATAAAGGATATTTTTGTAAATTGTGAACACTTGGTATAAATAGGCCATAAAGGCGCTGCGACAGTTCGGGTCAGTGATAGTATGTATGTACCGCGTCGGTTCGTCGTTGTATGGTAGAGGCTAGGAGAAGGCTTAGTTAGTAAAAACAATAAGATTGATCGGGTCCTACGATAACTTGTCTATTTTGAGATATTTTACATGTCCTCACATCAATAATGTCTAGACAAAAGCTACGGATCTTCGTTTTTTGTCAAAAATTTGGGTCTTTTGTATGTCACAATAATTCAGGGTAAAGAAAACTAACGTTAGTAATAGCTAAAATTCCAAAGAGTGTTCATATTGCAAGTCTTCGCCAAGTCTCCACCGAGCCTTAGCCGACCATCCAACGGCTACACTCACGCCTCGTAGGCACCTCCTAAAACCTTTTTTGGGTGTCAAGCTGCCCTACACTCCGTATCAATCGATTTTTTGATGACCCAAACTATCGTCAACACGAAAAATAAATACGATCTTCATGGCAATAAAGTACATCAAATGATGAGAAACAGTCAAACATCTACTATTCAAAAATTAAAGTCAGCTTCTTAAGGATCTCATTATTTCTAGACCGCAGAATTTTTTATTTGGCTAATTCAGAAGAGAAAAAAATTTAGAAGCAAAACAACGCATTTTTCTCTCGCTAAGGAACCACAAATCTCCTCTATGGTTAACATATTCAAACTTTCTGTATTTTTCATCATTGCTGGTGCTGTCTACTCCGTTCGATTATCCGATCTACCTCAAAAATATTTGGAATGTCTGAGCACGTGGATCAGGAGGCTAGAGATGACTTGCACTCACAGTGGACAAATCCACGGCTGTTATAAGAAACATAGCTTTGGTGAGGCTACTTTTTAATATTTTTTTGCTATTGGTGCCCCAAGCAAGACGAAGAGATTTTGATGAAATATTGGCAAAATAGAGGAATTTTTTAATGAAAAATTTGAGATTTTTAGTTTGTGGTTTGCAGAAAAAGCCGAGAATTGCTGTCCGAAGATTGGTGACAACAATTCGGCCTTTTTTTGCCGATTTTGGTATGAGAAAATTCAGCTTGATTTCTCTCAGGTAGGGCGACGTTTGTACCAAGAATCAATTGTTTCCATGCGAAACGGATGAATTTATGGCCAAAAATCCTTTTTCTTTTTAACTCCTCTCCGTGTTTCGCATGATCTGTCAAAGGAAAAGATCGCTGGAAATCTCGGCGGCCACTGCATAGCACGAGCCAACTGACCTCCTAATTTTATCAAATTTAACATTGCCGTAATTTGCACTGCATTCAGAAGCCGACCACACGTATCTGGCCGAGACACTGGCCGTCCAATGTTGCCAAGTGGGCTGTCATAAGTCAAGTTTCCAGCGGTTCTGCTGCCTCAAAAAGGAATGCTTCCAAAAATGTTACTTGCGCAGATTCACGAACAAAAAGAAGAGCAACTTGGTTAGATTTTTGTAAGCTTCCTGGCAGCTTAACATGTTTAACAAAAATTCCATTTTTAGGGCTGGGGACACAAAGCCGAAATGGTTACCAGCACTCGAAAATATCATTGAGAGCATGTCTACACAAGATGTCCAAAGACTCATGAAGAATTTCCATGATCCCGTGACAAACTTCAGCTCCGAATGGGGTTGTGCCGATCAGCGTGCACTTGAGGCTGATTTGAGACCGTCGTATCGATAAAGGTTTTGTTTGATGTCACTTTAACCAAAAAATATTGCATTGAAATACGCAAGGGTTTGCAATAAACGCCAACGGAAGGTGTGCTGCTTGTATTGGCCAACGCTTGTCTACTCACCTGTACACGCTCAAGACCATTTAGCGATTAAAAAGTGCATTACCGTCGATTAATGCATTTACGGCTCCGGACGACAAAACAAACTCATATAGGTGTTTTTAGCAGGCTTAATTATCAAACGAGGACAACAGCCATACTATTACGCAGTCTTATGGGTTAATTTTGTTTTGAGGAAGTTGTAAAGTTTGTGGTCTTAAGGTATGGTAATCAATGAATATGGGTTGACAATGCGTGTGCAAGGTTTGAAGGAATTTGGAGCTTTGCGCTTCGGACTTTGGGCTGTATGAAGCTGGACAGGAAAGTGGTGCAAATCGTGAAATAATTGTTTCGTCATCATGCCGTTAAAGTTCATTTTGCTCTAAAATTGACGCTTGGAATCTTTGAAATTGTCCACTATAGAAAGGTTTCATTGTATATGGGTTAGCTCCCATGATTTTGCCAAAAGATCCCCAAATTTTTGATACTGTACCTTAGTCGGATTTGGTTTGCAACACTTACTTCCTTAGCTAACATTATCCCTAATGTCCTCATAATCTGCTACACTTTTTATTTCAAAATAAGGAAATGAACGTATGACTTTTTGCTGCATGAACTCTGACCAAAGCGAAGGTTGCTTACGCGGCCATCAAATGCATTGTAAGAATTACTGAGTAAAACTTCTTTAAGGATTAAGAAAATCCGCTAAATTTGGTCGCGTGTAAATTGACTTGTTTCTTTTTCGTTGATGTTTCATTCAAATATCATCCACTCCTTGACTCTGTTGACGTGTCTTGCTTTCCTTCATCTACAGGGCAGATGTTCAATTTCTTAAATTTATCCTTTTAGATGGAAGTCTTTTTCTTTGAGCCTCAAACGTACGAAAGGCTTTACAATTGCTCCTTCTACGACTACACCACAATACCGTTAGCTCAAAGACAACACGTGGGCTGCGGACTATTCATTATCGTTTTTTACGCGGCATGTTTTGCTCTCTATCTGCCATGCCTTGCGGCAATGTTGGGATCCGAGTTGAGGAAGCGCAGCAGCTATCAGTTGATGATATTCCTGGGTTTCAATCATGCGGTGGGACTTCAGTGCTCGGGTTTGATTACCGGAATCTATGGGGTTATTGGCGCAGAATACTGCATGTATCCGGTGGCCATGTATTTCATTGGAATTTTAGGGTTGTGTAAGTCAGATCAGTCCTTAGAAAAAGCAGTTTCAGGCGGTTGGTTTGGAAGCACAATGACCACATTAGTCCTCGGGATCAACCGTTGCTGTGAGCTGCACAGCGCCTATGCCGCTCAGAAGTTGTTTGGTGGCTGCAAAACGTTTGTTTGGCTATTGGCAATCATGATATATTCGTATCTTTTTCCAACCCTCTTTAACATGCCTCCGCTTTATGATGGGGTAAAAATGTCGTGGTTTTACAACCCTCACTCTTCGTATTTCCCGGATGACAAGCATGTGGTAAGTTGATGTATTGACAGGGGAAGTGCGATTGGTATGACAAAGTTTAATGAAAACGAAAAATTCCAAGAAGGTCTCTGTGTTGCAATTTGAGCACTTCCTTTGTAAATGACCCTTTTTTCAGTACAAGAATATGTACCACGTGACCCACAATTGCATCATTTTCTTTGCTTATATTGCTGTGTATGTTACGTTCTTCGCATTGTATCTGCGACGTGTGAAGATGGCCTCCGGAAAACTCGACGATAAAAGCGTAGGGAAGAGCATGGGGGATTGGAAAACTCTAAATCCTATTCCAGACATACATTCAAGTTATTTCGATTGGGTTCATCCACTTTGCAACCAGCGTTTTATACCTCGTCCAGCAATTTGTCTCCGTGGATTTTGCCGTCAGCATGGCGGCTTCAGCGGCATATCTAATGTCACAAGGTAATAGAGTTTTTGTAGCTAACAATAAGATACTTTTTTTCAGGAATTGGGATATGGCCTATGGCCCAAGAGTGTCTAAAATTTATAAAAAACTGAGCATTGCACTTGGGGTACCTCTCTTTTAAACTAGCGCTCATTTTTTCAGGAATCCCCCCATTCATCTATTTAAAATTTAATCGGACCATTCGAAACACACTGAAGAGACTTGTTGCGGAAAGAGCCAGCCTTGTCAGCCATTCGAGCACAACGAAACTTCATAGCGGCAGTATGATGACGGATCATTTACACTGATGTCTTTAATAGATCAATATGTAAAATTTATATGCAAAACAAAAATATTTATATGTATAGCAATTACTGAATTGTGGCTTGTCGTTGGACCACTCGATTCCTCAATTTCTTCATGCTTTTTGTTCGCTTTTTGTCGTAGATCCGATCGACAACTTCTCGGGCCTCCTTGATCTTGTCCTTCTCGATGTGCTCGGTGAGTAAGGCGAATGCATCCTCATTTTGGTACCAGAATGCGTCTGCTATAACCCGACAGCCGTCTCGACACAAGAGGGCCGACTTCAGCTCGGAACAAATGTTATTCAAAAAGAGTTCGAGACGATTGTAGTAGTCGACGTAGAGTTGACTGGTGATGTCTTCGTTCTAAAAAAAGCGATTCTCACAAAAGTTAAAGGGAATCATCCAGGCGGGATATTTAGATTTGCGTCAAATTTTGCCACTTTTTGAAATAAGCCACAAGTCAGGCTCTGAAAAGGCTAGCTCTCAAAATTCACTTTTTCACACATTTCTACTCTAGGCCATATATCAGTCCTCAAAAAAATTGCACGTGCGAACTCTTGTATATGTCTTAGAAAGCCGAGTTACAATACTATGTACGCCAACGAGTGAGTGTGCAAATTGCGGAGGGCGGTCACAAAAAGAAGCCTTTTTTTTCATTTCTCCGCCAACTTTGCGCAGAGCCATTCCTTTTTTTGTTTCTATTTCCTCTTGTCTTGTAAACTTTTTCATAAAATCCTTACCTCCAAGACCTCTCTGACTTTGATATAAAAGTTGTCCCAAGTCAGCACGGTCATACTCCGAAGATTCAAAGCACACAATTCCGAGCACAAGAACCTTATGAGTTCTGGGTTATTCATCCGGATGCAAACGGATTTCCATGCCAAAAATCCTGAAAATATTTTACTAAACTAAAGAAGTTTTGTATCTACCGATTGTCTCCTTTTGCGGGCCAGTCAATTTCGTCCATAGAAACTTGGTCAACTCGATGAAGCCGTTTTTCATTGCGTAATGCAACGCCTGAACGCACACTTGATCCACCAATAATCGATCTTCTTGGTAGATCTTTTTCCAGGCCTTTTTGTCATCCAATACACGTAGCCATAAATCGTACACACAGTGTTCCCCAAGGCGTTGGCTAAAAAACGGCTTTGACAGATCGGAATGGAGAGAGTATTTTACATGGGGGAAACAGGATTAGACAAGAGTTGGCTCAAATTTAGAGAATAGTCTTCCAAAAAAACCTATGGGATTTATGGCGCCAACTATGCAGAAACCACGGAGATTTTTTGGCCGGAATCTTGAAACCTTGACACATTATTTTGCGGTTATGGCTCTATAAATTTCAGACCCATTTACTAGCGTTTTATGCATATTTCAACAAAATATCAAAACTTTCATCCAATATTTTGAAGCAAAAAAAGTGTGAGCAGAATCGTTTGTCATTACATCGTTTTCCACTGAGAAGTGGGCGTTCACACTTACAGGGACTAATTCGTGTATGGCAAATCAGAAAACGCTTCCGTCTAAGAGATCGAGGCACTCACCGAAACACCTTCCGTCTCACTTTGTCAAATACAAAATCATTGGTCAGCAAATTTTCTACCGCGTAGAAACAAGCAAATTGAAAGCGGAGCTGTGGCCAGTTGAGCAAATCCTTGTATATCAAAGTTTGAGCCGTTTTGTTGTCATCAATACAGTATCTAAATATTTAGTCAAAACACAAAGAAAACGAATTTCTTACAAGTTATTTTTCCATATCAAACTTCCATGATACATCCGCAAATGATCCGATCTTTTGGCATTTGATTTAGCAATTTTGGTTGGCTTGATTTTAACGTTATCTTCGACGAATAACTTGGAATGCTTGCTGTCTGAAGTTACCGTAGAAAAACTGTTGAACAACAACTGCTTATAACAAAAAATTTCGTCGGCTTCAATAATTAATTCTAGGAAAAAATGAAGCTCCGTACGACCAAACCCTTCTATGGCGAATAGATTTTTAGTCTTGTCGTTGTATAGAGAATCCGCTATGTAAATACATATATTCCAAGGGTCGCAATAAACACAAGATAGCCGTACTTTCTTTCGCAAAATACACACTGATCAGCAACATGTCTAATCTCTTACCCCATCGTTCGACCTCTTTTAGAATGCGGTCAAATGATGCAAGAATGGCCTTTTTGTTCGCCAATGTGATCTTCAATTTCTTCAAGGCGTCGAAAACGTCTCTTCGGATATCTCTAGTTTGGCGCCATCTTGCATTTGCATTGAACAAATGCAATCCAATGAAGCGGAGAGCCAAGTAGTTGAGTTGTGGGACTTGCTCCATTCTGGCGCATCTGAAAAGAGAATTTCTGGAAAACAAGAAAATCATGATTTTTTCCAAAAGCTCCCGAAAGGCGTATAAAACGTATAGATTCAGGCTTTTTTTCTCTCAAAAATCATAAGAAAATCTTTTCCAGGCTTTTTTGCGAGCCTGAAGGCCGAGCAAAAGAAAAAATCTGGCTGTGAGCACTTGACAAAACACAAGGCGTTCATCCGTTTGGGAGGACAAACAAAGTCCAAGATCCACTAGATTTTGCAATGATATCTAATTCTTTGGCCTTAGGGATGATCAAAAAGAAGGATCTTTGAGCCATCCATTTTTATGTAAAAGGGTTCGAATGCGACGCCCGGGTTTGAACTCCCACAAACTTAATATTTTTTATTTGTAAGACATTTGCCAGACTCCGAGCTCGTGCATTGCAGAAAAGACTGGTGTGAAATTTTCTGAACGTTGGCAAAGATGTTGTTCTTTGACCGTCCCCCGCATTTCGCGTGCACTTTTTCGCGCAGAGATCGCTGAATATCTCGTTTGTTCGTGCAAAGCGCGAGTAAATTTTGTTTGAGGACTGATATGTGGTCTAGAACAGTGTGAAAGAAAAAAAGCCAGGGTCACACTACGAATTTTTTTTGAAAACCACGTGAATGAAAATTTAAAAAATCAAATGTTCTAAAAAATTTCCAACGATGTCTATACAGCATAAAAATCATTTTCCAAAAATTTAGACGTTTGCTTTCCAACTGCACCCGAGATATTCAATCATCTTTACAGATATCAGTCAACACAGCGGAATACCATTGAATTTTATTTTAAGTCGTATTCACAAGATTAATACATTTTTTAAAACGATTATACCCATTTTGTTAAAGCTGAAGATTGAGGTGATAGAGGGCGTTGACTTAGACTTTGAATTGGACTTGAGGAATGGTCTCCGAAGTCCCTGGTTGTGGCAATTTTTGGACGCAATACTAAAATTTGAATATTAAAATTTTAATATTGAACCATAGCCATGTTTTTACACTGCTCTTACCTTATCAAAGCTGGGGATCAAATACTTGTCGGTCCTTCTCAAGAAGTCATCCAAACTGCATCCCAACCCTTTCCCAATGCTTTTGCAGCCGCTGATTTGCTCGCTCAAATCGTAAATCTCTTCAGGGCTTCGGCGGTAAATGATCTTCACGTATTTTTGATCCTTCTCTTCGTCATTCCAGAGCTCGAAAAACAGAGAACTTCCCAATTCCACGTTGTCATTTCGGTTATAATCCACTTTTGGGAAATCGAAACTGTTGAGGATGCCGAGGACGTTGGTGTCGTGCTAAAACAAAATTCTTAGGCCTATCTAGCCGTTCAACTCACCATAGAAAACACTCGGTACTTCAGATCAGCCACATTATCCTCCTTGCAATACGGCTGATCCGGTTTAAATTTGCAGAACGCTTTGGCTGCCATGTCATTTGCAACGCGAGTTAGCAAGCCTCCAGCTTGCATTTTTACCAGCTCGTAGCGCCAGTTAATCCCGTTCTGAGGTTTGATGTCCATTCCATTCATAAATTTAATGCCTTCCAGGTAAATGTCAAAGATCTCGCCGTAGTTCCCCTCGTATTCCGGTGCCAGTTTGAGGCCTTTGCGCTTCTGAGAGTTAAATTGCAATTAGATGATCAATTTTTGTCTCCAAAGACCTATATAAAACTTAAATTTACCTCTAAGTAAATCGGATCCTCGACACAAAACAGGTCGATGACTGTTGGGATCTCCATTCCAGTGGCCATCATTAAACGAAGTATCCATTGCTAAAAATGAGAAATCTCTGCCCAATTTTGGGTTTAAAGTACGCGCGTCCCGAAGCCTAGGAATACACTTGGCCATATAAAAACTTTGTCGCGCCGGGACTATAAAACTTTGAATTACCCGCGAAAAAGAATTTTTTTCGCGGAATATTATTTTTTAGGCTGGAGCCGAAAACAGGTGTTGGTTTAGCGGGTTTTGATGTAATTTTTTTGTTTTTTTTTCGTAAAAACGTTATTCTTTGTCGTAAATGTGTTTTAGTTTTGCTGTCGCACTATTTTGAAGCGAGTATTTTTGTGCTTTATTTTCAGGTAACACGAAGATGTGGTTTTTAGGTTTATACCTTCGACATCGGTCTTCAGCTTTGAGAGGTCAAACAACACGCAGAGCGCACCTCCCCTTCTCTGGCCACATGATGGAGTGTTACGTACGACAGTGTTCGAGTGATCATCGGTAAAAATCCGAATGGATTCTTCAGATACGAACGAGATGTTTCCCGAGATGCCAAATCCAAGAAGCCGCAGAAACAGCGGTTAAGACGGCTCCATGGGAAAGGATCTATAACAATTACCGGAAATTGAACACGGTCATGTAAGCCAATTATTTGTAAATATATTTGTTTAGTTCGACTTGAAGGAACGGACGACTCGAGATTATGAAAACACTGCAGGACGAGATGGAGGCGGCCAAGAAGCGCGGAACCCGTCAATGAACTTCCCTACCCCGATATATCTTGAATTTTCTTTCGCAGGATCTGATTTGCAGAGCGATAAATTGTTTTACATTACACATTATTTATTGCTGTAAAATGAAGAATAGTTACAACAAATTTCAAATAAAAGGCAATTCATAAGATATAAATTGACCAAGAAGGGAGCTCGATACTTGCCAGCGGTCTCGCTGATCCAAAACTCTGCCTGTGGGATCTCTGGAAACATCTTGTTCGTATCTCCGATTTAGAAGGGAACCTGAAGCATTTCACTCACTCAACGAAAACAACAAGAGAAGCCAAAACATTCTAAACTTCACCTACCAGTAACTGTTCCGGATTCTTTCTGGAGCCGTCAAAACCGCTGTTTCTGCGGCTTCTTGGATTTGGCATCTCGGGAAACATCTCGTTCGTATCTGAAGAATCCATTCGGATTTTTACCGATGATCACTCGAACACTGTCGTACGTAACACTCCATCATGTGGCCAGAGAAGGGGAGGTGCGCTCTGCGTGTTGTTTGACCTCTCAAAGCTGAAGACCGATGTCGAAGGTATAAACCTAAAAACCACATCTTCGTGTTACCTGAAAATAAAGCACAAAAATACTCGCTTCAAAATAGTGCGACAGCAAAACTAAAACACATTTACGACAAAGAATAACGTTTTTACGAAAAAAAACAAAAAAATTACATCAAAACCCGCTAAACCAACACCTGTTTTCGGCTCCAGCCTAAAAAATAATATTCCGCGAAAAAATTTCTTTTTCGCGGGTAATTCAAAGTTTTATAGTCCCGGCGCGACAAAGTTTTTATATGGCCAAGTGTATTCCTAGGCTTCGGGACGCGCGTACTTTAAGAGAACTGGCCTAATTTCCCTACAAAAGGCGCAGGCATTGCAAAAAAGCCAAACGCTAAAAATCGCGTTCGGTCTCTTTGTCCGGAAGTGTGGCAGCTTTTTTTTATGGATTTCTGTGTTTCGAAAACTCTGCCGATTCCGTCAAACTTTGTAAAAACCTATGAGCAATACTATACCACATATTCTATAATATTATTTTGAAGTTGAAAAACAGCATTGTTTGCCCAGCTATCCGCAACGTTTGCCGGCCATAACTTTTTCTACGAATTTTTGAGCATGACGACTATTCGTTTTTTGTATACTTTCGCCTACTTTATGTTTGTTCATGTACTGAATGACTTCATCCGTTTTCAAGGCTTCCTTGGCGAGCTGATGAGCGTAGCCGCAGTTATCATAAGGCAATCCAATCACATCGGTTTCATTGTCCGGAATAGTCAAGATTTTCAACGTTTCATAGTCAATCTTCTCTCCATAGAGTCCTTTAAAGTTGTACAGGGCACTTTCTCTAGTCCTGTTGTACCAAGTGGATTGGATTCGGATAAGCTTTTCATTGAATTCCTCGGGTAAATAGCCGAACTCTTGAACGTAACGGTTGTAAACCCACTTACCCAGACGACGCTGCTGTTCAATGCCGTACTGAAAAGCGGAGAAATCTTTAGTAACTTTGAGAAAAAATTGCTATGAGGAAATCGAGAGACGTTACATTAGTCAGCTGTCCATATCCGTTGTCCCAATAAGACTCGTTGTAGAGATCGTGAGTGAAGCTCTTGGCTGGTGCTCGATCGCCATGTCGCCAAAGCTGAATAAGAACATATGAACAATCTAACAAGTTTTCGTGCCCGCGATAAGGGGGGCTTTTATGCAAGGGAATTGGCGGCGCATAGATCATGATAAAACTAATAGAGGGCAAATAAAATCAAGCGTTTTAAAGATAAAAAAATTTTTTTAGCTTTCTCTTTGCCGATAACACTAAGGCTTGACATCAAAACTTATTCTTACCGCCGCCAAGTACTCCAATTTATGGCCTTTTGGTTGAGTCGGGCCCAAAGGATCTTTCAACGGCAGTCCATTTGCTGCAACGAGAAATGCGGAAACGAATAGCAGTTTAAGAGCCATGCCTGAGATTTCTACGAGGCTTTAGCCCAAGTTGAGAGTCTAAAAACGTATGATTTACAAAGGACAAATCTTAAGAGCGACGAGAAGGAGAGTACGCGAAAAGCGGAGAGCAGTTAGAGAGAAAAACTCTTTTTGGCCATATTTTTGCCAATTTCATGCGGAAAAAATAATTTTTGTGGAAACATTACCCACGACGGTAGAAATAAGTATGCAACGTTTTGTGGTAAAATTCGTAAAAAAAATGTAAAGTCTTCGTTAAATTTAAAAAAAAAAATCTCGATTGTTTATGAGAAGCGCAAGCCAGAAAAATTGCACGTAACGTGCCCTAGAAAAGAATTATCGCAGTTTGCGTCAAATTTCATCAAAATTTTCGCACTTGGAGTACCCTGTTAGACGAAACACAATATTCAAATAACCAAACAGCAAATTATAATCTATGAGGTCTGCAAAACAACGGCCAGTTTAATCAGTTTAATCTAGGTAGAAGTGCTTCTGAACCAATGTATGCACATGCGAGGCATCTCCATTTTTGATGATCAGCCTCGACTCCGCCCCCTTTGCTCGCCAACCCTCATTTTTTGATTTTTTCTTCTCCGTTTGTAGCGCTTTGGTCTTATCAACGCCAACTCGTTGAAACATGTCGTTGAAAAAGCGCCGAAAATACATTGAAGCGATTGCGAGAAAGCGGCGTATGAGGTTACAGAAATATTTTCTGCATTTTTATTTCTTCACATCTGTCTGACTTCAAAAGGGACGGATTTCCGTCAAATGTTATGTTCGTAGGCGGTAAATTAACTCCTCAAAATCTTACAGGCGCTTTAGTGAAACAGTAAAGATGGTTAGCTATCTTTTTCAGGCGAGAAAGCCGTCTGCATACCCTTTTTGTTGGTAAAAAACCAATTATATATTGATATTTTCCGCTGCTATCAGACCCCGCGGAAAGGTTCCATATGGAATGATAGTCTTTAAAGGGTGCAATTATTGGATCGCCTTGAACCAGAGACTCCAAGTCATTTGATTCCTTGAAGGGTACGATGCTCTTGCAAATAATCAAGGAAAAATCAGGATTTTCTATTCTAAAGATATTGTACACAAGCACTGATATGACTTGCTAAAGACAGCTTGAAGCTTACTTTTTTATTATGCAAATAACTCAAAAGGGATTATCGAGACACTGGTATCCTTCTAAATAAATGAAATATAAAACAATTGGTTAGCGTTTAATTCAGTTCCTAAGTTTGTTTTTAGAGCACATTGCGGTGGAGCAATTTATGTGCTGTACATGAGTGAATGAAAAAATAAAATGTCATAAGGTGCAAAATAAATACGATGCTCTCCAGCTCTTTTTATTGAATCTGCCATAGCTTGCGCTACTATGTATGAATCGTCGCCGTTTTTAATGAACAGCCGGCTCCGCCCTCGCTGCTCGGCAATCTTTTTATTTTTTATTTCCCGTTAAAAAAAGGAGCCGCAGGTTTCATGAGCCTTATCGTATTCGAATATCACCGAGATGGTAAAAGATGTCGCTGATAAACAGACAAAAAAAGGAGTTTCGGGTTGATATTGCACGACGATTATACTATATATGATGTCAAAGATCATGTTTAAAGGTTGACAAGGATCCGTATAACCTTAGCTTTCTGTGTGAGGTTGTTTGTGCAAGTTTCGTTGTAATATTTCGCCTTTATCGATAAAAAGACCCATGCACGGCAACCCGAAGTGTTTGCTGGCTCCTTTCGACACTTCGCCCGTTCTGTATCGGTCCAAATCAAACGAAATGTCACAAAAGAATTTTTCGTGGGATTTTCCGACCAAAAAAATTTTTCTCGGAAATATTTTATTTCTTTTGTCAATTTTGACACTTCGTTTGGACGAAACTCACAAGTGGGCGGGAAATATTTTTCTTTTAATATTTCGGGGTGCCGCACGTCAAGCTGAGATAAGCTAAAACAGTCCGGTTAAAACAGTACCGAGAATGGCAATGCAATTAATTTATGCAACCTCGGGTAAAGGCCATCAAGATCCTCTAGTGCCCCAATCGTCACCTTGGCCATATTGGACGTTTTAGGAAAAGCTTGATATTGTGCGTAAATAAGTCTATTGCATAATAAAAAAGTAAGATCTGAAGTTTTTTAAAGAGCCATATAGTGTTTGTGTGCAGTATTTAGAAAATAAAATCCCGATTTCCCCTGTTTATTTGCAGAACCATTGTTGACTTCAAGGAACCAAATAACAACCATTTCGGAGTCTCTAGTTTAAAGCGTTCTAATAATTGCTTTTTAAAGGCAAATTTTCCATATGGAACTTTCCCGCGGGGTCTGATCGTGGCGGAAAATACCAACATTTATAATTGTTTTTTTCAACGAAAAACCGTCCGACTCTGTGGACATACATATATACATTGTGTTGAGCGCAGGCGTAGTATACGGAGTCGTATTCCATGATTTTGCGGGAAAGAAGCACGAAAGAAAGATTTGACCCGAGGTGTCTAGTCTGACACGAAATAAATTAGATGTATTCAGATTAGAGGTGGCAATCGGGCTGGGCCGGCCCGGCCGGGCCCGGTGATTGGGCCGGGCCGGGCCGGGCCTGAGCAGATTTGAAAAAGCCCTGGGCCGGCCTGACCGCTTCGGTCCGCGGGCCGGGCCGACACTTTCGGCCCGGCCCGGAAGGCAGATAAGTAAAAAATTTTTAATGCTAAACCAGCAAAATAAAGCACAAATGCTTTGTAGAATGGATGGAAATTAGATTAAACTTTTTTTGACTTATACGCAATTTTACTACCTTTTAAAATTATGCATTTATATGTATATGTGACTTATTATGTATATGTAAAATCCCACCCAAATATGCAAGGGTCGGGCAAAAATCTTCGAATTTTTTGTGATAAACTTAAAAATTTCACTGTAATTTTGATTCCTTGATGTAAATGAAAGTGTTTAAAAAGTTTTTGGTTAACCATGTACCTTATAACGTCCATACTTTTATATAGCTAACTTCCTATAGGATTAAAAAATTCAACACAATCCAACTCCTTGGCTAGGTTTTAGCTACCTGTACGGATGTTCCAGTCATCCGACTAGACTTTTTAATTTCACGCAGACACACGTAAAAGCCTTCTGGAAAGCATAAGAACTTCCAGTAGAAAGTGCAAAGACTTTTATCCAACTTTTCTGTATTAGCGGGCCAAACCGGGCCGGGCCGGCCTGGGCTTTCACCGGGCCGGGCCGGGCCGGGCCTGGGCAAGTTTGAAAAAGCCCTGGGCCGGCCTGGTCACTTCGGCCCGCGGGCCGGGCCGCAAAAATCGGCCCGGCCCGGCCCGATTGCCACCTCTAATTCAGATTGAATCTAATTCATGGAATAACAAAAAAAAGTATGAAGATATTAGCTTTTTTGCCTGAAAAATATGGCTCAATACCTCAGCTAAATATTTCCGCTAAAGCCAAGCTAAAATTTTTATGGGTTATAATTGTTACGCTGCTTTCTGAAAAATGCAACTTACATTGATCGTTATGTATTTTCCAAATTGCTCCAAGTTTATGGCATTTTCTCCCACATAACTCTCATATAGAGCTATTTTTATCATGCACAAACGTCACCGTCACTGCTGAGTCCTTTCGTTTTGTTTGATCAGCCCATAAATCACTCATTTCGTCTCCAAAACAAGAATTATTCAATGTAAACTCTGAGTTGTCAAAACAGCTTTACAATAAATAATGTCCCGCGGAAACAGCGAGCCAGAAAAAGCAGTCTAAACATCGCAAATATATATTGTTTAAACGGTTTCCGGGAACGGTAATGTTTTTGAATACACTGAATTCCGAGAAAATCACACATCAAAAGTTGAAAGTATAAGACATCGAAGATGGTGGGAATGGCTACTGTAAGCACGCATGTGAATATCCAGTGAGAAGGAAATGCATCAGGAATTAAAAGGATTTACAGTCATTTGTCAAGGCAATCGCCAAGGATTAATTAGGGTAATCCTCACTTTAGATGAAACAGTTTGGAGACAGTCACACTGCGGATAGGCTCATTGCAGAAAATTGCAACCTGTATGAGCAGGACTAACATTTGAAGGGACCGAATGGACATGGAAATTTTTTCGAGAATCCGAACTCGCGCTTTGCAGAAACAACCGAAATTTCTAGCTCAAAAATTGTTTTTGATTGTCGGTGGTGTAAAACTTAGAGTTAACGCTCTCTTGCTGGTTTTATCGCGCGGAATTTATAGTCTTATGTAAGTCAGGTATGAACGACCTAGCAAGGCTTTTTTGGAAGAAAAGAATCTGCGCGTTTGGCGTCAAAAAGAGAGCCAGCTTTACTATCAGTCTGTTGGGAAAAGCAATGATGCGCGATTCCAATACGCGTCTCAACCGAAAACTGGTACTAAGAATTATCTGCCGTCAGAGGTAAGTCGGGTAAACTATTGCGTAGATTTCACTGCCAAAACTTCCCGGCACTCCGACGTTATTTTGGAGGCTGTTGTGATGTGATTTTTTGAGTCATAAGAAGCCTTGCAGGGCTTGATCCGCTCTGGCCAAACAGTCGAAAGCAAATTTGATCCAGCAAAGTCCAAATTTATAGTCAGAATGCACCAGAGACACAAAAAGACAATGACTGGTGAAGGTTTTAAACAGTACGATTAACTCAGGATTTTGTTGCCCTTCTCTAATTCTTAAACGTTTAGTAGAGTTGTTGGTTATTGAGTTTCGACTAACAAGATGCTGGACTTTTGCGCTATTGAAGGCTTGATTTATAATCCACGCGGCTTCTTATAAATAACGTAAGGATCTGGGCATAGACCTAAGGCTAAGTAAGAAACTGGCTTGGCTTAGCATTTTGCGCATTTAGCTTAGGCTAAGTCTAATTCTCAGCTCAGGATAAGTCTGATTCTTAGCCTAAGCGTATGCTTAGGCTTAGGCTTAGGCTTAGGCTTAGGCTTAGGCTTAGGCTTAGGCTTAGGCTTAGGCTTAGGCTTAGGCTTAGGCTTAGGCTTAGGCTTAGGCTTAGGCTTAGGCTTAGGCTTAGGCTTAGGCTTAGGCTTAGGCTTAGGCTTAGGCTTAGGCTTAGGCTTAGGCTTAGGCTTAGGCTTAGGCTTAGGCTTAGGCTTAGGCTTAGGCTTAGGCTTAGGCTTAGGCTTAGGCTTAGGCTTAGGCTTAGGCTTAGGCTTAGGCTTAGGCTTAGGCTTAGGCTTAGGCTTAGGCTTAGGCTTAGGCTTAGGCTTAGGCTTAGGCTTAGGCTTAGGCTTAGGCTTAGGCTTAGGCTTAGGCTTAGGCTTAGGCTTAGGCTTAGGCTTAGGCTTAGGCTTAGGCTTAGGCTTAGGCTTAGGCTTAGGCTTAGGCTTAGGCTTAGGCTTAGGCTTAGGCTTAGGCTTAGGCTTAGGCTTAGGCTTAGGCTTAGGCTTAGGCTTAGGCTTAGGCTTAGGCTTAGGCTTAGGCTTAGGCTTAGGCTTAGGCTTAGGCTTAGGCTTAGGCTTAGGCTTAGGCTTAGGCTTAGGCTTAGGCTTAGGCTTAGGCTTAGGCTTAGGCTTAGGCTTAGGCTTAGGCTTAGGCTTAGGCTTAGGCTTAGGCTTAGGCTTAGGCTTAGGCTTAGGCTTAGGCTTAGGCTTAGGCTTAGGCTTAGGCTTAGGCTTAGGCTTAGGCTTAGGCTTAGGCTTAGGCTTAGGCTTAGGCTTAGGCTTAGGCTTAGGCTTAGGCTTAGGCTTAGGCTTAGGCTTAGGCTTAGGCTTAGGCTTAGGCTTAGGCTTAGGCTTAGGCTTAGGCTTAGGCTTAGGCTTAGGCTTAGGCTTAGGCTTAGGCTTAGGCTTAGGCTTAGGCTTAGGCTTAGGCTTAGGCTTAGGCTTAGGCTTAGGCTTAGGCTTAGGCTTAGGCTTAGGCTTAGGCTTAGGCTTAGGCTTAGGCTTAGGCTTAGGCTTAGGCTTAGGCTTAGGCTTAGGCTTAGGCTTAGGCTTAGGCTTAGGCTTAGGCTTAGGCTTAGGCTTAGGCTTAGGCTTAGGCTTAGGCTTAGGCTTAGGCTTAGGCTTAGGCTTAGGCTTAGGCTTAGGCTTAGGCTTAGGCTTAGGCTTAGGCTTAGGCTTAGGCTTAGGCTTAGGCTTAGGCTTAGGCTTAGGCTTAGGCTTAGGCTTAGGCTTAGGCTTAGGCTTAGGCTTAGGCTTAGGCTTAGGCTTAGGCTTAGGCTTAGGCTTAGGCTTAGGCTTAGGCTTAGGCTTAGGCTTAGGCTTAGGCTTAGGCTTAGGCTTAGGCTTAGGCTTAGGCTTAGGCTTAGGCTTAGGCTTAGGCTTAGGCTTAGGCTTAGGCTTAGGCTTAGGCTTAGGCTTAGGCTTAGGCTTAGGCTTAGGCTTAGGCTTAGGCTTAGGCTTAGGCTTAGGCTTAGGCTTAGGCTTAGGCTTAGGCTTAGGCTTAGGCTTAGGCTTAGGCTTAGGCTTAGGCTTAGGCTTAGGCTTAGGCTTAGGCTTAGGCTTAGGCTTAGGCTTAGGCTTAGGCTTAGGCTTAGGCTTAGGCTTAGGCTTAGGCTTAGGCTTAGGCTTAGGCTTAGGCTTAGGCTTAGGCTTAGGCTTAGGCTTAGGCTTAGGCTTAGGCTTAGGCTTAGGCTTAGGCTTAGGCTTAGGCTTAGGCTTAGGCTTAGGCTTAGGCTTAGGCTTAGGCTTAGGCTTAGGCTTAGGCTTAGGCTTAGGCTTAGGCTTAGGCTTAGGCTTAGGCTTAGGCTTAGGCTTAGGCTTAGGCTTAGGCTTAGGCTTAGGCTTAGGCTTAGGCTTAGGCTTAGGCTTAGGCTTAGGCTTAGGCTTAGGCTTAGGCTTAGGCTTAGGCTTAGGCTTAGGCTTAGGCTTAGGCTTAGGCTTAGGCTTAGGCTTAGGCTTAGGCTTAGGCTTAGGCTTAGGCTTAGGCTTAGGCTTAGGCTTAGGCTTAGGCTTAGGCTTAGGCTTAGGCTTAGGCTTAGGCTTAGGCTTAGGCTTAGGCTTAGGCTTAGGCTTAGGCTTAGGCTTAGGCTTAGGCTTAGGCTTAGGCTTAGGCTTAGGCTTAGGCTTAGGCTTAGGCTTAGGCTTAGGCTTAGGCTTAGGCTTAGGCTTAGGCTTAGGCTTAGGAGGCTTAGGCTTAGGCTTAGGCTTAGGCTTAGGCTTAGGCTTAGGCTTAGGCTTAGGCTTAGGCTTAGGCTTAGGCTTAGGCTTAGGCTTAGGCTTAGGCTTAGGCTTAGGCTTAGGCTTAGGCTTAGGCTTAGGCTTAGGCTTAGGCTTAGGCTTAGGCTTAGGCTTAGGCTTAGGCTTAGGCTTAGGCTTAGGCTTAGGCTTAGGCTTAGGCTTAGGCTTAGGCTTAGGCTTAGGCTTAGGCTTAGGCTTAGGCTTAGGCTTAGGCTTAGGCTTAGGCTTAGGCTTAGGCTTAGGCTTAGGCTCTCTAGGCTTAGGCTTAGGCTTAGGCTTAGGCTTAGGCTTAGGCTTAGGCTTAGGCTTAGGCTTAGGCTTAGGCTTAGGGCTTAGGCTTAGGCTTAGGCCTAGGCTTAGGCTTAGGCTTAGGCTTAGGCTTAGGCTTAGGCTTAGGCTTAGGCTTAGGCTTAGGCTTAGGCTTAGGCTTAGGCTGAAGGCTTAGGCTTAGGCTTAGGCTTAGGCAGCAATACGTAACTGAACGAAGTA